AAACCCAAACCCACATGGAAATAACATTATGCAATTAATAAACAGGGTTCGTTCCTAAGTCTTCTACTTAAATTCACATAACTAATATTCTTAATTTAATCAATTCCTTTCCAAAAGCTGATACTAAATATTTTTTTGTTAAATTTTAAGGCATAGAAGGATCAAGTTAAGAAGTTAATACATTATTTAAAAAAAATTTGTCAAATATTTGTAGAATACAAAATATAAATATTAGTATGTATTAATAATTAATGCGATTTTAGAAAAATGATATGTGGGTTAATTATTGTACTAATGAGACTAATAAAGCCAATATACTAGATAACTAATAGACAATAAGAATATTTTAGATACTGAAAATTTATAGAATCAAGATTAAATGAAAATGTGTTAGGAAATCTATTAGATTTAAAAATTATTTAAAATAAAAGGAATTTACATTTTCTTTTAATATAAAAATTAAGAAAATTACTGGGATTAAAAAATATCAGAATTAAATTAAATTAAATCTGAGTAGAGAACAAGTCAATGTAAAATGAAAAAATCAAAAAAAAATTAATTTGATTATATCAAGTTAGGAGAAATAAAAATTTCACATATAAAATATTAAAAATCGCATCAAGCTGTACAACGGTTATTTCTAAAGTGAAACATAATCTGGATTTCCATAATCAAAATATTCAACCCCCAAAAATAATAATATAAAGTCTTTATTTGTATACGAAAAATTATACACAGTATTTGAATGAAAAATGTGACCAATTGATGTCAAATAATAAAATGATAGAATTGTGTATAAAAGGAATCGAATTAAGATATTTTTTAATAATATCATATTAATAAATGATTGGAATTTAGATTTCAAAAAGGTTTGTTGAATAAATGGATTGTTAAATAAATGATCAAATTTGGAAATTAAATGAAAGATCCTTAAAAGTTTTTGTTAAAAAATGCTATTATAATTTTTATTATAAGAGATGAAATATTATGCAGCTAGAAAACAATTCTGAATAAACAGAAGGATTGCAATAAATATAGATAATAATTTTGAACTTAATAAAAATTATTATTATTTTTTATATAAATAATGGCTTTGTGGAAGGTATTTTAGAAGGCAGGACAAAGATCTACAATGCCTGCTGCATTTAAAGAAGGATTATTTGAGAAGCCAGGAGAATTCTAATACAAAGTGAAAAACATAGCTATAAGCTACGAAACAGCTTCTTGGATGCTAAGGGAAGGTATTGTAGAATACAATCCAAACAAATGGGGTTATGTTTTGAGTAAATCTCACAGAGATTTTAATGATTATTGGACGAGAAGTAAGAGTAATAAAATATATGTAGCTATGTTTACTAGGTGTGGCTTGTTTTTAACAGGGTGTTGGCTATTTAGTTGTTTATACACAAAACCTAGATTTGATTGGCAAGATTATCATGATCCTAAATTCGAGTAGAAGACATATGGTGATTTAGAAGAAGGAGGTGATGAAGGAGGAGATGATGATTGAAAGAATCAATATCAAGATATAAAAATAAATATAAAAATATAATTAACTTAAATATATCTAGAATGTTGCACTCATAGCAGCCACCAAAAATTCAGAATTATCCGGGCAAGAGAGTATTAAATTACACATTTCTCAAAGAATTGGGAAAAGGGGCATTTGGTTAGGTATAAAAATTTAAATTACTAAAAGGTCTTTTCTGCCAAAGTTGACAAGACATCAGATTTGGTAGCGATTAAATGTGTTCCAAAAGCAAAATTAAGTGAGCACAGAGGAATTGTTGGCTAATTATTAGATAGTGAAATTGAGGTATTAAGATAAATCAACAGTGAGCATGTAATAAAATTCATAAATTTCTTTTAATCAGAGAATTAATGTTACATTGTTTTGGAATTCTGTAATTGTAAATTTCTTATCTATAATTAAGCTGGTGATTTTGAATAATTGTGGATCAAAAGAGGGAAAAAGATACCCGAAAATGAAGTTATTGCATATATGAAATAAGTCTTGGCTGGAATGTAAGCCCTACATGAGAAAAATATCTTACATAGAGATCTAAAGTTGCCTAATATTTTGATTCATAATTCTACCTTAAAAATTGCTGATCTAGGGTTCTGTAAGTAATTGAAGGATCAAAATCAACATGAGCACTTGTTTCTTGGNTAGTATGTATTAATAATTAATGCGATTTTAGAAAAATGATATGTGGGTTAATTATTGTACTAATGAGACTAATAAAGCCAATATACTAGATAACTAATAGACAATAAGAATATTTTAGATACTGAAAATTTATAGAATCAAGATTAAATGAAAATGTGTTAGGAAATCTATTAGATTTAAAAATTATTTAAAATAAAAGGAATTTACATTTTCTTTTAATATAAAAATTAAGAAAATTACTGGGATTAAAAAATATCAGAATTAAATTAAATTAAATCTGAGTAGAGAACAAGTCAATGTAAAATGAAAAAATCAAAAAAAAATTAATTTGATTATATCAAGTTAGGAGAAATAAAAATTTCACATATAAAATATTAAAAATCGCATCAAGCTGTACAACGGTTATTTCTAAAGTGAAACATAATCTGGATTTCCATAATCAAAATATTCAACCCCCAAAAATAATAATATAAAGTCTTTATTTGTATACGAAAAATTATACACAGTATTTGAATGAAAAATGTGACCAATTGATGTCAAATAATAAAATGATAGAATTGTGTATAAAAGGAATCGAATTAAGATATTTTTTAATAATATCATATTAATAAATGATTGGAATTTAGATTTCAAAAAGGTTTGTTGAATAAATGGATTGTTAAATAAATGATCAAATTTGGAAATTAAATGAAAGATCCTTAAAAGTTTTTGTTAAAAAATGCTATTATAATTTTTATTATAAGAGATGAAATATTATGCAGCTAGAAAACAATTCTGAATAAACAGAAGGATTGCAATAAATATAGATAATAATTTTGAACTTAATAAAAATTATTATTATTTTTTATATAAATAATGGCTTTGTGGAAGGTATTTTAGAAGGCAGGACAAAGATCTACAATGCCTGCTGCATTTAAAGAAGGATTATTTGAGAAGCCAGGAGAATTCTAATACAAAGTGAAAAACATAGCTATAAGCTACGAAACAGCTTCTTGGATGCTAAGGGAAGGTATTGTAGAATACAATCCAAACAAATGGGGTTATGTTTTGAGTAAATCTCACAGAGATTTTAATGATTATTGGACGAGAAGTAAGAGTAATAAAATATATGTAGCTATGTTTACTAGGTGTGGCTTGTTTTTAACAGGGTGTTGGCTATTTAGTTGTTTATACACAAAACCTAGATTTGATTGGCAAGATTATCATGATCCTAAATTCGAGTAGAAGACATATGGTGATTTAGAAGAAGGAGGTGATGAAGGAGGAGATGATGATTGAAAGAATCAATATCAAGATATAAAAATAAATATAAAAATATAATTAACTTAAATATATCTAGAATGTTGCACTCATAGCAGCCACCAAAAATTCAGAATTATCCGGGCAAGAGAGTATTAAATTACACATTTCTCAAAGAATTGGGAAAAGGGGCATTTGGTTAGGTATAAAAATTTAAATTACTAAAAGGTCTTTTCTGCCAAAGTTGACAAGACATCAGATTTGGTAGCGATTAAATGTGTTCCAAAAGCAAAATTAAGTGAGCACAGAGGAATTGTTGGCTAATTATTAGATAGTGAAATTGAGGTATTAAGATAAATCAACAGTGAGCATGTAATAAAATTCATAAATTTCTTTTAATCAGAGAATTAATGTTACATTGTTTTGGAATTCTGTAATTGTAAATTTCTTATCTATAATTAAGCTGGTGATTTTGAATAATTGTGGATCAAAAGAGGGAAAAAGATACCCGAAAATGAAGTTATTGCATATATGAAATAAGTCTTGGCTGGAATGTAAGCCCTACATGAGAAAAATATCTTACATAGAGATCTAAAGTTGCCTAATATTTTGATTCATAATTCTACCTTAAAAATTGCTGATCTAGGGTTCTGTAAGTAATTGAAGGATCAAAATCAACATGAGCACTTGTTTCTTGGTTCCTTAGGTAATATGGCACCTGAAATTGTTGAACAAAAACCTTATGGCATGGCTGCTGACATGTTTTCTATTGGCAGTATGTTCTATTAGTTACTTTTTGGATCTTTTCCATTCACTAACCTAAATGAAAAGGCATTTTTGGAAGATATCAGAACAAGTAGACTTAAATATCATTCCTAGATAAACCTAATTTTAGAAAAAATGGAGTTTCAATTTCTTCACAATTAGAATTGCTGTTGTATAAAATGTTAATGAAGGACCCTAGGGATAGGTTGAAGTGGTCTGAATTATATTCACATCCCTTGATGAAATAGAAAGAGATGAGTAAATATTTATTATTATGTAGGATATTAATAATTATCACTTAATTTATTATAAGCTGAATAAATTAATGTTGAAAAAATTGGGAAATTCTATGAAAATAAAGGTTAATAGGAAACCTTTGAAAATTCAAATGATTTCATGAAAAAATTTGATGGAATGAAATAATAATAAATCCTTAAAAAAGACAATCCCATTAATATTAAGGAGACGGAATTATTACCTGATCTCTAAGATGAATAAGTTAAATTAGAGATAACAGAGACTGAAAAATAGATAGAAGATTTGAAGAAGGTTGAAGAATTAATTGAGAAATACATGAGACTAAGAGATTAAATTGTATATTTATCAAGGACACTAAATGAAATAAATACTTTGATTTCTGAAAAATATTCAGCATTACCATTTTTGTTTCTAATCAAAAAGATATTTAAATTAAATGATTCATTGACTAGAGCTTTGCTAGATAAGTAAAATATATTTAGAGTTGCAGACCTATTAGATAAAGTATATTAAAATCCTCATTTTTAAAAATTCTTATCACAAATGTTAGATGATTAATAATTTTATGAAAGTCTCTTATAATTCGCACTAAGGGGCGCTAAGTAATTCATTTTCATCATATAGATCATTTTGGGATGAAATTTAAGACAAAAATTGGTAGAAAGAACTGACAATTGAATGTTCAGCTTAATTTAATTAGAATTTCAAAGAAGTGTTGAATGATTTCATTATTAGAACTTTGTCTGAAAAGAAAGAAAAAGAAAAAAATCCAAAAGTAATTGAACAATATATTGAATTATAAATTCATCTAATAGATTGTTGTTGTTATGAAAGGGTGTACCAGAATGATTAAGTAAAAAATTTAAATTTCTATTAAAAAAGAAAATAAACATTATGGAACAATTCGATGCTTTGTATGAGAAACCATTAAAAATAAAGAATGATATATTTTCTGAAAAAGTGTAATTGTTATTTTTATGAATATATATTTTAAATATTATTTAAAATTAATTATAGTTTTCAATGGCTGAAGAGAATTTGGATTAGATTATAGATATGCCGGAATAATCAGATATGATTAATGATGCAAGAACCCAAGTTTTTAAATTTTCTATTATTTTAAATAGGCGAGATATGCAGTGGAACATTTCAAGGTAGAATCGTAGATTTCGAATTACATAAAGAAATTCTTTGATGAAAAATATGGTCCTAATTGGCATTGTGTTGTTGGTACACATTTTGTAAATAAATTTACAAGGAAAACACTTTAATTCTTATTCATCTTACGAAAGCAAAAGATATATGTTTTTTTATGAAGGATAAATGGCAATTTTACTTTATAAAATGGGTTGAAGCATATGGAATAAATATTATCATTTATTAAATATTAAATTAAACAAATTCTCTGCTTTACCAAATCGATCAATTAATTTCATGAGNTATTAATAATTATCACTTAATTTATTATAAGCTGAATAAATTAATGTTGAAAAAATTGGGAAATTCTATGAAAATAAAGGTTAATAGGAAACCTTTGAAAATTCAAATGATTTCATGAAAAAATTTGATGGAATGAAATAATAATAAATCCTTAAAAAAGACAATCCCATTAATATTAAGGAGACGGAATTATTACCTGATCTCTAAGATGAATAAGTTAAATTAGAGATAACAGAGACTGAAAAATAGATAGAAGATTTGAAGAAGGTTGAAGAATTAATTGAGAAATACATGAGACTAAGAGATTAAATTGTATATTTATCAAGGACACTAAATGAAATAAATACTTTGATTTCTGAAAAATATTCAGCATTACCATTTTTGTTTCTAATCAAAAAGATATTTAAATTAAATGATTCATTGACTAGAGCTTTGCTAGATAAGTAAAATATATTTAGAGTTGCAGACCTATTAGATAAAGTATATTAAAATCCTCATTTTTAAAAATTCTTATCACAAATGTTAGATGATTAATAATTTTATGAAAGTCTCTTATAATTCGCACTAAGGGGCGCTAAGTAATTCATTTTCATCATATAGATCATTTTGGGATGAAATTTAAGACAAAAATTGGTAGAAAGAACTGACAATTGAATGTTCAGCTTAATTTAATTAGAATTTCAAAGAAGTGTTGAATGATTTCATTATTAGAACTTTGTCTGAAAAGAAAGAAAAAGAAAAAAATCCAAAAGTAATTGAACAATATATTGAATTATAAATTCATCTAATAGATTGTTGTTGTTATGAAAGGGTGTACCAGAATGATTAAGTAAAAAATTTAAATTTCTATTAAAAAAGAAAATAAACATTATGGAACAATTCGATGCTTTGTATGAGAAACCATTAAAAATAAAGAATGATATATTTTCTGAAAAAGTGTAATTGTTATTTTTATGAATATATATTTTAAATATTATTTAAAATTAATTATAGTTTTCAATGGCTGAAGAGAATTTGGATTAGATTATAGATATGCCGGAATAATCAGATATGATTAATGATGCAAGAACCCAAGTTTTTAAATTTTCTATTATTTTAAATAGGCGAGATATGCAGTGGAACATTTCAAGGTAGAATCGTAGATTTCGAATTACATAAAGAAATTCTTTGATGAAAAATATGGTCCTAATTGGCATTGTGTTGTTGGTACACATTTTGTAAATAAATTTACAAGGAAAACACTTTAATTCTTATTCATCTTACGAAAGCAAAAGATATATGTTTTTTTATGAAGGATAAATGGCAATTTTACTTTATAAAATGGGTTGAAGCATATGGAATAAATATTATCATTTATTAAATATTAAATTAAACAAATTCTCTGCTTTACCAAATCGATCAATTAATTTCATGAGACCATAAAATAGTTGCTTTTCATCGTAATGTTATTAAAAAACCTAAGCATTAATCCATTTCCAATCACTATGTTTATTAGGTTCAACATTCATTAATTCACTTTTTTCATTATAATCTGCAGTTAAGAATACGACTACAAAATGATGTTGTATTTCCTTTTTCACAACATTCACCATTTAAAATATTTGGGGATTCTCAATATCTAAATTTGTCTCTTCTTTTACTTCCCTAATCGCACAATCTTCAAATTCTTCGTATAATTCAAGATGACCCCCCGGTAATGCCAGATATCCATTATCCTTATAACTAAAGGTTTCTCATTACTTTACGATAGCTCATCAATACAGAATCTCCATTTCTAATAAATACTCCGACTCCGAGACCAGGGCGCATCATTTGATTAATGAAAATATTTAAATTATATTACAAAAATGTCGATTACAAATACTCATTTGTTAAATCCTTCACCATATAGTGGCATGGTCAAGAAATAAACCAATGGCAATTAGTCTCAAACATCTTTGAAGGTATTCTAATTTATTTTATTTGCTAGAACTTTTAGAACATAGTCCCATAGATTAATGTGTAAATAAAAAATCAAATGTCATTAAATTTTAATTGTTAAACCCAAAGAGAATACAAACATCGATAATCTGAACTAGAGACTAAGAGAAAACAATAATCTCCAAATGTTTAAAGGTTCAGCTAAGCAAAAAATAACAATTTTGTTTCAGGATATTATTCGAATGGAAGTGCATAATAAAAAAGCATTAACTTAATTAAACAATAAATTTGTTATCAATTAAATTCTGTTTAAGATTTGAAGAAAGGAGTATCAGACGAGAAAAAAAGTTTAAAAAAACAATCTAAAACAAAGTCATCTGAATAGTTATTATCAAAATCACATAAAATAACTACAGAACCTGCTTAAAAAACCTAAAACAATTAAAATTTAATTAATAAAATCAAGGAGTAGTCAAATTAACAAAAGAATGGTAGCTTAAGCAATCCAATTGAATTTAATTTTAAAAAATTACTTCAAAAATACCATTTAACTTTAAATAAAGCTAAAAGTACCGACAGATTAAAAAATATTAATCACCCAGATTTTTTGAAAGAATCTTTTAGATAAAAAGAATAATAATAATCAACTTTATAACATTACGTTAACATTCAACTTTATGATAAAGAAAAAACAATAGAAATTAAATATGACTGTTCAGAAAAGACTACAAATTAACTATTTTAAAACTTGATTGATAATTGTTAAGATAGTAAATATATTATTATTAACATAAGATGAGAATATCATAGGATTTTCGTCCGTGGATAATAACATTGCGGTTGAATACTATCTAAGTCTCAAAAATAAAGATTTGATGATTTTAGATAAGTAAACCATAAAATTATAACCGCTTTATCCTGAGCACACTTAAAAGTTATCACTAAAAAGCTTCCATTTTTTATTATGCGTTGGTATTGGAGGGTTTTCGAGAGTATATTTGGTTAGATCCAAAAGAAATGGTAGATTTATAGCCTTAAAATTGATATCAAAATAATTTATAATAGAACATTAAAAATAATAGATTGTGTAAAATGAAAGAGATGTTATGGTCTAATTAAATTTAAGTGATTAATAAATGCCTAAATAATTTATATGTCAACTGGAATGTGCATTTGAAACTAAACATTGGGTATGTTTTGGTATGGAATATTGTCCTGGCGGTGAATTATTCAATTAATTAAGAAAAGTTTAGAGGATGAATTAAGATTAGGCAAAAATCTACTTTGTAGAGGTTTGCATTGCTATTGCATTTTTGCATAGTTAAAATGTATTGTATAGAGATGTGAAACCAGAAAATATCTTAATTGATGAATATGGACATTTAAAAGTTGCAGATTTTGGGTTAGCTAAGCCTAATATGGGTTAATTTGATGAAGCGTATTCATTTTGTGGTTCTCCAGAGTACATGGCACCTGAAATGTTATAACAATAAGGACATACCTTTGCAGTTGATTATTATTGTTTAGGAGCCTTGCTTTACGAATTATTAACAGGGCTTCCTCCATTTTATTCAAAAAATACAGACGAGATATTTTAAAGTATTTTAAATGATGAGGTACAATTCCCTGTGAAGGTCTGTTCTCATGAAGCTAAAGATTTATTGAGAAAATTATTGCATAAAGATCCTAATCAGAGAATGGGCAATAAAGAAGGGATTTAGGATATATTAGGACATCAATTTTTTGATGATGTAAACCTAATTGACATTTTAAAAAGAAAAATCTAACCTCCTTTTTTGCCTAATTTGATTAAATTCAATTTTGATCCAAAAGAATTCAAATAAGGGGAATAAAAGTTTAATCAAGAATTATAGAAGTCGCTACAAAGTGATTAAGAGACTTAATTTGAACCTATGTTTGAAAACTTCTATTTTATAGGGGAAACTTTGAAATAAAAAAAGCCAAAATTTGAAAAATAAACTAATAGACCTCAATCATTGATTGAAGCTTAATAAGATACAATAATGACTGACAGAATGGATAAGAATTTAAATTCCAATAATTCTGCCAATTTAGGTCTAAAGAGGGGATTTTCAGCAAAATAATTTTAGATAGAACATTCTTAAAAGATTGAGGAATTGAAAAAGAGGATTTAACAATAAAATACTTAAGTAAAGTCATACATTGATCCGTTCGATCATTTAGCAGTTAATTAACTAATTTATTAAAATAAAGCCAAAACTTCAAGATTAAAAAATAATAAATGAATATTTAGTTATTCTCTTATATCAATAATATCATCATAAACAAAATATAGAAATTCATAATTCTTTTTATTAATTATTTGCAATAGATCTTTTTAGTTGTTGTTTGATGTAGTTTTTATTGACAAAATCAGCTTGATCACAAGAATTGGCTGTAAAGATTCTTTCAGTATAGGATTCATTTAGTTATTCTTATGTTGAACATCTTTCAAAATTCTTTTTTGACATTTATTTGTGTTATTGCTTTTTTAATTCATTTTTATATTATTAGCAGATCTACAGATCAACACTGAATATTTGAAAATTCTTAATCATTTTATTTTCTTTAATTCGATTGAAGATTGCTTCTAGTAAACATTCTGAATTATATAATTATTCAGACTTATCTTTAAATTTATCCTTGCCTTCCCTATATCCAACATTTTCTAATTCATGTTGAAACATGAGTTCGAAACTAATTTGAATCTAATAATATACCCTTGTTCATAAGCCTCAATGATTTCCTTTCTATTGTCTTAATAGTTAATTTTAAGGTTGATTATGAATTCAGATTGGCATGCTCCAGGTGGTAATCGTTAGATAATAGGTATTTTAGATTTTACTAAATATTTAAGATTGATTACGAAATTCACGTTGCATTTCTGGTAATTACATTAATGGGAAGGAATTGGGATCAATTTATGCATTCACTAATATAGGATAGAGCTATTTACATATTCCTCTTAGGTTATTCTAGAGAATGTTTCCATGTATGATGGTTACAGTGGATTAATTGATGGTAGCCTCATAAACATGTGTATTGTCTTGGCAATTTAAATCATATTGTTTATCTCCCTAACAAAAATCTAGATAGGTGAATTATTGCAAGTACTTCCCATATTGTTCAATAAATTAAATTAATCAATAATTAGAGGATTTTAGAGTTGGTAACAAAAATATTGAATTTCAAAATCAATCATTGCTAATATAAGCATTCATGTATTAGAAATTCTTTCCAAGGAGCAAGTGAAGCATTTATTAAGACATTCATTGCAAAATTTGTGTTTGAATGGATTGATGCTTTTATTCAGCTTGAGAAAGATAATGAAATTGGATAAAAGATTAATAAATGCATTCAAAATTCTACTAAATAAGTAAGATTGAATTAATATACAGAACTAATTTCTAATTAGGATTGTTTATGGGTTTGTAGACATTCTAACTCAAAGGCATTTAATGATCATTAAGAACGATAATAAAAAGGAAGATGGAATTAAGGCTCTTTTGAAAGGGTTCTTTGTCGAAGGTTTAAGTTTCATGACTCTAGAAGAAAATTTCATATAATCTTTACTTTAGCTAAACAATTATATTAATATATTTCAAATAATAAATTTAATATGAAATCTTTTTGTCTAAATTTTTGTATAAATAATTATTAAGGACATTTATACAAGCCTCAATATATATTAATAAAATAAAAAAAGCTCCGCGTCCGGGAATTGAACCCGGGCCTCAAACGTGACAGGCTTGAATACTAACCACTATACTAACGCGGATTCTTAATTAATTAAATTAAAGTATTATAATAAATGAGTGTGAGAGTAAAACTTGATAATAAAGAAAGAGGTTATTATGCCTCATTGTATTAAGCAGTCGATGCAACAGTATCTGAATACTTTATGCTATTAGAACACAGGCTAAATTGGGGGAGCATAAGCAGTGTCATTTTTCAAAAGATCAGGATTATCTATAGAAATTCTCAAAAAGATTTGGTTAATTAGTTCACCCAATAATTAAACTTTGAATAAGGAGGAATTCTATGTAGCTCTCAAGCTCATCAGTTATGCACAAAACAATATTGATGTTTCCAACGATTCCATTTAAAGATGCATTCCAAGTCCATTACCTTAATTCTAATCTGACACAGAAGAAGTTTATAAACTCAGACCAGAATAAGAAAGGTTATATCAGAATTATATATAATAATTAGATCATTCCAACTCCACAGTAAATCTTTATACATTTATTAGGTCTCAACTTAAATGGCAATGAATTTATTCAAAAAAACTAATCTCACATAATTTCAATTATAGAATATCATCAATCTAGTTGATCCGAACCTATTAACTAAACCAAGAATGACTACTCATTCCTATATTGTTATCACGCATCTTATATCATTAGCAGCTTAAAGTGTGCCAATACCACAGAAATTGCCAAATTCCTTATAAGAATACTTAAACTAACAATTATTAGTATCTTAAAATCTTAATATTAATAATCCCCCTATCAACCCACAACCCTCTGTTGTACCTAAATCTAATGACTTATTGGATTTTGAAGCAAATTTTGATAAATCTAAATCTCCTATTGATAAATGTATTGATTGATTTTAAACTATTTAGATAGCGCCTTCAATTACATAGAAATGCCCAACCCAATTATTGAACCTACAGTATAAAAATAGTAATAACCTCAACTAACCTCATCTTAATCATTCAAAATTCCAGCAGCATAAACTTAATAACCAATTCTAAAGCAACAAAAATCAATTGATTTAATTATGAATGATGTTGATTCTCAACCACCTACTTAGCCAATTATCCCACAATAGCAAGTAATTTCTTTGTAAAGTACAACAATATCATAGCCAGCTTCTTAATAAACTAAAAAAACAATAGATTTTCAAAAATAAGTATTACTTCAAGAATAAATGTAAATACAACAGCAATAGTTAGAATAAAATTATAAGGAAGCCAATGATTTGCTTAATGAGTTTAAGGAATCTCATGAAAAGATTCTGATTTCAAGTTAAAGTTAATTAGAATCATTATAGACAACTAATGAACAATATAAAACTTTATTAAAAAAGATTTCAGATGAAAATTATTTATTTTAAGAAGAACTTAAATAAATTGAATAATAGAAGAAGAAACTGACAGAATCTTTAAGTAAATAAGCCATAGAAATTAACCAAAAATTAGGATTGAATATTTAATTAAAATAAGAATACTCAAAATAAACTACAAATACAATCAATACAGTTACAGATTATGCCAATTAAATAATCGGAGATTTAAGATCTAATTATGAAATTGAATAAGAACGAAAAAAGAGACAAGAATAAGAAATTGTTAAAGAACTGAAATAATAAAGAGATCAGATGAGTTTAATTTTTGATACATTAAGTTCGTTATCTAAAGATATGAAATCATAAAGAAAGAATTCTACCCCTTATTAGCCTATAGACACTCATGAAACATAGAATACCTTTGTACCTTTCTAATAAGTTTAATAATCATAATAAATTAAAACTAATTAAATACCATAGGATCAATAAGAATTTAGAGAAGTAATAGATAGCAAATTTGATAATATTGAATTTCCAAAATTGAAGCTATAAGAATAATAATAAGAATAAATAAAATAAGTTGATTTAGATAATAAAGAATAATTTGATGTATTTTCTTTATATAAAGATAACTAACATAAAGATTTAACTAATTAGGTAGTCTAAATTGAATTAAATGAATAAAAATAATAAGTAGAATAATTTGAATAGCAGTAGATTAAATCAGAAGAAGTTGAGGATTTTGTATTTACTGAAAGTATATAACCTCCCTTGGTTAGGTTAGAAGATAAGATTGAATTAGAAAATAATATGATTGGATTTGATAATAATGTTGGATTTATTAATAAAAATAATGAAGATCAAGTTGAGATAAATTAATAGCAAGAACAATAAATAAATGTCCAATTTGATTAATCTAAGTAATTTGAGGAATAAGAAGAAATAGAACATAAAGTATTCGATCTTAAATTTGAAGATGGATTTGGTGCTCATTTTGATAATAGAAATTCTATTGAATAAAACCCGTCTATTAATTTTGATTAAAATTTTGTATTTGAATAGGGAACAAAACAAGTCGATGAAGTTTAAATTGATTTTGACGCCAATAAGGAGTTTGGAGGAAGTGATTGGGCAGGATTTGCTGATAATTTTGCTAAAGGATCTCCGCAACAAAAGGATGACTTTTAATCATTTAAATGGTGAAAATAAATACATATATAATATAAATGATGCAATGTTATTGATAAATAATCATATTTAAAAATGATTTTTAAAATCATCATAATTGAATTCTTGTTATTTATGATTAAGTGTATAGATGTATTTTTCATATAGATCTGGTGTCATATAAAATTTAAGAAATTGATTAGTTAAAAATGTAGCCTCATCTTTATCAATTTTATAATCCATTATATCTCCTCTTATCAAGGCGATTTGTTTTTATGTTAATAGCTCTTCAAAAATAGTTAATATATAATATGGAGAGGAAAAAGACCCAGATTTTTTATATTCTTCCAAAAAAGTAAATAACTAGAATATGTATTATCCTTACAATACTATTTGTTTATGCCTATCCAATTAATTAGAAATGGCCTCCTTTTCGTTTGATTGGCAATAAAAACAATGGAGATTCTTTTGTATTTCTCTTGAGTATATTGTATTCATCCTTGCTTACAACATAAGCAACATTGTTTTATTTTTCTTTATGATACTCCATCCATAAAGAAACAACTTGATCCTTTGATTCACGTTCGAATAAAGACATTTTGACAATTTCTCTTAATTTCCTGGGACATGGATATGTAAATGCAAACTTATATTTATTTAAGAAACTATTTAACATAATTTAATTTATTTTTAAATTTTAACAGTACTATGAACTAAAAAGTGAAAATTGAATGTGTTACTTAGGGATTCTAAATTAGCAATGAAATGAAATTTGACATCATGGATTTTTATAATAAGTCTTTACATTAAGAACACTATGCTCATAAATCAGATTATATTAGACACAATTTGGAAGAGAAATATGGTATTTTAAATATAAAAATAAAAGGACGTTGCTTTTCAATAATAATGTATTAGATTGGTGCATTTGTGTCACATTCATTTTTGCATGCAGATGATTTCTTATTGGAATTAAGATCACCTGAACATCATATATTAGCATATATGTTACCACCATCATTTAGTCCTCCTCCTTTAATACCGGAACCTAACGTGATACCATTTGGTAGAACAACTACTCAACAACAATATGTATCCAAATATTAGTAATTTTATTGTTTTTATTAATAGTCAACCATACAATAGTGGGTATTACAGATATTGATTCTTAACTATAATAATTTTATTTTATTTATAAAAGTTAACAAATTTATGTCATTCAGAAATTCTCCTGCTTTACAATAAGAACGAACAAGAGGTAATAGTTTGAATTGCAAATCATATTTAAGAAACACTTAAAATATAACTAAAGCTGATTAGCTAACATATATATAGAAATAACATAATTCAAAAAAAACCTAAGATTACTAATTTCAATTCAAAAATTAAACCAACAATTAGGATAACTATTTAACATTTCTGAAATCAGGAAAAAATAGTGAATAATTCTAGAAAACACATTAATTTATCAATCCATAGAATTTGAGATATTTGAGCCCATCTAATATAAATACTGCCAAAAATGATTTTGAATAGAATAATTTTTAATAATAAGATAATTCATTCTAAGAAATAGCCGATTTGAAAATAAGAAATGATAAGACTAGAATGTTCTATTAAACATAAATTGCAGGTTTACAAAATGTTTAAGATTAATTGAAAATAGAGAACATTAGTTTGTCTAATACAATAAAAAGCTTATCGCAATAACTAAGCGATGCCAGATATATTATTTAGAGATTATATTCTTAAGTAGATCTAAGTTAATAATAAGACACATAAGATAATAATAATACTCAAGAAAACAATTTAGTTTTTTATGAATATTAAAATTTCATTTTAAAATAGTTAAATGAATTAGAATAATAAACACTTCAATCTTTGGAATTGAAAGAAGAGAAAATGTTAAAAATTATGAAAAAGTTAAATAAAATAAATAGGAAATAGTAAATAGATGAAGATTTATTAAATAGTGCTCGCTAAATAGATTCTAAAACTATTATTAATGAACTAAAATAGGATAAATAGAATTTGTTACAAAAAGTAAAGAATTTAGAGATACAACTAAAATAGGAATAAAAGAAATTAAGCAATGAGCAAAAATTACATCAAGCCTAACAAATTGAAGAATAATTTAATGAATTCAAAAAATAACATTAATAAATTATCTATAATTTAGAACAAGATAAAAATACTTCTCTGGAAAAAGAATAATTAATAAAGAAAGAAGCATAATAAAAAATAAAGAAATTAGAAAGTTAACTTATCGCTTTGATGGATGAATTGGAAGGAAGAGATTAAATTATTGAATCACTTAATTAAACTATAAACCAAAATAAAAATTAGGTAAATATTAATTGTATTTTATTTAGTCTTAAAAGCAATAAGAAGTATAATAGCTGATTAATAAATTAAAAGAGAATGAATAAATTTAGTAGGATTTAAATCAGCAAATATAATTAATGAAAAAAAATAATAATACGATGCTAAATGAATTAGAAAATTCGAAAGTAGAGGCGCAGAAAATTAGAAAAGATTATTCCGCTTTGTAAGCTTAATTTGAATAAATTAAATAAGAAAATACGGAATTGATAAAAAAAATTCAATATGTCAATTAATAGAAATAATAATCAATAGATTCCCTCAATGATTAATGGTAAATCCTCAATGAAAAATTATCTGAATAACTAGCAATCAATGAGGATAAATATGCAAATTTATCTATCAATTATAACTAATTATCAAAATAAAAATAAGACTTAGAAACTCAATTCAAATAATAACAAAAAGAACTTGAAAGTAAGATTGAGGTATAAGCAGAAAATGAACAACTCACTCTTAGAGTTAATAAATAAAATTAGACCATTTAAAATTTAGCATAGTAAAACTAGCAGTACGAAACCACATTAGTTAAAAATATAGATGAAAAGAAATAATTTGAAAAGTAAATTTAAGATTTGATGGAGAAATTAAATGAATTATCTTTAGATAATTTAAATCAATAATTATTATCAGAGAGGGTTGTAAAATATGAACAAGAAATTGATAAATTAAATAAGCATAATTCTAGATTATTAAATGAAAAGAATGAGTTACAAGAATCAATAAAAAATGAAAGAGATAAATCCAATTTATTAATTTAGAATTAGGAGAAATTAGAGTATTAATTAGCTTTAGCCAATCAAGAAATTGAACAATAAGTTTAAAAAATTAACAAATTTCAAAAAGAAAATTTGGATTTACTGAAATAGATGGAAGAGTTAACGGCAATAAATAAGAAATTACTGAAAGAATAAAATGAAGAATGGGAGGAATAAAATAATAATCTGTTGTAAAAATTGGCATTAAGCGAAAATAATTTACTAAATTTATAAAAAACAAATACTGCCCAATTAAGGATCATTGAAAAATTGTAGGTTTTAGAGGTTGAGAATTAAAAAAAAGATGAATATATATTAAATTTGAAATAACAATTAGATGAGTAAGGATAAATAAATCAATTAAATCAAAATACATAAGAAATAGTAGATCTATAAAAATAATTACAAGATGTTAATATGGAAAAAGAACAGCTATTGAATGATAATATCTAATTACAGAACGAGTTTGCAAATGAAAAACAACTATTGGAAAATGAGATAGAAGAGTAAAGTAAATAACTTGAAATGCAAGAAAAGGAACTCTAATAATATAAAGCTAATTAGTTATAGTTAAATGACAAATTGAAACAGGCATAAAGGCAATTAGTAGAATTATAATCTGAGCTACAGGAGGAATAAATAAAGTCTTAATAATTATAGACTTAATTACAGAGCATTTCTGAGAACAAAAGTCCTGTATAATAAAATTAAGATTTACTAGATATATTTGAATCATAAATATCGCCAAGGCAATAAGTAAATGTTTAATAAATGACTGAAACTATATCATATACAGAATCAGTTCAGCAATAAGACTAAATGCATTTATTATAATAACAAATACAACAGCTATAAGAAATTATCTAAGAAAAAGATTTAGAAATTTATTAAGTTATGTAATAAAAAAATGAAATGGAAAGTAGTTTAGATGTTGCAATTGAAAAAATGAATAATCAAGAGGACCTAATCCTGTAATTAAATTAAGAAAAAGAGAAGCTTGTCGAGGAATATAAAAGTGAAATCAATCATTAAAAACAAAAGATTTCAACTTAAGAAATGGTTATATAGAGTTTATAAAGCCAAATTGAAGATTTGTAATAAGAAATACAAGTTAATGAAAATAAATAAAAAGAATAGGAAGAGAATTTATAAAAGAAGATTTTAGAATAAAATCAGGAATAATAATTAAAAAAACTGATTGTTGAAAAAGATCAGGAAATTTAATCATTGAGGGAGTAATTGAATAAAATACATGAGTAAATTGACTAACTCTAAAATAAATCTGTTTTGAGTAACAGATCTAAACGAAGTATGCAAATGGCTAAATTTGATCAATTTTAGGATGTAAATGAAGAGGAGAATAATGAAGAACTTGAAGATGAGTTTGATTTGAAATTTGAATGTATGATTTTGAAAGAGAAATTAAATAAACAAGACGATTTAATTAAACAATAAGAATAATAAATCAAGTCATTTAAGGAGCAAGATAATGAAAAATCATAATAAATAGAAAAGGAAAAATAGTAATTGTAAATTTAAAATGACCTACTATTATTGGAAATTGATAAAATGCAAAAGGAAATGGAGAAATTAAAAGAGGAATAAAGAAAAATGCTTGAATAGTTTGAATTACAAATGAATAAATCTGTGATTAGTAATAGATCAAAAAGAAGTCAAAATTAAATACAATATGATTAATTCCAAGATCTTCCTGATGATAATAGCTAAGGATCGTAGGATGAGGACGATAATGAAGAATTAAACTTAATTTATTTGTAAAATAAAACTTCGGAACAGCAGAAATAAATCCAAAACCTACAGGAAACAATCAAAAATTTAAAGGAAGAAAATAAGTATTTAATCTAAAATAAGCAAGCTCCTTGTAGGAAGAAATAAAAGTCTTAAAAAATAAAAGTGTGCCTTTAAAGCCGAATGTTGAAGAGATAGATTGGTTTGATTGATAATATTTCTATTTATAAATGTTTGATTAACTTTATTAAAATATAAATGGAGATCACGTGAGTTAGACTGTAGGTTGTGAACTAAAAAAATTAGTGTCTGTAATGTCTTAACATGATCTTTTTTATATTTGACTTTATTGTGTTGTCTTATTTCTTTGGAAAACTTTAAAATTACTATAGTGTTGATTGTTGCTATTTTTAGTACTATGAACTGGTTTATACGGAAAGAGAGAATCACAAAGTATAAATCCTTGTTATGCTTTAGATTTATAAAATTGATCCGCTGTTTAACATAAAGATTTAGATTTCGAAATAGATGTATGAGATTAACGACTTAGGCATTATTTGAGTATTTCAACCTTTTATTAAATCAAAGGATTAATTATTCTTAATTATTATTTGGTCATGGTTAAGAATGGCAGATTATTTTGTAAATCATCTTCTTGTTATTAATTAAATACAATTGGTTCTTTTTATAAAACCGAAGGTAATTGATGTCTTCTAATTTATTCGAGTAGATCTTTAATATCTTTTTGGTGTTTACTAAAGTAAGGTGTTTTAGCTCTTATATAATAAATTTAGAATAAATACTTAGGTTTTGCTGGTTAAAATTATTCGAATTATTTTTCTACTCTGATAAGCAAACACTTTTAGAAGTTTTCTCCAGCCATTTTTAGCATATTAAATTCCTCATTTTTACCAGCTGCTATATCAGATTTTGTATGTTAATCAGCAATAGACAAATTTTATTCAACCATTTATTATTTAGTCATTTTAGGTTGTAATGTGGATCTCAAAATAGGGGAGGATTATTCTTAGTAAGAATTTTGTGTATGCAATTTAATTTCTATTTCGTTGATGTATCTCCTTTCAATATTTTTGATTTCTTCTTTTTTCTGTAGATTTATATTAGCTATTTTTGTTTACATAATTTCATCTAATCTTTTTCTATACAATGCAATGTTTTTTTTTTGTAGAGTTTAGAGAGGTATAATGAATTCAGGAAAGGATTTCTTAACAATCGCAAAATTATCTAATTGCAATGTAAATACATTGCATTGAGTCAATGTTTTAACACTGAAATCTCTTTTTTCATTCTACAAATAGATGTCAGTTTCACCAACGAAGCATCCACCTGTAAGATGAGCTATCTATATATTGAATAAGAATTATACAGTTACGAGTTCCTTCTGATTAGTTTTCTCTTTTTTTGGAGATAAGGCAATTTGATTCTAATCAGACTTTAGAAGTGGATTAAAATCAACGGTCTATTAGAGTTGGATTTCTCCATCCTTTAAGAGGAAGAATCCGTCTACAACATCATTTTATTTCCAGATGGTGTAATTGACAGGATATTTGTATTAAGTGAAATACATAATCAGTTTACTCATTTTGAATTTAGTCATAGTTGGAAACATCTTAAGAAAATAATCTATTTTTTCTTATTGTGTTTTGATCTATTTTTCAAAGATTTTCTATAGAAGATTAAGATTTATTTTTTTACTTTGAAATTGGCTTTATTAAGTGATAAGGCTTATACATCAGTTACAACAATAATGCTTGCTGCTCTAGGTTTATCAGTTGTCAAAGCCATGTCTCCAAAAAAGAGACCAGAATGCACTTGTGACAATTACTAGAATTTACATATTCCATTAATAGTAAAATACATATCGAAATTACCCACATGTAACAATAATAATTCTGCTTCTATTTATTTTACTGGTTTTGATTATTTTTTTATTAGCTTTTCATAAAATGACAATTTTTGATCTTAATCAATTTCTTCAATTGTTTTAAATTGCATTCTTTCAAGAATTTTTTCAATTTTTGGTAACATAGCACCCTCCTCAGCTTCTATTTATTATTGCTGTCTACGAATATATACACCTGCTCTGCCAGTAAGGATGATGTAAAACTTGTCTCCCTATTCACCTTGTAATAAGTTAGAATTATAACCTATATGAAACACAGCATTTCCTTTTTCAATTCTTTCATACTATAGATTTTAACATATTAAACGAGTAAACTCAAATAAGGTACTAGATTCAGGACACCATGTTTTAAAGATTTCTATATTTTGCATAATATTAGTAATGGAATCTACTTATATATCTGTTAGATTGAGATTATCTCTGTATACTTAAATTACAGGCTCATCATAAGATAAAAACCAATACTGCAAACATCAATTCTTTTTAACTGATTTGATCCTCAACATCAATTATTGCCTCCTTAACGACTGTTTTTCTTCTGTTCATTAATAGGGAAATAAATGATTAATTATATATGAAAATAAACAATATTAAAATAAATAAATTCAAAATTTATTTATCTTATTAGATTTCTAATAAGATAAAAAAGAGTTCAAATAGTATGTAAATCTATAAATTTGTTCATGCTAACAAAATCAGATTGGACACTTTTATCACTTAATTTTTTAGCTTTAATTCCTTATGCCTACTTAAAAGTTCGGTTTCATTATTAAGTGATTAGGCAATTAACATCCAAAAATCATAAAAAATATTATGAAAATTATAATTTTAGCGAGCAGTTTGCTTTTAATCAAAATTTTTTGCTTTTTGTTATTTAATTAAAATTGTGATTTTTTTGATCAAACATTCAGACTTTGGTTTATTATGTTCAGTATCAAATTTTAAGTTGGCATTCAATTAAAATTATTTATGTATTTTATTTATAATTAATCTGATAGTATTCTATATAAATATTTTAGTGTATATGTAAGGATGTCTTTAAGATATAGAACGAATAATTCCAACCAAACACAAATATCATTATATCATTTTCATCCACAAACTTTATATGGACACATACCAACAACCTATCCACAGTGTGGACATTAGTGAGTTACATCTTTACATTTTTCACCCACAAAAGGTACCCAGCAAATACAACAGATGAATAATGCTAATATGAAGCAACAACACCATGTTCCAGATCCTGTTTAATAATCAATTTTGGTTGCTCCTTATCTTTGGCAATAAGGACATGTCAATGGTACAGGAAATCTTGATTGATTACAAAGGAGTTATGATTATGTAGCATTCCCCATTTACGTATTTACTACAACCAATTCTTACTAACCTGGATCTATAATATAATTACATTAGAACTTACATGGAGAACCTTAAACTCTAACATTTTATTGTGGATACTATGGCTAGGAGGGATAATTGTTATTTGATTATACATAACCTTGTTATAGAGAAGAAATTAGATGTACCTTGCTATGAATTAATTTGCAGAGGAACTTAATACTGCTATTAAGTAGTGGTTACCTCAAAAGTGCTATTTGAATCTTGTTGCATAATTATTTATAAAAATGAAAATTCAATTCCATATTTTAGTTAAGTTCTAAAAAAATATAGATTTTTATAAATTATCTAAAAATTTATATAATTAAAATAATTAATGGATATCAATTTAAATAACATTAAAGAATATATAAATATTAAAGACAAAGAATTTACAAATAAGTTTACAAATATTTTACTAGAAACTTTCACTAAATTCAGTGTGTGGTAATCAAAGATGTTAAATCTCAATAAAAAATTATCGTCAGGATCAACCTTTAATAAAACTCAATTAAAATTATTCATTGATAGAATCTTTGAAGAATTATAACTAAATTTGAAACAGGTATCAACATATATTGAGGATGTGTTCCAATAATTAAACTCTAATCTAATACAATAAATTAACAAATTAGAATAATTTAATCGGCAATATGAATAACTTTTTATTGTGGATAATTTTGTTAATGATAAAAGATTGTAATTCACTTATGATTTCAGTGAAGCTTTTAGTTATTATTCTAAATTTATTGCAAGTGACAATCAAGTTGTTAGCAAAATTGTATAAATTCAAGATAAAATAATTGTAAGTAGTTTTGATAAATCAATCTCTATTTGGAATAAGAATCTTTAAGAGTTATAAAGAATTAAAGATGTACATTAATCATGGATCAGAGTTTTAACCCACTATAAATATTAGGGTCAGGAATATATTTTAAGTTGTGGAGATGATTAAAAATACTCAATTTTCAAAGTCAACATAGACAATAATTATCAAATTTTGCAATTGAATCAGGAAATAAGTACTCTCGCTTATAGTAGATAGGCTATTTTTTATAAGGATTGCATTCTAAGTCCAGGAGGTCAAAGATAAAACCATGATATCTTATGTTATAATTTGGATGCTAATCAATACTAATATAGATTTTAATTTCACAAGAATATGCTCATCAACTTAAAGTATATTGAACCAAAAATTTTGTTATCCACAGATTCCCAAGGATATACTGTAAGATGGTCAATAGCAAAGATCTCAAGAGTGAGTCTGAGGAAAATGAATAATTTGAGTTGTTCAGATTATGAATACAATTTTAATTTCTTTGGGACTGAATAAGGAAAGATCACAATTTGCAATAGTTACGGCAAAATATTGAGAAGTACAAAATTATCAAAATCAAAAATACTACACATTCAATAAATAGATTCTGATCATTTGATATTTATCTGCAAACCTGATTACTTTTGCTTGTATAATATAATGCAAAATGAATTGCTGCAGAAAGTGAAACTATTAGAGATCGATGAAATAACAGCAATTAGTATAAATATTCCATAAAGTATATTGATTCTTGGCGACAAGAGAGGAAGACTTTTTGTGTATAATTTTAGATTGTATTTAACGATAATATGAAAATGTATTTCAAAATTAAGCTGGTTTAAGAAATGAAAACTTCTGATCTGTTGGATTAATTAAGTATCTAAGTACGGACTCTCCAGGCTTAAAATTATAATTGGTTAAAAAGTTGTGTCTATTTTAGAAGATCTTGAATATTTCCTTGATTTTATAACTACTATGACCAACATCATGATCAGGATCTTATGGACTAAACAAGGAGAATCTCTCATCTTGTGTAGATTTATTTTCAATTCTTCCTCCTTAACTCATAACAATTTTCTTCCTTGATACATCAAACTTGATGCCATAGAATTCAAGAAATTTAATCATATATTCTCCTAAAGTAACATTTTTAATTTGATCTTCTTTATTATGTTAGAAGAAATCCTTACGAAATTCTCTTAAAAAGGCCAGGATCATCTGGAATAGTAAGAAGGAACCCACTCCTCCACTGTATGTTTCATTTAAGTCTCTTTATCTTAAGACACACTTTAAGGTCATTAGGAGAAATTTCAATTCAGGATAAAGTTCAAAAGCTGTTTCTAATTCTTAAATTTATTTTAATCCATCTAATTAATTGAATGATATGTCGAAATGATATTAGGATTCCACTTCTACAAACTTAATGATTGGCACTTTAGCATTGGCTATTAAATTAACATTTTCAAATTTATTAGTTTGTTTCATCATTCTGGCAGCAACCTTCTTAAATAATTATTTTTGTGTGCAAGATGTTTCTATCATTACTATATCTATATCTGCATTAGGCAAATACATCCTTGTTTTAAAACTACCGAATGATTCAATCTAAGCCTCTGGGGCTATATCCTATAAGTATTTCTCAACTCTCAGATAAGCAGTGACTCTCCTTTTATGTTCTTGGTCTGATGGTGTGATGTATTCATAAAATTCAACAATTTCATTGTGTAATCTCAAAACTGGATGTCTGATCATCAGAGTCTTCTTACTCATCCATGGAATAACATCTACACTCATTACACAATCATTTTCATTATCATTTTTAACCTTCTTAGAACTTAAATTATTAGTAAAAATATCTACATTTTTGGTTCATCCTCTTCGTCAGATATCACTATTGCTTCTTTGTTATTTGAATGTTTAAAACGTTGAGCATTTTTGTTCATGAGATAAAAATTATAATGAATTAATAATAATATTGGTATATTGAAACAAAGCATATACTATTAATGAGTATAAGCTTCCAAGTTAAACCATACATCTCTTTATCATAATATTGATGACAATAACCATGTTTAGAGTATTGCCTCAGAGATTATGATCCTAATCTAATTCTACTGACAATTATTTGTATAACTTAGAATCTCACTAATTCTTTATGGGTTTATATAAATTATTAATATATTGTAATCATGGATGCCAATAATGACAATCCAGAAATATCTGAATAGAAGAAGCAATTCCTTAAGGCCTTCTTAAGAGTGTGGAAACTCAAAAAGGACTAAGAATTATAATAGAAGGAGAAACAATAAGAATAACCACAAGAATAAACAGAAGAAGTTTAATAAGAATAAGTACAATCTAAGAGTTAAGTGTTTTCAAGAGAGGAATATGCTAAAGATTAATTTTGGGAGGATAGGTACAAAGAACATAAAGGGAGATTCGACTGGTATGTAGAATGGCCTCAGCTTAAATTCTATTTGGAACAAACGAAATTTTAAATCACCAAGGAAAGTTCAATCTTGATGGTTGGATGTGGTAACTCAGCCTTATCTGAATAAATGTATAAGGATGGGTATGAAGTTATTCATATATTTTAGATATCATAATATTGTGTCAATTGATATATCTAAGACCATTATAGATAGGATGTAGGAATCTGCAATTAAAAAAAATATGAAACTCTAGTATCTAGTGATGGATGCAACATCTATGGATTTTCAAGATTAGCAATTTGATATTGCATTTGATAAAGGTACATTAGATGCTTTATCTTGTGGTGATGATACTAAAAACTTATTATTGCTAAAGGAAATGAATCGAGTGGCAAAGTAACTCATATTTGTCAGTCACTCTTCTCACTAAAAAAGAATTGTATTATTGTTGTTATTAATTCAAGAATATCATGGAACAAGTATTTGAAAATAGAAATGTATTTGAAACTAAAATTAAATTATCTGGCTAGGCTGAGTTAATTAATATTATTAGAACTAGATTAAAGGATAAACCTTTAAGTTATGTATTGAAAGATAAAGCTTCATTGGTATAATGTATTAATGAATATAAATAATCATAAAAATAATAAAAATAGGAATAGTAAGAAGAAATATATGAATATATAATTATAAAAAGTGAATAGTAATAATAATAAGAATAATAATAATAATAATAATAATAATAATAATAATAATAATAATAGTAATAAGAATAATAATAATAATAAGAATAATAAGAATAATAAGAATTATAATAATAATCAGAAATAGAAGAATAATAAGCAATGATATAATAGTAAATTAACTTATAATAAGAAGAATCTTAAAATATCTAATAAGATGAAAATAGTAATTAAGTTGAAAACAATAATGAAAATTAAGGAAATGAAGATAATTAAGTTAATTATGATCCCAGAAGACAATCTCATTGTTATCTATATAAGATTTTATGATTAGAATCAATTTACAGATTGTACATTAATAATATATTACATTAATATTAATTTAAGAAATATAAAAAATATGATATCGAATGATACTTTGACTCCAATGCAACAAACTGCTTAATTTTATATACCTCCTGGGTTTAGTTTTCATAAAAGAAGCCTCAAAAGACTCACTCCACAAAATGACAAGGATGAATTACAAACATTCAATGTAAACCCAGCCCTAAACATTAAGTCAAATAGTTAACCAAATTTATTAAATCTAACAAGGGATAAAAATTTCTCTTTTCATTTTGACTCAGCATAACAACCAGTGTAATAAAACTCCATAAAAAAACAATTATGTCTACTGGGGATATAGCAGAGATTACTATTTCCAAGAATCACTTTTAAAAAACAGAATTCTCTCGACATTGATTCAATAAATAGTGTTTCTTCTCCTGAGAAAAGTAAAAAAATGCTAAGAGCTTTATTAATGCCTTAAAAAAAAGTGTAAAATATTGTATATTAAAACAATCATCGTTCTACAAAGTCTTAAGGTAGAAGTTTTCTATAAAGTCGACCATAATTAAATTTATTGAACAGAATATTCTCCTCGAAATCTTAACATGAATTATGATTTTTTATATTTGAATTTATATCAAATCCATTAATTAATAATCGATTTGAATCTGCACTAATTTACTTATCAAAATGGATTAAATCGTTAGGATACTCTTTGACTATTAAATTGAAATTTTGAATCTTCAAATTAATTTAATTTCTTAATATTGTTTAATCTACAATTCTAAAGTATATCTAAATAAATATGTTCTTTCTTAATAATAATTGGATTTATAGATATTATTTAATACTGTTGATGTGTAAAGATCATCTTAAGGGATTATTGAGATTTTTATTTAAATTTTGATTAATCAAGAAATTATACTAAAACATTGCAATAATATTATATCAGTCACTATTTATTAATTTTAATTAATGTCTGAAATCTCATCATCTATTGTAAGTGGTATTTAGAGTGAAGAAGAGGATAAAGAAGTGAACTAAAAGTATCTTAGTCAGAATAAGAATGAGAAAATAAATGCATTTGCATAAGAGAAATGTAAAATGAGTAATATAATCTTATAGAGAATTGGGGAAAAAATAAGTCTAAATATTATAAGGAAGATGCAGAGTCAGGAGATTCAGATGCTGAGTTGGAGGAAGAAATGGAAGCAAAAGCATTGTAATTATAAGCAGCGAAGAAGATTTAGGATGCTGATGTTTGGGATGTGCATGTGGATTAAGAGGAATAAGAAATTGAGTAGAAAGCAAAGTAATTATCTAATGAATACAATTTGATTGGATTGCAATGTTTAAGTGAGGAAATTGGGATAGAACCAGAAATAATCGAGAAGATGGATGTTAAAGAATTAAATACTGTTATATTAAAGGGTTGGCCTGAATTGAAAGGAATCCTCAAAGAAATTAGTCAGGTAGGAAAGGAGATTAAAATAATAAAGAGGAATTGCAAGAAAGAAAAAGGAAGTGAAATTAAAAAGTATTTGACTATAAGAGTTGAATTAATGTAGAGTTATTTTGGATTATTGTGGTTTTATTTGCATTTGAGAGCAAGAACAAGATTGAGTTAACATCATCCAATTTTCAAAAAGATTAATGATTTGAAAGAGTTAATTGAGGAAAGTGAGAGTTACGAGAAATATGCTCAATTGATATAGATGAATGTTGATTAGAAGGAGAAGGAGGAATCTGCAAAGAAGAAGGAAGTTAAGAGAAAGGAGTAGACCAAGAAATAGGAAGAAGGATAAGATACTTTGAGTTTGAAGAGGAAATTGAAGAATATTTACAATAATAATAACAGAGAAGATGTAGATGAGAAGAAGATTTCTAAAATTAAGAAGTTATTGGAAGATGTAGACAGAACTCATAATAAAAATGAGAATAAAGGATAGGATTCTGAGGAATCAAGAATATCAGTGAATTCTGGAGATATGTTAGATGCTATGAAAGATGTAGATGAGCATTTAGAAGAAGGAGGAATGGATGAGATTTATGAAGAGAATTTAAAGAGGATTAAGGATAAGAAGAAATAGAAGAGGGAAGAGAAGAAGGTTGAGAGACTTGAGAATTTCTAAAAGTTAAATAAGTTATAGAAATTACATGAAGTAGGAGAGGATGATCCAAGGAAGATTACTTATGTTATGTTAAAGGTAATTATAATTTTAGAGAGTCATAGAATCTTTCATTAATGAGGAGGAGAAGAGGTAACAGAATTAAGAATTCAAGAGTTAAACACAAGTTGAAGTACGAAAAAGCACTCTACAAATTGAAGAGTCAAAACAAATACTTAAAGAAGTAAATTGTGAGATTTAATTTAGTCCTGTAACTTCTAATTATGTGGGAGAGGGAGCAATTAAGTCTGGTGTTATCAAAGGTGTAAGATTGTAGTGATTAATTTTGTGCATAGGAGAGTAACTAACTATTTACAATTATAAAATGTTTTGATGAATAAAATGTGTTTTTTCCCATTCTTATTCAAGACTTTGAGTCTGAATTAGCTCTCTTTGATGATTAAGAATCTGAGGGTGATCTTTTTCTACTAATGCTTCTCTTCTTGGGCTTGTCTTGTCTTTTTGGACTTCTACTATGTCTGTGTTTATTTCTTGAGTATCTATTTCTTCTTCTGGATCTTGATGAAGATTACGAAGAATATGAACGAGAATCGGATCTCCTTCTGTGACGTCTAGAATATATATACAATATAACCTACCTAGATCTTGAATTTGAATATCTTCTACTTCTACGAGGGGATCTGCCATTTGGACAATCTCTAGCCCTATTAAGAATTAATTAATAGTGATACCAATGCCCGCCTTTACTGCATTTGAAACACAAATCACTATCAGAAGGTCCACTTTTTCGACTTTTGCGATTGTCAACAATATCCACTTTGAGTTTTTGACCATTGTATGTCATTCCATTGGTCTCTTTAAGTGCTTCTTGAGCTTCAGTTTCGCTATTGAAAGTCTGATAAGATGGATATATTACAACGAAGGAGTATGAACCCTTATATGCAACTTCTTTGACTGATGCATATTTTCTAAAGATTTCCTTCACATCTCTTTCATCAGTCACTTTATTGCGACTGTATCCAGCGACGAAGAGTTGATTAGGGACAATCTCACCCATTAATTAAATTTGTGAATATCAATATGAACGGGTGTGGATGTAAAGAATACAAAATACTTAATAAATAATAATGAGTGTTTCACGATTACAATATCAGAAACCATAACTAACTAGACAAGTCTCTGCTACTTCAAGAACGACTCCCAAAGATATCAATCCTGATAACACGATTATGTCATTCCTTAAATCAATGGATACAAAATAGGCTGCCGTATTAAATAGATCACTACGTTAAGGAGAGAAACTCAATGTTAGAAATCAGCAAGCTCCCACTACCTAAACACTAAGTAGCAGAATCCAATTATCGACTGTTGAGAGATAAATATTTAATAACCTCGAATTAAGGTATATTAGTAACAAGAACTTTCTAGAATTTAAAAGTTACCTCAAAAAGAATAAGAGTATGTTAAACAACTTTTGGGGTAGATCGAAAATGGAGAGTAAAAACATGAAGAACTAATCTAATTTTTTAAAAATAACAAAAGTAAAAGAATACAATTAAGAATTTTGTCTAATTATGGGAATAGTACTTCAGTAGGATTAACAGGGGTTGAATTACTAAATCAATAATCAAAACTCATTAAAATAACATCCATCATTTCAGATGATGATTCCAATAATACAATCACTAATCTCATTAATGGACATAATTTGATAATTAACTAGGAATACATGTGGATAACAAGTTATAAATCATTTCCAATCACGATTACTCTTCATTATGTGGAGGAGTCTGAAGTCCTCACACATGTCAAAATTTGGAATTTTAATAAAAATAGAAAGGAATTGGATAAATGTGTACAAAACCTTGAGATTCTACAAAATGAACAATTGGTTTGGTAAGGTTAACTAAAAAGAGGAGTAGGCAACACCTATACTGAATATGCAGATCTATTGGAATTGAAAACTAATAATCTAATGAAAGAAGTAGTCCCTCAGCCATTCTACCAATCGATGTAATCAATGGTTTCTAAGAAATCAGATGACAACATGTAATTGTTATTATCATTATATCATAGTATAAATCAATCAAAAGCATCTAGTTAATTTAAGCATTAAAAACCTAAGGTTATGAAAAATCCCTTTGATGATGAGAAGAGAATCAAATAGCCAGAACCTTAAGCTGCCAAAATATAAGTTAATTAGAAGAGATTATTCAAAAACCCTATGAATTTGTTTCCACAAAAATAATTGACTGAAGAAGACACTACAATCACAAATCTCAAAAGAGGTGTTGCTCATATAGCCGCTGGATAGACGAAATAGAGAATAAAAGGAATCACCATTCCTGATTGTCCTATTGGAAATTTATTGATATTTAAATTACTGAGAAACTGGGGAGATATGTTTTATATTGGATTAACTGGGATAGAGATATTTGATTATTTAGGAAACAAAGTTTAAATTATGGAGGCGAGTGGTTTTTTTAAGAATCCTAGTGTTTTGTTTGATGATAATTATCTGACTCAGGATGAGAAATGCATGTGTTTGGATAGGATTGATAAGAATATGGAGATTAAATTGAGATTCAAGGAGACCAAAATAGCAATGATAAGGATCTGGAATTATAATAAAGGAAGAACACATAGAAATAAAGGAGTGAGGAAGATGGAGATATTGATTGGAATGGATTCATCTGATTCAGTAGATCCCATCTTTTATGATGAGATCAAGTAAGCTAATGCCACTTGTAATAGTGACAATGCAGAGTACATCATGTTCACTAATAATCAATAAATATTAGATAAAATATCCTAATCTGATTGGTTGAATACATTGCATCAGAGTTAGATTCAACAATAAAAGTAGATCTTAGAGAACACAATTAAATTAAGTAGACCAGATACAGCCACATTTAATAAACATAACCAGTAAAAACAGAACAATGCCATCCTCATCAAATAACCATCTGATAAGCTCTTATAATCTAATTGTAAGAAACCCTTTGCATCTATACTCAACACATTGCCCACTGTAACTGTCAAAACATTGACCATTTATATTTTAAAGAATTGGGGAGACAAATATGTTGGATTGGATAAGATAGAAATTCATGATAAATATGGATAATCATTGAAAATTAAAAAATACAAAGTGATTACATATCAATCGGAAACCATAATGAATAGTGATGAAAGATGGCAATTTCACAATGGGTAAATTAGGATTCAATTCTCATTTCCATAATCTATTCAGATCAGCAGGATTCTCATTTGGAATTACAACAAGGAGGATGAATTAGAAAAAGGAGTACAACTAATAAATGTAGAAGGAGATGATCAAACATTGAATACTATTTAAGGGATCTTTTTAAGAAAGGGTCATGGATTACCTGATGCTAATGAACCTTAAGTCATTGACTTACCATACCAATAGAATATCAAAACCATTTTAGCCAATTATCAATTTGAAAAGAGTATCTATTTAGATTATGAAACTGCTCAATTACCTCAAGGCACTAAGATTACAATAAAATTAATATCGACTTGGGGAGATTTACATTATATTGGATTGAATGGATTTGAATTGTTCGATCCAAATGGTGATCTCATTATGCCCAAATTATATGCAAAACCATATTCAGTTAAGGAACTTCCTGAAATGGACATGGATGTTAGGACACCAGATAAATTACTGAACAATTGCAATGTTACATTGGATGCCAAACAGATTTGGTTGGCTCCTTTTGTTAATTCGTATACAAACAGATTGCAAACTAATATTAACTCAAGTGTTTTTGATTAAGTAAATTACCAAGTTAATAAATTGATATTGCTATTCGATTCACCTCAATAAGTCTCAGCCATATCATTTTATAATTATAGTAAAACACCTGTTAGAGGAGTGAAAGAGTGTGAAATTTCTATGGACGATTATATAATATATCAAGTAATGGTTATATTTATCTCAAGGGCTATTTAAATTTATCCACTCTAACACAAACTCCAAAAGGGATCATAGGGAATAATAAAACTACTGTTTTATTCACAAGAGATGAAAGACTCATTGAATAGATAGGATCTGTGGAAATAAGAGACAGTATATTAGGATCTGAGACAACTTTGATAAATGAAAATTAGGTAGATAATTATAATAATTATTAGAGGGAAACCATCAATAGTATCAAGAACAAACTAGTAAGACATTAGCAATAGAAATTGTATAAAGAATTGGATAGACCAACAACAACCGAAGTTTACTGATTTTTGTTAATAGATTATTATTTAGTATATATTAATCAATATTAGCTTTATTCAGTCTATAATCTACTATTAATAGGTGGTAATAAAAAATTGCCTGATCTTTTGTTAGTATGATTATTGTTATGATTATTAAATGTAAAATGATTAGGTGATAACTATGGTAATTTAGAATTGCTATTTGATTTAATTGATGGTCTAGCAGTCTTTATCTACTGTATCGAGGAAGACTTAGGTTTCTTGTAATTGATGAATAATGGACAGCCTTCATTATCCAACTAGACTTATAAGATCTTGCTATTTAATATGTCTTCACATGATGGTCTCTTTCCGGGATCTAGGGATAACATTTTGCTTAATAAATTAGTCAAAGCTTGATTCAAATATAGTTCTTCGTGGATTTTAGTCCAATCTAGATTGCATTCTTTATTCTACTATTTCATGGCCAATGAATTCTATCCATTAAATAATGGTTTATTTGTTATTCTAAATTAGGGATATGCGTTACAATCTATAGAAAATGCATCCCAAACTAAAGATATCACATTTCTCATCATAAGTTAAATTTTTATTATTTTCACAGAGAATCACTTCAGGCGCCATGAAACCAGGAGATCCGCAGTATTTTCCAATATCCATATCTTTCTTAATTTCTGAACTTACTCCAAAGTCGCTTACTACAATATTAGGATCGGTTTGTGCAATCAATGAGAATTACTTCAATGCCATGGGTCTCTTAAGAAGTATATTGCTTGGCTTTAGATCTCGATGCATGTATCCTCGTTCATGCATATGTTTGATTGCTTCAACAATTTATCGGAATATCACTTTGGCAGTCAGGAAAGGCAAAGGCTCTTCCAATTTCTTTAATCCTTGTTCCAGAGTTCCACCTCTGGCCAAATCCATTACAATGTAGCATTGGGCTCTGTTTTCAAAGTGATCGTAGCATTTTAATATACTGGTGTGATCTAAGGATTTCATGACCCTTATTTCATTGTCTATGGTTTCCTATTAAGTTATATATTAGAATGAAATACTCTCCATTTATCAGGGTCTTTTTGTATTAGCATTTTCTTAAGGAAGGCTTTGATAGCTAATTTAACACCATCAGCCTTTCGTTTAGCTATGTAAACAGAAGCAAAACTTCCACTTCCTATCAATTTCTCAAGTTCATAATAGGTTTAGTAATCCAATTAGGGAAGAGAGGATTTTAATTTTAATTCCCAAGGTTCAGACTTATCTAGAAATAAATATTCTTTGAATTAGCAATCATCTTTTTCTAATCTTAAAATAATGGAAGTGGATTCATGTTTGATTTAATATCTCAAGGTGCTATTAAGTTTTGTCATTTTAAATGATTTTTGAGACTAGAGATAATATCTAGAACTACCTTTTTAAATAATAGATTTTGATAGCACATGATTTCTACAGGAACATTATTTTTTGATAGAAATTTGGAGTGCAATTGAAATTTCTGGATTGTGTTGAGATCCGTTGTGGCTGGTTCAAATATGTTATTTTACATTCTTAATTAATTTATCTCTTTATAATTAATTAAATAGATATAAAATATCACAATTGAAATTGCTTAGTTTCTAATCCTAATTTATTCATGATATCTGCATTCTAAACAAATATAGCTTTTTGTTTTTCAATTGCTCCAGTAAAATCAGATCTTAAAAGACTAAATTGATTAGTAATTTCCTCATTCATACTACCAACATCTTATTTATTTCTATATTATCTTCTATTTATTTTGAATTCATTCAAATTGTATCTTAAATTGAGAATCAGTTATCTGAATTAAAGCTTAGTCAAATTCCCTTTCCTATTTTACTGATATAATAAATTTATACTTTAATGCAACCACAATCCTTAGAGAGTACATAATTACCATCGAAGCTGATTTGGCCATTTATTCTCTGAGTTAAATTCTCTCCAAAACAGTTATTGCATGGGACTCCAAAGAAGAAGTTTCTAAGGAAGTGATTAAAGTGACAACCATGAGAGAAATGACGAAGATTCCAAGCACACAAACAACAAATATCACAAATCTGCCCAAATCAGTTCTGGTATAAAAGTCTCCATATCCAACTGTTGTTATTGATATAATAATATTCCAAACTGCATTGTCATATTTACCAAGATTATTATTATTCTGATCATTCCTAGTCAAGGGATTCTCACTGATTCTTACAGCTTAAGCAAACACAAGTATCAATGTTGTCATAGCTATTGATTAGGCTGTGTATGGAGAAGTTCTCATTAAGGATTTAGCCACAAACATATAATTACCTTCACATGCATATAAGGCACACACTCTTTGAGTTCTGTTACTATACCAAAATGTTTAAGCCAATAGACTTCTAAATAGGAATACTATTCTTGATAACATAAACAATTCCAGAATTTCATTAACATGATAGTATGCCGTGGCTTCTTAAAAATTGTTGTAAAAATACACTCTTATCTCTCTTAAGAATGGGTAGGGGATAATCAAATATATTGACAATTCTATCAACATTGGATACCATAAATCTGTCTGCCATAATCTTTCCTTTTTGCTCAACAAATTCCTGGATTTCTACCAATTCATGTGTTGTTCATATCTTAAAAATGTGAAACCCAACAACAGTATGGTAAATATTAGGATCATCCACAACAACCATATGGATATCCATCTCTCCTCTTCGAATTCCAGATTATATTGCAACATACTTAAAGCTAGTCCGGTAGAATTGAACAGGAAGCATATTTATTCAAATATTAAGAACTTACGAAATTCCAACTTGGTTATCTTGCCTATGTTATCTCAATCTAAGACTTACCATTTTCCAATCCTCCTAACTATTATGAATAGTTTTTAAACATTTAACCTAAAGTGGCTACTCCTATTTCTGGTCTCTATACCAACCTTTCCATCTCCAATTATCTCTACTTTTATTCAATAATTTTACTTTACTACCTTATGAATCAATTCTCCCCTTCATTTTATTAAAATTTAATATTTTTCATTATCTCTAATTCTCAGTACTCAACTCTACAATGTCAAAGAAAGTGCATGCCATCGATTCCCTTAGAACGAGATCTCTAATACCTCCTGATTATGATTAATTTGAGGATAGTCAACATAATTAAGAAAATCTTGTCATCTCAAGTCAAAGAAGTTAGAACCTTAAAGGCATACTGAAAAAATAAGGTAAGAACAGTGCTTCCAAGTTGAAACGTTTTCGCATTTCAACCAACTTTAATTAAGTATTTATTGTAGAAAATTGGAAACAATACAATTCTAACTATGAAGAACCAGCAGAATCCTGCTGTCAAACATTTTGATTCTGAATACAGATACATGAATAAATATTAAAATTAGTTTAAAATTTACAAATATCCATTTCAATTTTTGTATGTCATAATTATTTTCATATAAAATCATATATATTTGAATCTTCTAACTCTTTTATTGCATCATTCTTGCTAAATGACTTAAAATTGACCACTTGTTCCAATTACTAGATGAAATCATCATCAAAATCAAAATTTTAATTCTAAGTTAATTTGAACAGAATACCTTCTGAATCAATTGCCCCACTATATCTTATGTGTCAGAGATATTATTGGCCAAAATCTTGTAATTATAAGCCAAATTCTCATGCATTTTGATGACCTCAATGAACTTAGCTTTCTGTTATGAATCGGTATGCTTGTCTTCTTGTGTTTTTTGTAAATTATTAGGCATAATCATTTTATATGCCAATTATTAAGCAGTCTAACGTTTTTGTTATTATTCAACTACAGACTCCTCCTTCTGAATTTATTCTGAATTTGTCCTTTGGGCTTGTTCCAATTGTTATTTCTCGTAGACTTCGTAACAAAATATCAATAACTCTATTGGTTATATACTAATCTTTTCGTAAATGCAACATAATCATACGTATTTTTGAATACTTTCTCAGTGCTGTTGTTGTTCAATTCATCCCTTATCCTGTTACCAATAATGGGGATTGAGGCATTATCCAAAAACTTGGAGACCACAGTGACCCAATCGTCGAATTTGATTGGCTTGATATACGATTCTCGAGGATTAACGTAATTGGTGTAAATGTATTTTCGAACTTTTAGATAGAATTTAAACATTGAAGGGGTTTTCTCGGTCAATTTGTTTGGATCCAACAAATGAGTGAAATAAGACAGTTCAGGATCACTAATTTATTCTTTAAAAGAAGTAATGAACCCAGTCATAAATGATTTTGATTTCTTTTTTGTTCTTTCCTTTTCAATGTTTATGATGAACATGTTACACAATAATTAATCAAAGCAATGATAAAGCTATCTTGGTTGTAACCACGCACTTGAGCCATCAATTCAATTGTATTGAGAACATACTCAATCAAATTCTGCGGTTTGATTTGAATTTATTTCTACATCAGCATAAAATGTACGTAGTTGGGATCATACAATTGCAAGGCTTCAATGGATTCCTCCCATATCTACACGGTTTCGAAGTTATACTCTATTTTAAACCCCTTTTTCATTAAAATTAATAATTAATGAACAATCCACTTGGACGCTCTACATAGAAACCTGAACAATAGCAGTAGGCACAAAACAATCAAAAGAATAGTAGAGCAAAAGAGTTTGAAAAACAACTCCAAGAAGAGGAGAGAAGTAACATATCCTCAATCATATTTATTAGTGTTGGCTCAATCGGCAGGAATCGTTAATACACAATAGCCAACCACTCAATAATAATAATAGCCTGCTTATTCATAATAACAATAACTCAATTAATAACCACAATCTGTATTTGGATAAATAGGTTAAATGCTGGATGCCCCAAGAGTAATACATTCAACAATATTAGAAATTATTTTTTAGAAACACCACAACTCAACAATAACCAACTTAGTAGGCTTAAAGATAATCAACCGATTAGAATGAGCCAGAATTTATACAAACTAATATCGTGTAGACCTATACGACTCGTGACATTAAGTCTATTGGACTAGAGATTGTACAACCTGGAGAAATAGCTTTATAGGAACTCAGAGGAATATGTTCAATAGGCTCCCAATAATTCTAGGGAATCATTGTAGCCACCAATTATTAGGTAATTCAATTGACTTACAATTATAGATTGTGTTTTTACCTGATAAATTCCCAAAGGATTTTAGAAAGGATTATTTTTACGTTCCTTACACACTAATAATCAAGGTAGACAAGACTATGGATAGAAAGCAAAATGATGCCAATTTCATTGAGATCTCATGCAAGGATGGTAGATGGTTCAAATATAGATTTTTGAGGGAGCAGAATGATGATTGCAATAGCATATTTAATGTCATCAATAAGAATGCATTCACCTTAAATAAATAGACCTTATTTGCATTCACATATTATAAGGAATTCTCCACCTTAGAAACTGAATTTTAAGGATGGAAAGTATTCAACATTGAAAAGGATTTTGAGAGAATGGGAATTAATATCTTATAAGAGAATTCCCAAAATCAGAATGGATTATTTAAATATCTAAATAATGAGAATGGAATCATTTGTTCTACCTATTATAATAGATTAGTTGTACCAGCAAAGGCAGATTTAGATTGTATCTAAAAAACAGCCAAATTCAGATCCAAAGAAAGAATACCCATACTCTCTTATGCATTTCCAATAAATGGAAAAGTGATATCGATGTGGAGAAGTTCATAATGCAGAACTGGCATTGGATAGAACAGATCCACTGAGGATGAATGCTATTTGAAATATATGTCATTTTAGACTGTTGATGAGCAGGAGAGTCAATACGAAGAGAAGGAAACTAGATTAAGGATCTATGATGCAAGACCTCACATCAATGCTATTGGATAATAGGTGGCTGGCAAAGGCTATGAGAATACTCTGTTTTATAGAAGATGTAGCATTGACTTCTTGGATATTCACAACATACATAAAGTAAGAGACTCATAAACCAAATTGTTGAAGGCAGCATTCAAGTATCTAATTTCAAATACATTTAAGTGAAAATGTTCAATTTCTATCGCAGTTGGAGTAGTCATAATGGTATGATCACATCGTGGCCATCATCAAAGGATCTGCAAAAATAGCAATCACAATGACCAGAGAGAAAATCAATGTGTTGGTTCATTGTAGTGATGGGTGGGATAGAACTGCTTAATTGACTGCTCTTGTCTCTATTATGATCGATGGACAATATAGAACGATTGAAGGATTCATGATTCTCATTTAAAAAGAGTGGATCAATAGTGGACATCAATTCTGTCAACGATCTGCTATAGGCAATAAATAAAATAATGAGGATTCCAGATCTCCTATCTTCTTATAATTCTTAGACTGTGTCTATTAGATGCAGCAATTGTATCCACTGTCCTTTGAATTCAATGGGAAACTACTATTAGATTTAGCTTATCATCACTTAACTTCGTTATTTGGAACATTCTTATGCGATTCCTTTTTGGTATCTCTTTCTATTTACTTACTCTTAGGAAATTCAAAAGCAAAAAATCATGGAACAAACTGTCTCTATATGGTCTTGGATTATGAAGCAAAAAGACAAGTATATTAATGCTTTCTATAAAAATCCATAATCAATTGATCTAGATGTTATTATTCCAGAGTCATTCACTGGCAAGTCAGTTACTTTCTGGAAAGAGTATTTCCTCTATTACTCTTTAGAATCAAATGATGCATATTAAATACATCCTTAATGTCAATACACAAGGTATGATTAGCATTTATAATTTAGTGATAATATATAAGAAATGTTCAAAGCATTGTCCAAAGAAAATCATGTTTTAAGATAGGCATAGAAGGATCAAGAAAAGTTGGCTATTCTTCATCAATAAAAATTTAATTAATTAATGCAAATTATATAAGAAACTTAAAATGAAGAAATTATCGAGAAGCTTTAAACAATCAAACTTATTTGAGCAAGATTTTCATGTTTATAAATCATTACATATTTAAATTATTAAGAAGATCTTTTAAGAGTGATTTTTTACTATTTATAAAATCTAATTCTAAAAATAAATCAGATACAGTTTTATTCTTATATTCATTATTAAAATAATACATAATTTTTTGAATTTAGTAAACATTACAAAAATACAACATTTATAAAATCATTGTAAATAGTGATTATAAAGATGCAAACAAATTATCGCATCCAGCGCTGCATAATGAATCTAAGCACTTCTTAATGGTCTCTTTTGCCAATGTGATATTTATTCTACTTTATCTAGTTCTTTCCCCAATAACCTTTAACATTAGAATGACAAATTAGTTTTCTTTTCAACTGGATATTTCTATCTAAATAACTGAGATAACTCAATAAAGTTTCTTAATTCGACATCCTGTTTTCCAATCTAAACTAATAGACTCAAAAAATCCATTTTTATATTTTATCCAATTTTTAAGCTATCACTACTTGCATATTACACCAGGAACTGTTGATATTTGATACTATTCGTAAGACTAGTTGTGTTTAATAAGTAAATCTTATTTGGTAAAGCAATCTAAAATAAACAAACCTAATTTTTTGCTGAAAATGTATTTTGAGGAATATCTTAAAAGCTTTCAGTATCTATTCCAGTTTAAGATGCCTTTAAAATTTGATCTATGATTTCATCTTGCAATGCTTCTTCATCCTCAATCAAAACTACATCTTCCCTATAAATTTTGAAGTCACTCAGTAGCACATATTGATCAATCTTCTTTGGTTATAGTATTATCTCTGATGGCACTAAGAATATAGATACAATTAATACAGAAGGCATCATTTTGTAATAATGCATTTTGGCTAACACAATTACAATCATCAATCTCCTTTTAGATCAAAGGATTTTACACCTTTATATCATGTCTTTTTGCTATTTAAATTGTCATTTCTTTATTTGTTTCATAATAGTTCTCAACCAAAAATTATAATTTGCTATCATCTCCTAGGAATAGTTCTTCCACTTTCTCTATTGGTAGTTCTGCTTTCTATAATATTAATGATTTTCATACAAAAATAAAAAATCTTAAGGATTCGTTGTTCAAATGATTCACAACCTTCTAATTATCTGCTATATCTAAACGTTGCTCCTTAATAATCTTAGTTTATAATTTCATGTCATTCAAACTCATCTCATGCACTAATTCCTAATATAATCTATTTTCTTCTTACTTGATATGAAACAGTCTCATATTAGAATGCATTCATAAATTTATAGGCTGTGAAATACTTTTTTTTGTTAATCAACTCTTCGATGTATTCAGAAATCCTATTTTATAATACTAGCTCCTTCAATCTAGATTCGTCTATCAATTTATCATTGAGAACATTTGAATGTATGATATTCCACAAGATCTTAACTCTCTTATCTAAATAAATATGAAATTCCTTGATATTTTTTTTTTCCATTATCATGTTATAAATTTTATGTGAATGTGTAATCTGACAAGAACTAGAATTCTTTGAAAACCTCTGAAATATGGAGTTTATAAATTTTGTGAGTCCTATAAATAAAATACTCTAATATATGCTACTGTGAGAAAAGTAATTAATTATCTTGTTTATAATTGTATTCAAAGATCGAAGCAATCCACTAAGACTCTCGTATTCAGCATCATCCATATTTGACTACTAGTCCTAGATATAAATCGAATTGTAATTGTTCTGATCATTGCATGAGGTTCTATTCAAATTTTTGGATTTCGAAGTCAAATTATTCTACTTCATAATTTATTAAATGATTTTTTTTTGTTATTTCACATAAATATATTTTTCATTTCTTTATGTTGATTAAACTGATTTATAGTCTATAAAGCAGATGTGCAATATTGTAGAGATATATAAACATAATCCTTCGTATATTCGAAATTGCCAATTGATATAACCACTAAAATATTGAAGTTTGAATTCACTCCTGAAGAATATGATACATTTAAGAGATGGGAGATCGTAAAATTCTAAACTGATTGATATCTTTCCTTTAGAGTATTTTATAATAAAAAATCTTAATTATTATAAAAGAACTAATCTAATATATTGATAATTTATATTGTAGAACGAATTGTTTTATTAGAATAGCAAAATTATTCTAAGTATTCGTATATTAATCAAATAATATTTTCATCTGTTTTATATCATGTAAAGGATATTCATAATTATTTCCACAAAGCAATAATTATAATGAGTTGTTTTCTATAGGAAACCTTTTGTTCACATGTCGTCTATATAATTTTAATTTATTGATAAGTACTTGAAACCTTTGATTCTTTCGATTTTAGTACAAAACACTAATAATAATAGGATAAATAATAAGTGATTATTTTATCCTATAATTTCTTGTAAAATTATAATTTGTGCTAAAATATCGAACAGAATGATTAATTTTTAACTTATATTTAATTACTCTGATGAATATAAATAATATTTATATTAACTCTTTGGTAAGAGATCAACCTTACTTTGCTTAATATAATATCAAATTGCTATTATTTTTTGATATTATTGCATTTTCTCCATAAAAACACGAGTCTTTAAAGTATTAAAAATATTTCTAATTTATGCACTTTAAAAGAGCATCTTTTCAGAGCAATGTAAAACTAAAACAATAATTGTAATTAGAAATTTGACAGAATATTAACATAAATTAAAATTCTAGAATTGAAAAAGATTAGAATAAAAGTAATAGAAATAGCTTGATAGAAGTAGTGATAATTTATCAATAATAAACCATTATTTATTGCTTAAGTAGATGTGTTATTTCATGAATAGAATTTTATTGTAAAATTCTTTTCTAATGAGATAAGGAATATGTATCAAACATAAATTTTTCCTTAAAAATGAACATAGTAAAGTAATTTATGATAACATTTATTCTATGTTTAAATGGCTTTTCATTTTTGGAAAGTAAAAGGATTATAATGAGTAAAAACGAATTAATTTTTTTATTATTTTTTATTTTAATATTTAAATGATTATTTCAACCTTATTTAAAAGATAAATGTGTTTACAATTGAAATAATTTCTTTAATGGTTATGAGATAAATAGACAAAATCAAATGTATCTAATAGAAACACAATTTACCATTCAAATTAGTAACATTTGATTTTTAAAATATATGTGGATGTAAGATAATTTAGTAAGTAATACATTGATGTTAAATTGAAAATAAAATGAATATTTATCATAAAAAAGAAGTAAATCGCATTTATACTTAAATTTTAATTCAAGTATAATAATAAATTTTAGATAAGACTTAAAATATTTAAATATTTATGTAATATTAATTTATGAATAACTGATAAAACGCAAAGCAAGATAATAAATACTTTTTATATAATTAAATTGCAATCATAAAGTCAATGGAAGATTCAATTCAAACATTTTGTGATTATATTTTACATTTAATTCATCATGTCCATCATAATTTTTGATAGATCTGGATCAAAAGGTGGGTTTTTCAAAATTTCATCTGGGATTAGATTTATTTTCATTTCATTCAAGTGAGCAAATTCTCTAAGAAATATATAGTTGAATAATATTACTCTCCTAACACCTCATCCCATCTATATCGTAGATCTCTATAGTATCTATTCTTCAAAATATTTAATGGTCTTCCAGACATCTTTCTTTAGATTATTTTGAATTTCGGTCCAAATGTTAATATGAACCCCAAAAGCTTCTGATCCTCTTAAATTGTAAAATCCCTGGATTTTCTTCCTTATCGTTATTTTTTTTTTTTCTTAATGTAGCTTTTTCTCTTCGCTGACCCTTAAGCTTCATGAGCTTAGATCACATTCTGGTGGTTTTTGTTCTGTATAGATGGTTCCACACTTGATGAATCTAAGAGTTAATCTTTTGATTGTTCATTTAGAGTGGATATAGAATCAATGTCTTTCATAAACCTTATAAATATAATTTTAATTCAAAATATGTGACTTTTATTTGATTCTTTATATAGTATTAACGATGACTTGTAGTCACAAATAATATTTAGTTTCCTCTTAAAGTATTATTTAAAAGATTGACAAATTCTAATTTTAGACTTTGCAAAGTAAATCTTAATAATTTAAAGATAATTAAATGAAATATCAATATAGATATAAATATAATATCTAAACTTATGCAATTTCTTTGATAAAATAAGATTGTTTTAGCTCGATAAGAATAAAAATCTTATGTGTTTATTAGTTTAGCATTAGTTGTAATATATTTGATTAAGGTAAGATTATTAACATACTCTTTTAATAAGTTTTTAAGAGAAAAACATGTAGTAAAAAATGACATAATAAGGATGTTCTGTAATATAATCTATAAATGTTGATATAAAGAATTTATTATTAATATTTTATAAAAACTAATACAATTTGAATTTCTTTCGTTTCCATATAAATAAAGTATTATTCTTTTATAGTCATTTTGGCAATGAGTAAATCTGGTTCTCTTCAATATCAAAATCATTTATCATTTAAATTAAGTTAAAGTTTCTACGCCAAAGTTAGGACACAAAATCTTTGTATTTATTTTGATATATAATAAAAACCTATATAAGGTCATAAAAACCCCAATTTTGGAAGAGTAAGTAAATTATAAATTATACCTAAGAATAATTATATCAAAATGGCAGATTTTTATGAAAAAGATTTTAGATTTGAACAATGGTCTTATGGATTATGAATTAGGGGCAAACTTGCTCAAATATTCATGTAATCATCAGTATAATCATAATTTTGTGAGTTATGTGTAGATAATAATCTGATCGGAATACATCGGATGATTGTATTATAACCTAACATTAGGGATAATTAATTATATAATTAAAATGTCAATTAAGGACGACACAAAGATACTTTAATAATTTTTAAAGGAACTTCCTCACGATATCGCTGTTAAACACATAAAGACTGTCAAAGCAATAGGTAAAGCTGAAAAGTAAATACGTCATTTTATTATAGTATTCAAAGCACAAGAGTATTTAGAAGTACAAAATAATTAAGTGCAGTAAATGCGCAACTTCACAATACTTTGAAATAATAATCCGATTCTTTAGGAGAAGAGGTTATATAAGATGTTAAGGATGAAATAAATACACTAATATAAACATTGACACCTAAATACTAACTTGGTGACAAACTTCAATTAGTGGATGGAATTGAGAAAATTATTTTTGCCGAAGATAATACTCACACAACCGAAAAAACAACATTTTAAGTGGAAGATGGTATTGTTTATTTGATTGACATATGGGTAATAATTATAAACAATATTTTTAGGCTACATGGTGTGGTCCATGTTAAAATCCTATGGAACATAATTAAAAGATGTTGGAAAAGAATCCAGATTGGCAGAATAAGGCAAAGATTATAGCTATATCTGTTGATGATGACTCTGATTCAGTGAAAGAAAGAGTCAATTCTAAAAAATGGAAATCCATAGAACATTATAGATTTGAGAAGGGATGGGATGACCAAAACAATCTTATTAAATATCTTTAACTCAGAGGAATTCCATTTGTTTTACTAATAAATAAGTGGGGTAAGATTGTCTATATGGGACATCCTTCAAAAGCGAATTTGGAGGAAAAAATAAATAAAGAAATTGCAGCTGAAAAAGAAGAAGAATAAACACAAACTCAAGAGAAGGCAGCAGAAAACAATAACCAATAGGAATTGCTGACAAAGGAATAATTCAAATAGGTAAAAGATAAATTAAAGGAATTATAACCTGTTCTTTAAGATGCCAAATTTGAAGGAATTGTACAACTATAATTACAGAAAGAAAATCAATGGAGTCATGATGGCTCTAAGGAAGTTAAAAAGAGATCTAAACTCGAACTGAGTTATGATGTTAATGTTGCAGAGGAAGAAAAAATTACTGCATTCCTTTAAAATCATTGGAATCAAATCCCAGAGGAGTTGAGAGTTGTAAAAGAATCTAAAATCAGAGATCCTTAAAGATAAGTCAAGGAGATCAAAGCTAAATTCTAATCACATTTTGAAAGTAAGGGTGCTACCATCTCATTCCCAACAACTTAAATTACAAATTTAAGTTTGAGTTAAGATAAATAAGAAATAACAGGTGGAGATAGACACAGATTCGATATCAAATGTGAAAATCTGACCTTAGATACCTATAAAACTGGATTGGATGAATTGAGAGAATTCACAGAATAATTCGAAGATGAAGAGAACGAAGAAATTAGAGAAACCATTGAAATGATTATTGAAGGATTAAAATCAAATGTTACACTTGGAGAAGGTAAGTAATTCGTCACAATTGACAATTACAAGAAGTGGGGATCTGATGAATTCACTTCTATAGAACATACTTAAGGCCAAGTCTTAGTTCTTGATTATTGGGCCAAATGGTGTGGTCCATGTGTTAGAGAAATTGCAAATAACACAGATCTTATCAAGTAAAACTAAGATAAATGGGGCAAGGCTGTTAGATTTGTCTCTTTGAGTTTGGTCTTGGCAGAAGAAGCTAAAGAATTCATGGACACTCATTAAGAAAGTTAATAATACATTGAGTTCTATTTCCCCAAAGAACAAAGACAAAAGGATGCTACTTTGTATGGTGTTCAATACATTCCTCATTACATTATTGTAGATAAATTCGGCACAATTAGAAAGGTAGCTTCAGTAGGAAACATGAAAGAAGTTGTCAATGAATTGATTAATGAAGAAGCTCCTAAGAAATCTCTCGAACAAGCTTAGCCTGTTTTGTTAGGCCAAGATGCTATCACTTAAATCAAAGCCATTCTCTAAAGTGACGAAACTACAGATTTCATAAAATCAATCGACCAATAAAAAGTGATCGCCTTTGATCTTAAAATCAATTCAAAATAAGTAGGAGGAGACCAATATCAATTTGAAACAGTTTAACTCAGTTATTTTGTTAGAGACACTCAAGTGGAAGGTCTCTAAACACTTTTGGCCAAACTTTATTAAATCATTCCTGAAACTAGTTGGAAGATTGATAAAACAATTTCAAAGACCATTACAATTAAATATCCAGGAGCTGTTTGTGCCGTATGCTAAAAGGATATTTCAAAGGATGCTTAATAATACTATTGCCACTTTAAGGATGAACACGTTTGCACAGAATGTGCTGAATTTGATGATGTAACTAAAACCGGAATGGAAAGATATAAATATCAAGATGCTTTAATATTTATTAATGGCCCATTATCAGACTTATCTGTGTTAACAAACATAGATGATCACAAAATTGGAAAGAACTTGAAGTTGAAAGAAGGTGACAAAGCAGAATAAAGTCATCCTATGATGTGTAATGGATGTGGAGGAGGAGCCAAGGGTCCAAGATACATTTCTCTCAATGCCAGACCTGGAAGATATAGAGGAGGAGTATATTTTTATTCTATTCATTTAGGGTTACATTGACTATTGTTGCAAATGCTTTGCAGAATTAAAAAATAAAGACTCTGAAAGAGCTAAAGAAATTGTTGCAAAAGATGTTGCAGATGGAATGACTATAGATAGCTTATTCACAAGAGTCCTATTCAATTATGGAGGTTACCAGGCATTTTGATTAATCAATATCAATAACATAAGGAAATCATTATTCAATCCAATAAATCCTACTATTAATTTACCTCCCCTTTGTCTTATTTGCAATCTATTATCCTGGTTTTATTAAAATTTTATTTCCAATAAGCAAACCACTTTAATTATCTGATAATAATTATCTATTTTAATCCATAATTTTATTGGTGAGTATATTGAAGCAGTTGATTTAAATTAACACCATATTGTATCTTTAGATGGAAAATATTGTCTAATTACATTTAAATTTAAATATTATATTCTAAATCAAATAAGGTTTAATTTCTACTTATCTACGCTATTATTATTTATGTCTTACTTTTACCATCTAGGTTTATTGCTTAAATGCAAAAATTTATATGAGAAAAACATTTAAAATCATATACACTATATTATATAAAGATTTATAAGATTTATATAACAGGATATTGACTGTTCTGGTTATTATAATCATCAATATAACAAAGGAAAATAATTTACAATTTTGAGAAATATATTTTAGAATTTACAATTACTTTACCATCTAAATATTTCAAAAACAAGAATTAGAATACAATTGATGCTTTTCTTTGACATTTAAGATAGCTAAAGTTATATACAATGTACTCATACTAATTCTTAACATCCTCAGCTCATCATCTGATTTAATTACAACCTTAAGCTCACCTGCCAGAGTAAAATCCAACAAGGTAGCATTTGATTGGAATAATTAAGTCCATCTGAATACTGTCAAATTTAAATTCCCTATCACAATGCAAATGGCACTAAGGAATAATAAATAAAACATAACTCTTATAATTTAATATAAATTTTTCAAATTTTATCATAATAATTCAAATTGTGTATTTATAAAAAATGTCAGGTATCAATATAAACATCAATCTGAATCTAGAGAAGAATAAGTAGAGTTATATTTATAAACTAGAGAGCTGCCAAGAGCAAAGGAGAAAAACTTTGTGATGGTGAGCCAAAGAAGAAGAAAAAGAAATAAGGCAAATCAAAATAAACCAATCAATCACCCCTTCCTTGGGGATTGAATTAAGAAAGACTTAAGAATTATATCTTTGCCTAATTGGCGAAGAGAGACAACCTGCTGTACCAACAATAGATAAGGAAAGGAAAGGAGGAAGAACCAAAGGAAGATCGACGAGAGATTTTGGGAGTCTCGTTTTTGAATCATCTTCCAAAAAGGAAAATCAAATAGATGATTAATAGTAAATCTGTATTTTGATATTGTTTAGAATAGAAGGTCTATGAAGATGAGGAATAAACACAATATCAACCAAAGTTCAATGAATAATAATTACAAGAGATACGAATGTATAAAGAATGGAAGAAAAGATAAATTTAATTTGAAATGCAATTCAAAAAACAGCAAGAAAAAGATAGATAAACTAAAATCAAACAAAATTTATAGAATTTAAACGAATATATTAAATGTAATTAAAACACTATAATCTACAATAGGTCGTAATCATACTACATCAGTACATCAAAAAAAGTCAGTGTCCTTTCACAAAAAGAAAAGAACAAAATCATCGATGGCAGATAAGAAAAGAGAATTGATTATGAAATATCAGAATCTAGCTAATCGTTATGCTCAAATCAATGGAGAACCCAAAGATAATCAAAGTTGTTTTGGACTAGTATTGGACAGCGATTAAGAAGGTATATCTTAAATGGACTCAATCCACAAAAGCACTAGGAGATAGCATGTTATATCTGAGCCAACCTTGGATGAGGATGAGGAATAATAAATCCAAGAATTGGGAAACCTGGAAAAAGAAATGGCTTAGATCGTTAAGGCTGCAATTATAATTTAAAAGGTTTGGAGAGGTTATAAGACGAGACAAATATTATAATATTACAAGAACTATGTTGAGGATGACGAAGATGAAATTAAGTTAGATCAATTAACTCCAAATTTGAGTTAAAGATAAGCTTAATTGGAACCCATCTGTCAATCAGTGTAGATAGGTAAGGAGCAGAGTGGATTGAAGTCATCTTAGAAAAAGAATGAGAAAAATGGATTCAATACGTTTATTGATTAATTGGATTGGGATGATGAAAATGAAGGTCAATTCAATTCTCAAAAGGTGTCATCTATTAAGAAATTGCCTCAATAGAAATCACTTCATAAAATTATCATTGAAAAATAAAAACAACAATGGCATCAAATGTTAGAACATATTTCACAATTATAAAGAAAAGGATCTAAATAAAATATTAAGGAAGTTTTGTAGGATTTAAAGGCTTTCACATTGTAATTAACAAATCAGATAGATGGAGAAATCAATGAAGATAATTTAGATAAGCAAGAATAATAACAGTCAGTAGAAATGAGTGAAATTAGATAAGTGATGGGATCAGAGAATCTAGTTAAATTATCATAGACTTCATCACCTGCTAATAAAGATGCTTCCTTGTTTGAACAGAATCCATTCTATGATTTTGCATCCAAAAAATTCAAAGAACTTCTCAATCGAGAGTATATGAATAAATTAATCTAAATGAGAGAGACAGCAATTGAAGAAAGACAAAAAAATGAATTGAAAAATATTCATGAAGCATTGTAACAAAAGTAAATTAGTCCAAAGACATTTGAAAAGTAAAAATTCAAAATTGAAAAGTGGGTTACAAAGGAAAAAGAAGACTTTAAATAACAGAAATCTAACATTGAAAATGGATGGAAAGGATTATATGAAACATTTATGAGAACATAAAAGGATTTATTATTCATGTCTAAATTGAAAAATCAGTAACTAACCTCCTCATTCTCAAGTGAAAATGTCAGTAACTTGAGATTGATCAGAGAAATCAATTCAGGATCACAATCAAAAATAGTAAAAACTAATAATTTTGATACAGTTACTATGAATTTTAGTTCATCCATCTGTGAGTCATAAGATATCAGAAAAGTCCCCAAAACTTCTCCTTCCCCATCTCCACGTCATCAATAATAATAATATAATCAATAATAAATCTACGAAAATTTGGAATGGGATGATGAAATGTTGTACACAAGTGATAATTTAGACTGTGGTAAGATTCAACAATCCTAAGTCATCAAGGTATCTACACTTATACATAAAGAACCTGAGTATAATGATTCATAAATCTAATCATATTCCATTCTAATTGCCAATTCAATTATTGGAAATGAAATACAAGATATGTATGAAGAATTGAAGGTGTACAACAAAGACATCACTACATTAATAAAGTTTCAACAAAGCAAAGGAATTAAAACCAACATTTAATAAGTCAAAGTCTATTTAGCCAAGTTAGAATCATTTTTATTGCAGTCTGATAAGAAAACTGCATTGATCTAAAGAATAAATACTCCTTTGGGGCCAACTCCTAAGGAAATCTTGAAATTTTTCCACTATTATGATGAGGAGGATGATTATTAATCCAGTGAACACGATGATTAATCAAATTAACCTATCTTATAGACAGAATAATATGCTTAATTGGAGAATTAGCTGATGGAGGAAGAACAGATCTCCTCGGAGGATGGATTTTTATTGGAATTAGAGCATATTCATAATAAAGTCCTGTATGATGCACTAAATGAAGCTTTGGATTACTTTAGACCTTTCGGATTAAATGGTTATCCTCTGCCTTGGATTAAACAGCCATTAGAATTGATATAAAGGTACTTATAAGTATAATATCATTAATAGAAATAAGAAGTCAGAGACTCTTTAAGAGATATTCTAAGGGGCTATAAAATAAGTTACTGATTGGGCATCATTCTTAGTAGGCTTGATAATTGATAAGCCTGACTCTCCCTTTCCCAAAATTCTGATGTTAGATTAAGAATACTTAAATTAGATAAAAGAGGAGAGGATGATAAGAATGCTTAATTAAGAAGTATGATTATTGATAATAATTAAAAGATTTATCAAAATGAAGAGAGATGGCTAATTTACGATGAAGAATAATCTGAAATTCTAGTTGAAATTTCATAGATGGTTTAAGATTAATTAATAGATGAATGCTTAAAAGAGCTAATTTAGTTTTAATGATTATGAAATTAATAAATCAAAATTTTTGATAGATTAAAGTTTTGTTTTCTTTAGATTTATATATGAACTCAACTTAGAACTTTAAAATCTAAGACATCTCAGCTCCACTCTAATTTTATAAAACTTTAGATTTTTATAGAATCTCATTTTTACCAATGGTTAATCTCTATAGAATAATAAATTAATGATAAATATAATAAACTCTTTGTTAAATTTTTAAAATATAATTATTGATCACAATCACTTTTTAACTAAAGTTTATAAAGACATGTCGTATGGTAACTCTTGATCAGAAGGTTTTTAATTTTCAACCCCTAGTTTAAACATCAAGTTATTGTAGTAAAAAAGAACTCCTAATATTAAGAAGTAAGCAGTTAATGAAAACCAAGTTAACCCAACGATTTGAAGAGGATATTCATTAGAAATCTAAGGCGCAACATCCCAAAGTTCCAGACTTGAATTTTAAAATCCAATTCTATTTTTTTGTTTATCAAAGATTACGATGTAATTTAATAGGAATGTGTCTCCAAAGAGCATACAATCGAATACATCTTCAAATTATTTCAAACTTTTAAGCGTTAGCTAACAATAGCCGTCATTCATGCTTGAGTAAAGAATATAGCTTTAGTAAGAGATGGTAAATTTATATCCTTTAGAATAAATGACTATATCTGGAAAATATTATAACTCGTATTCATTTGGATAGCAAGGACAAAGTATAAATAAAAAATACTTTTTGCATACTTTAAGCAATGAATCCATAACAAGTTAAAACAAGTCTTCTGTCAGATACAAGCAAGAACTTCCAGAATCCACCATTGCGCAATTATATTATTTTAATTACTTCACTTAATTTTTGATTTAAACTTAATCAATGGGAAAGCTCTAATTATATCGCTATTAATGTACCCAATAATGCTAAGAAGTTGAATTTAACCATTATGTACCATTATTAAGTTTTTATTCTGAAATATTGTAGTAAATTCTTGATTAATATGGCTCTTGGTTTATTTGCATGACAAAAATTGAATTATTCAATTGGCCTTGCTCATAAGCAATATCAAACATATTTTGAATAGAAATTTCATTATTTAACCCCATCCCTCCTTAAGTTAAATTTCCAAGAATATTTTCTTGATTTTCGACTAATAAGAAAGGCATAAACGAACGAATATTTGACCCTTGCAATCCCACATAATCATCGACTAAAAAACCAGAGACTTCTGAAGTAACATACTGAAATTGAAATTATTCTATACTTGAATTTTTATTGGTTTATGTGTATAGTTCAATGTTTCTGATTCATCAGGTGAAAACGCGGTTGCCCAATTACAATTTGTACAATCAACTGAAGGCACCCACAATAAGTTAGATCCAGTATCAAACTGTACAGAAAGAAATTGAGGTGGTGTCCCTACTTCAATTATACCATAGAAGAGTATGTTTTCATAATTTGACATGTTCGTGTAATCTAGTTGTTATTTTCTGAATAAGCTTATTGATATTCCCTATGCGTAGTACAAGAATAACAAATTAAATATCATTATTATTAAATAGTCTTATTTGATGACTACAAGTATTCAAGCAAAAGTGAAAAGAGGGATTTTATATCAAGCTATTTTATAAGTGATGATTCTAGATGAAGATTAATTCTTGAAGAATATAAATCTTAATGGGAATAGTCTATGAAATAAGAGATTAGAAATAAAAAATATTTATGATTTAAATTTGAGAATATACAATGCTTTTATTCTTCAAAATTACATTAAATCATTCTATTATTATTAAGCAGGCTGGCTTTGCTGTAATGGCTAAACAATTTAAATGGGTTGAGTTTCTTATGGTTTTTAAACACGCTCAGCTCTTACATGAATATGTTTATTCACTATCGGCAAAGGAGTAGCATTAGATTTGATATCAAGCCAAAAGTTTTCTTTTTGATGTTGATATAGGAATTTGAAATCGAATTATCCCTTGATTGGGAATGTCTTCAGAATATCTGTGTATGTGATATCTTTGATATTTAACTGAAGTCTAATAACATTTAGCCATACTCAATACGTGTAAGCATTGGGTTATTCGGGATCATCCAAATCTTAAGGAATATGGTAATGAATCATAGTGTAATTTTTATTGGACATTCTCTCTATAAATTATATATATAAATTAATATTATGCTGAAAAGTGTTTAATTTTTAGTAAATATCATAAAATGTATGTATATATAGTGATAGAATAAAGAAGCCTGGAATTACTGATCATTGATTAGATTAGAATATCCAATTGACAGAATTTGTACTTGTTTACAAGTAGGTAGAAGGATCGAAAACTAAGAGATTTTAGTGTTTAATTGTCTTTGAAGGAAGAAGTATTTCAAACTTGCAGTGGCAATGAAAAAAAGAATTTATATTCATTTAAATTTTGTAAGGAGTTCTCTTGGTGCAAGTGTTAATTTTAGAGGTTCCTTGTTGATGTTAAATTTATCTGCATATTTATTTAATAGTTCCTGATCCGGATTGCCAAAGCGATTAATTGCATCCTCCCTCATACGACCATACTTCAATTCTAACTTAGTTTTACGAAGATCGTCTTCATTTTGAAAGAATTCATTTGATGTTATATGAGGCTAGCATAATAGTCAATTGCTTTACTTACTCGATTAATTTTACGTTGGTTAAAATCCTTGCTCATAGTTATGTTTTAGACAGGGGATTTTTCAAGTAGTTTTTTGTTGTTCATTTTCTTATCTGTTTTAATACGAAAATTGTTATTTTAAAGAGGTGGAGCCTTGGTTGCCTATTGCCCAGGTTATTCATTATCCCAATCATCTTCATTAATCTCCAGCACTTTGAAGTTGCCTCCTCTGAAATATTATTATAAAGTGATCCCATTAATTCTCTGAGCCTGACTCGACTCCTGTCTTTGATGACTCTGTGATACCAATCTTCGCTTTTCCATCCTCGAGCACTTCGATGTTTCTGGACGCATACCTTATTCTTCCATTTTTAATTAATATTATTATATTATCATTCAATGATATGCACATCCTTTTTCACTTTTCATCAGCAGTCCTACACTTATTATCAATAGGAATAATAGACAATATCATAATAAAACATTCCTCACCTTCTCAGAAGAATACTTATCGACTGACAGTTGTTATTTACAAATTGAAATTAGAAACAAATGTATTTATATGCCTTATGGAAAGATACTAATCTTGAAGATAGAATTTATTCCTTACAGAATATCTAAGTCTGCTCAATGCTATTAAATATTCTCATTACATATTCATATTTAATCTAATCTCTTAAAATAGTGATCATTAATTAGTTAATTAATTAAATTTACAATTTAAATTGAAACAGAATAAAAAGTTAAAGAAATAGTAATTATAAATGAAACCAAAAAATATGGGAATTAATTATCAACTTTACTGAAATGTGCTTACTCCTCTGAAATGAGTCAACCTATGAGAATCAACCTCAAAATGAACTTCATTTTCTCTAGATTTATTTTCATATCGTTTTTCCGTGATCTGAGTTTCATCACTCAATTACTCATGATAATCTCGTAAATTAGGCTCATCCATATTTTCTTTGTTGAAACCATTCTACACTTTTTAAAGCTATTATGGATTACACTTTTTATACCTTATCTTCCCTATCTGACATTTGATTGCTAGATAGATTTGGTTGATGTCTACTTGTTACTTTGAGACTTTTTTTAAAGGCACATTAATTCAACACTCTGATTCTTACTGAAAAATTCAAAAACTCCTCAATTTACCTTGTATTCAGTCTTATCTTTAGATCGATATCAGAACAATACTTCTCAACTATAGTTTGTGCTCTCAAAAACTCAATGTATATCTCATATAGGGACAAGCAATCCAAGTTGGAGATTATGGCATATTGATCAATTAGATATTCGATCTCCTATCTAATGAAGATCAAGAATTATATCATATTTTGATAAATAAAGTCTTAGTAGAATTTAAACGCTTGTGATGTGTGTTCCAATAATTTAAGGCCCATCAACATCATATTTTAAATTTTATAAATCCAAATGAATTTTCCCCTCATATCTTCTTGTTCATCAAAAGGATACTGAAGACTCTTAATTGATTTGTAAACAGATAAATTGATTGATAGTTTTTACAAATAAGAGTAATAGATGACACAAAATATTTTTGGTTTAATTTGACACGATTCTACTTAGAATTATGGTTTGATTGCATGATTTTAAATTTCCAATTATGATATTCTTTTTTCTCCAATTTATTGGTTACTTTTGGGAATTACGTTCGACTTAGTTACAAATGATTATAATCCTGGAGTGCTTACCTCATTTAGCATCAATGTAAAACTGTCTTTGTTTTCTGCCAATACTTTCTAGAGCCAATATATTGGAGGTTCTCTTAATTATTTTGCAATTGACTCTTCCTCAATATTTGCATGGATTACAAAGAGAATGTTCAACAAATTTTCAGCTGTTGGCTCAACAAAATTTGCAAAATTTTTTTATCGTAATCTTTTAAAGAGTTCTGTGGGGTTTTTTTTCATGAGAGATCCAAGGTATTGGCAGGCTAAATCAAAGTCTTATTAAGATCTGGGTTTCAATATTAATGTTAATGACTCAATTAGATCAGTTTTAGATATAGTTTACTTTGAATTAAGTAACGACATTTAATAATTAAAATATTATCAGTTATCATCCTCATCACTACTACTAACTAAATGTGACGCTGCTCCCTCGTCTTCATCACGAATCTATATTAATAATTTATATACAATAAGATTTCGATTGACTTAATTTAATATTGGAATTATCTTATAGACTTCCTTCTGCCATGCGTACCTAAGAACACTAAACAATAACAAATACAATTATTAAAAGATCAATTTTTCATCCTCTCCATTAAGTTTTGGAAACACGGTTTGACTCAATGGAAAATCAGCCAATTTATATTCCTATTTTAATCAAATGTGCTTATTACATTAATGTCGACATCATAAACTGATTGTGCTGCCATCATCTTCTCATACATCCCCAACTTTGCCTTATTCAAGGTAGATTGTACTTACTATAACCTCTCTTCAATTTATTTAGCAATCTATGTTCCCTCTTCTTATTCAATATTTCTCGATGATGGAATGGTTCTACCTCTATTGTCTGAACTGGGTATTTCCTGTTTTTTAGTGTTGGAACCTTATTGTTTTTATTTTTGATCATTTTATCCACTCTGTTGTTGATTTTTGTTTTGGGATTAATTTTCATTTTGATTACCCTATGCAACTTAAGTGTTTTGTGTAGTTTGTGCAATGTTATTACGAACCTCTGAATTTTATTATTATGGAAGTTGAGCTTGAGAATTCTGCCTATTATCAATAGTGAACGAGTGATCCTGTATGCCATGTAATGAATCTTAATTATTTTATTGAGAAGGGATAGATTGTGGAGTTTTGAAGGACTTTTGGACACTGTAATGACTGTTTTGTTTCTTTCTTTCATCATAGTTGGGAGTGGCCATATGTTATTATTGTGGAGAGCCTTTAGCTTAGGAGGGCATCTATTATTAATCATTCTTTATTTATTATTATGTTTATTAACCATTTGGGATTTAGTGTTAGAGAGGATTGGCTTGTTGTTATTAAGGAGGATCGTTTGATGATTGTGAATATTTCTAGTTAATCATTTGCATTTGCTGTTCGAGCTTTTCTCTTTAAAATTACTAGAACATTTCTTGTTATCTCTGTTGTGAAGCAATGCTTGAAACTGGAGGTTTCTTGATATTGATCTTAACTTCTTATTACCAAAATTCCTAAGGGTTATATTGATAATTAGGATCTTTCTTTTATTATATGATTTACTCAACCCTTTAGATTTTGGTTCTGTCCTCAATTTCTTGTTCACTAGCATAATCGAGATCTTCGCCTTCATTTTCATCAAACTGATGCGATTATCTTCGAGAGAGTTGTCTTGGTTTAAACATATCATCAAATTAGTTTTATAATTTCTTTCTTCTGAATCTATCTTCACTATCTGAATCTGTTTTCTCATATTCAAAGTCTCCTCCCTTCTCCTTTTTGATTCTTTCAATATCCTCGTGTAATCTCTAGATCTCTTTCTTCCTCTTCTTCTACTCATCCCTTTGAGCTTTGGTCATGTGTTTCTTGTGTGGTTTCTTCAATTCCTCTGCAATCTCTTGGATTGTCTGTTTTAATTCCTCCTCATGAATTGGTTCAATCTACTAAACTGTTGGTTATCTCTATTCCCTTTATTGAGTTATATTGCTCATCTCAGTTAATTATTAAATAACATCTGATTCTTATCTTTGGAGAGTCGAGGGTCTTTGAACTCTAATGGATTGCTTCTTGGTTATTTTCTTGGGATCCTTTTGTTTCCCAGTTTTCTTAGATTCCTTCATACCTTCCACTCTATCTTCGTCTTCATCATTCACAATTTCATCCTGTTATTCTTATTGAATCTCCTGATTGTGATGTTTGGGAGTAGCAATCCTTTGTTCTATTTGATTCAATTCCTATTGGGAATCTCTCTAAGAAGACAAGGATTCCGAACTTTATTGAATAGATTGGATGATCTGATCAGCTAGTGAATCAAATTATTATTCCAGGTATTCTCTTTACTTTATCTCGTTCACTTGATAGTAATCATTAAAATCACTCATCTAGACTTTGTAATGATCAGGCACTTTGATTTTAAAAGCCTTGGTTTTGATCTTTTTAACAATTTCTCGGTATTGCTGTGTCATCTTCTACAACCTATGGTATAATAATGAAAAAGAGTGGAATTACTTTAAGTCATAATCGATATGGTCATCATTTAGGTACTTTTCCATAAATTTGAGTAAACGGTTTTGTATTTTTTCATTGGGAATGACTTGCTTGGTTAAGGATTTCGTGCTGTCCATCAACATGACTTCGATACCAACATCAGACACTTAGATCAGTCAAATAGATTAATACATTCAGGTCTATAATTGTATTTGTTCAAGCATAATGATCGATTCAGCAATTCTTCTTGCTAGGTATGTAGAATGGTTTATTGAGTCTCGTATTCCTTTTTATATCCTAATGGTTTGATGTCAGAGTAATATTGTTGATTATTCTTGGGTTTTGGAATCTTCTTCAAATAAGATGCCACTTTTCTTTGAAAGTCAGTCAAGAGCACTTTTGTTTGCATTTCATTTAACTACTTCGTATTGTCACTCATGCTAAAGCAATAGAGTGGGAACAGCTTACAAGAAGATAGGAGATTTAGTTAGATTATTGTATTCCCTTAAATTGTAGATGGATGTATGATGATAAAAGTTTTTGCCCTCGTCCTTCTTTAAATTGTGCAACTACGACTATAACCAAATTTGATACACTCAATAACTTGAACTTGCCTGCAGGCTTTCTAATTCTGCTTGAACTTTGTTGATCTTAACTAAAATAGTTTCAATGTGTATATTACTTGGAATAATTATCCAAATTAAGAAGATTCAGACTTTTTGGATAACGATACTGCTTCCCTGGTAATGGTAGGATGTCGCAAGAGTACATTTAATAAATTATTTAATTAAATGCTGTTTGTCACAGAGCCAAAATTCGTAAATATATCTAATCCTCGCAAACTGCTCTCTCTCATCTAGGAATACGAACTAAAGTTTAGGCCAGACTCTCCTATCACTCAAAAAGCCATGGAAAGTATGGGATTGGATTGTCATCACTTCCGTCGAAAGTTTCATTTGTGATCTCACTCATTTAGGAATAAGTTCGAGTTGCGCTACGATTTCGAGATCCAAAAAATACCATACACTGAGGCAGATATGCAGAAGGCCTATCTCAATTACATGAGGGAATTGATCAGTACCTATCATATCTATCTATCAAATAGTGGATTACCAGAATCTCTTTGACAATAGAAAACGCATTAAGATTGATTTTGAGAAGAGACAGAGGGAAGAAGACGAACTCAGAGGCTAGTAAATTCATATTTCAAACTTAGTAAGTGGCCTGAACCTGTTGTAACCAAAAAGTGGTTTCTCAAGCAAATTGAAACCACCACTTTAAATAAAAAATTGGAATTGATAGAAGAGGAAAGATGTAAGGAACAAAAAATTAATGATTGCTTTGCCAAAGAGGCCATTAAATAAGAGTTGGATCGTCGACTCAAAATTCAAGAGAATCAACAAAAGGAAGAGAGACTTCTAGTCTCACGTAAGGAGACCTTCGACAATCTAAGGAAGAAGGCAGCCTCAGAAAATAAAAAGGTTTATGAAAAATTATAAACTCATTAATAAAAAATCAGAAAATAATTAGAGAAAGATTTCCGTACTTCTAAATCCATTCAAGAAAAGATGGAAGCCAAGTAACATGTCATATATAGTATTTTATAGAGAATTGTCAATTCAATAAAAACGATCCAAAATGATATCTGAAATCGCTTCTCGCAATCGTAAATTAGAAGATAAAATTAATCATTTTAAGGATGATTTTGGTAATCGGTTGATGGAAGATCTAGTGAGAAAATAACATGCGCTAGAATTATCAATGAGTAAACGATAGAAAACAGCAGAATAGATGGAAAAAAATAGACTAGAAAAACAATAGTTTTTTGAATAGAAATTAAGCAACATCAATCTCAAAATAAAACAAGAAAGAGAAGAAAAGGAATCTGAATTATTTAATAAGGTTGGGTAGAAATTATCAAAGACAGAAAAATTGTTAGAAGAACATGATAAATTGGTAATGAAAATGTGGTAGGATAAAAAGAAGGAAACACAATCTAGATTTTCAAAGTAGAGAGAAAGATATATGTAATCAGAAGGAAAACAATAGGAAAAAATAGAAGAATTGGATGAGAAATTATAAAGTATCTAAGATAGAATTGAGAAGTTTTAAACCAAAAAAAGTGAGGAGTGGAAATCTGTCAAGGAACAAAAGATTTAAAATCACAAAGAACATTTAGAATTTCTTCAATATCTGAAGAAGAAGAAGGAAGTAATGAATATTATTAAAAATTTAGGATAAAAATCAAAAGCAATATTTGGAACGATAAATTATGGTTTCGAATAAACTAAAGAAATTGAAAGATGAGTAAGAGTATGTTAGAACCTATCAAACTGCTTCTAAGCAGAGATTTGAACAGAATACTTTGGCTTAAATTGGAGAATTGGTAAATTTGAAGTACTCCTCATCTGTTAAATTGCTCAAGTACATTTAATTATCATTATTCTATTAGCAAATTGAAAGATCTAGAAGACGAAGAGGCATTTAATGATATTTAATAGAAATACAAATAAATCGTCAAAGTTCCAGAAAAAAAACCTGTAGAATGATCAATGTTATTCATTTCTTTATAACTATATAATATTTTTTATAACAAAGAAGCAAATTAATGTTTTAAAAGAAAATCAACGTCATGGGAGTAGCGAATGATAATGAATTCGAATATTAAAAAAAGTTCACCTTAGCCGAACGATAACTCAGATATCAAAATGTCATAAATGCTGTTGGAGAATAAAAAGCTTTAGTTGTTGTTGAAAAACACAAAAAATCAAATATTTAATCCAACACTTAAGCGTAATACCCTTGGAAAATGTAATAGAAATATACGATTCATTTAGATTTGCAATTGATAAAACTAAGAATTTAGCAGAGTTTCTCCATTGCATCAAATAAAATGCTGCCATCAATAAAAATACTAGCATATTTTTATATTGCAACAATACTTTATTAATGTTGAGAGGTATGTTGTAAGTCTATTTAGAGGATTAAACTGTTGGATCGATTTTTGATTCTTAGAAAAATAAGGAGGACAATATTTTATATATAAAATATTCGGATTTCGAGACATTTGGATTCTGAAATAATTAGTATAAATTATATTGAATGCACACTCTGGAATTAATAAGCTTTTTAATTAAATATATTAAAATTCATGTCAAGCATAGGTGTAGTCAGTTTTGATAGTATCGAATAATTTGTCAACTTGAGCTTTCAGCACATTGGCTAATTGTCGATTGCACTTGGACATCTATTCGATTAATCATGAAGGCAGTACTTATTGAATCGTCTTATTAATTTGTTGACGTTAATTATCTAATTGAATAAATTTGGTTTTGTGTTTATTGGAATCGCATTTTTGATGGTGCTTATTCTTATTGCTTTGATTTTGATTGTTTTCCTTATTCCAGTCGATATTACGAAGGTTTGGTTTGATGATTTCATAATGCTGAGCAACAGAGTTGATGGAATTGATGGTTGCTCTACTGCCATCGAGGTTGTCCTCGAACTTGAGTTATTGGGGGATGATGACATCTCTGTGAGACTGGCTAATATGTTTAATGAATTCTTGTGATTTACGATGGCAACTTTCGTCAGTGCGTTGCTTCTCGAGTTTCATGACATTCCTCCTTATTTAATACATCTCTCGCAAGGGACTGATGATTTCTGAACTGGACCTTCTGCCTTCTTCGGTGGTTGCATGTGTTTGTAGTCGTTGTTACATAAATTAATATATTTGAAATATTATTGATAAAAGTGAAAGCACATTTATATTTTATATATAAAAATATTTTGTTTGCAAATGTCTAAATTGAAAAGCCAAGTAAAAAGTGATGATTTATTAAAAGACTGTTTCTTATTAAGCTTTGTGCAATGAAGCCTCAATTTAATTGGAGAACCATCCGTAGGCAAAGCAAGAAAACCAATACAATTTGAGCAGCACAGATTACAAAAGATAGAAATCCTTTCAGGGAGATCGGTTTGTTACACAATTGAAGAAGAATTTCTCCATCATCCAGGAAAACAAACTGGAGAGTCAAGACATTGCATCAGCTTAAATGGCATTGGAGATGCTATACAAATAGTAAATACTGGAATAGGAACCAATATTTGAGTCAGACTCTATGCAGTTCATCAATCAAAGTGGATTTTAATACAATCAGCAAAATAATTTCAACATCCATAATTCCAAAATATACAATAGGTAGATGCTATAAATAAATTAATAACTAGTATTCTCATAGATCACAAGTATTTTACAATATCAGAAACATTGTCTAATTATTACAGCAAGTATGTGCGCAAAATACAGAAAGTTCCATTTAAAGTTCTTGATGCACCATAACTTTAAGATGATTTTTATTTGAATCTAATAGATTGGAGCAGCTAGAATACATTGTCAGTAGCTTTAAATTCTTGTGTATACTTATGGTATGAGTGTTATTAATCTCAGGAATGCACAATCTTCGAAAGTTACTAAATTATTGGATTTGCATAATGATTCAGTTACAAGTGTGGCTTGGTCACTCCGAGGACCTCACTTGGCAGTTGGAACGAAGATAGGAGAAGTCTAGATTTGGGATGCCATCAAATTGCAAAGAGTTCGCACTTACAAGGGACACATTGCTAGAGTAGGAACGTTGTGCTTTTCGGATAATGTATTAAGTAGTGGCTCAAGAGATAAATTGATATTATAAAGAGATTTACGATTGAAGGGAAATTACTTTCTTAAATAGTCAGCGCATAAACAGGAGGTTTGTGGTTTGAAGTGGTCGCCTGATGGACAGATGTTGGCTTCGGGAGGTAATGATAATAAACTTTATCTTTGGTCTTCTCATAAACAGGACAAACCCATATTTAGATTGACTGAACACCAGGCTGCAGTGAAGGCTATTGCTTGGAGTCCCCATCAACACGGTTTATTGGCTAGTGGGGGTGGCACTGCGGATAAGATGATTAGATTCTGGAATGCTCTTGAAGGGAAACCCTTACAAAAAGAAGACACTGGCAGTCAAGTGTGCAATCTCATGTTCAGCAAGATTGAAAATGAGCTCATTTCCACTCATGGATATAGTCAGAATTAAATTGTTCTTTGGAAATGCAACAATATGAAAAGGATCTCAACATTGGTCGGACACACGTGCAGGTATTGTCTACATCCAAAAATAGAGTACTTTATTTAGCAATGTCTCCTGATGGATCAACCATTGTCACTGGAGCAGGAGATGAAACTTTACGTTTTTGGAATCTCTACCCACAAATTAATTAGGATTTCAAATAACTTAATGGCCCTTTACATATCCCGACCATTCGATGACCCTTTGAGCCATTCTACTTAATATATAATAATTTTATAAATTTATTACATGTCAGAATTAATTCCAGATTATAGAGAATACGATGATGAGTATGAGAGATACCTATAAAAACTTGGTTCTGGACCCTTCCTTTATGACATCACTATGACAGAGGCTAAGGAATACATCTATGTAAAACTCTAGATATAAATAATTAGAATGATGTAATCACTCCAAAACTTATCCAGTACACACTCCTATACATCAAGACCCAAGTCAGAAGAAATGTTACTGTTGAAATCACTTACATCATGGACATCAAATAACTCGAAGCTATTCATTCAACAACTTCCAACTATTCACTTGCTGTAACTGCTATTAAGGATGCTCCCCTTTCTGCATTCCTTTTGGATACTGTGGGCTAAGAAATCCTCCTGATCAACAGGAATTAGCAAATAGAAAAAGCTTTTATGAATCAAAAAATTATTAGAATTGATTCACTAACAAATGACTTCATCTCAATCTTGGCTGGTATCTTTATCAGAGCTATCAATCATGCTAATTTTAAACTAAACTTCAGTGAATGTTAAAGGTAAGCTTTGATGAAATGGGTCCTGCTAAAATAATACAGATATCAGTAAATGAAATAAAATGGAGAGTCCTTCTCAAGAATACTTGATGATCAACTCTTATAGGAAGTCAACCAATCAAGAAAGAATGAATAAAAGTCGAATTCTCATCAAACTTCCTAGAGGGAACAGTATCAAAAATAGGATAATTTTTCATAATTAAAATCCATTTCGCAATTACAGAGCTCCTTTAATCCTCAATCCAAACCGCCTTAGTACTCTCAAAGGCAAGGATCGAATTATACATCTCTATCTCATGTATCTTTACCCTCCGCTAGTAAAGTGGATATTATGAAAAATCACATATCAGCAAAGGAATTTGTTTAAGGAATGGAGACTTTAAAAAGCTAATTATTGTCAGATGTTCCCCAACCTGACGAACTTAAACCCAGAGACTATACTCTCAAACCTATAATACCCTTCTTCCCGCCAGATGAAGTGTTCCATATTAGATAAGATGATCTAGAAGAACTCCTCAAGGAACAAGTTAAAAATAGAAAGATTCCAGAACCAAACCCTGCTGATTAATTACAGCAATTATTAACATATTACTAATAATATAATCCAGAATAATATAAAATACTATTGAATCAATACTAAGACTTCATTCATGAGAGAGTAATTTAAATGTTTAAATTAGATGTTTGAAGGCATGGGTTTACCTTCATCAACTAAATCCAAAATGCAAGTCCAACCCTAGTTTCAATAATAATAAATGCGATAATCGATTCAAATTCCCAAGTCCAAATCAATGCTCTTCCCTAAACAACCCCAAATACAACCTCAACTCTATTAAGAGGAAATCATTGCTATCAAATACAATAAGAAAATCAATAGATAGGAATTCGAATTGCTCAAGTAAAAGTCAGTTCTGTCTCAAAACATGATGGAATTCTATTTCTGTCATTTGTAAGAGGAGTTCAAAAGAGTATTCATCTTCCCAATTGAATTCTATAATGTACTCAGCCAAAATCCAGAGAAGTAATGATTTGTCGATTATTCTTAGAGCAAAAAGCTTTACGGATCAATTTCAAGGGAGAAATAGAACCATATTTGATCTATTCGATAAAGTGTTTGTGCCTGCGAAGGTTAGTCAGTACGAGTACGTTGGTGTGTATATTGACTTTTAGAACAAAACAATGTTCTACATCAACACCCTTGAGAGAAGAGACAGTAAATTATGAATAACACATGATAGGGAAGGGGCCGCCATATAAGGAATTGATAGATTAGCCGGATATGCATTTCATTATTAAATTCATGGAGAATGAGTACAATCTAAAAGTGATGCGAGCATTCAACATATTAAATTGGAGTAATATTATAGTATTGATATAATTCATAAGAATTTGTAGAATTCAAGAACGAATTTGCTTAACACTTTAACTATAGCGGTTTGGTATTGACTTACGTGATTGATTCAATTTGCAATCATAAGAGTGCTGTGGGTGACGACTAAATATTGAAGGAATTCAAACAGAAGTTATTGGATGCAATAAGGAAAGCAGGCAGCAAGAAATGAAACAAGTTCTACCTGAAATGATTATACTAATGATGCATAAATAATTAAATAATAATTATGATTACCAAAATAACCTATTTTGTCAGTATATACGGTGGAATACTTGATAATTATAAATCCATAGTGATTCAATTTATATTATAAATTTGAATATACTTATTTGTTCATAAGGATGTATCAATTGTGAATCCTACTGGGACTGGGAAAACCCCTTGTTTTTTAGGCCATGATCCGTCTATTGGTAACTCAGTTGATAAAGTCCAATTGAATCTAAGTATAATATGAAAATTAACTTTTCATTAAATTTGCCTTTTCCACTCAACCCTAAAGCTGCTGTAGATGTATTCACTTTTGCCTTAACATCTAAACCATTCAATTTTGTTGTTAATCCAACCAAGGTTGTTAACTTAGCCTTCTCCAGATTGTAATCAGCTTCAATTCCAAAAGTTTATTTTTATTGTCTGTAAACAACATCTAAAACTAATCTTCCAGAGAGAAGATTCTAAAATGATTTGGATGTATTTGGATTTTAAGTTAGATGCCTAAAGAATACATCGTATTTAGGTTAGAGATATCCAACAAGGAAATCTAGTCTTCTGACTCCAAATGCACCATTTGCTTGGAAATCTTCAACTGCAACGAAAGTCCAATCATTAACCTTCGAAAATGTTCTACTCAATACATTCACTACAGAATTATGTGCGTTGTACTCCAAACCTATGAAGAAATGCATGTGATAAATACGTAGGTGATTTGTAATATCATTCCATCTTGTGACTCCTCCAAATCTAACAATGGCATCTCCGATATTTGAGCTTCCTAATTTGGCATTCGCAAATAAAGAAACATTGCCCTTTGATAATTTTGCAACCTATCCAAAATCTATATGAACTTTGGCACCATTGTCTCTGGTAGCAAATTGGAGAATATAACTTGATATAGAGTGGATAACTTACTTTTTGTAAGGGAATTATAGTTTGGTTTCTTGTAGGGATTGCATTTTTGCGATATCTAGCCAACCCTTGTAATTGGCTGATCCAGAATTCTGGGTATTTGCTTTCAACTTGAGATTCAACTTGCCAGTCGAATAGTCGTCTTCCAACACTTTCTTGAATGAGTGATCACCAAGACTTGTAAGAGGAGCAGGATTCAAAGATTCTGGAGTGCTCATTTAAATATCTTTTTATTATAATTTATTGATGAATATTTTGTTTATATAATCATTAATAATATGTAATATGTTTACTTTTTGATTCATAATGTTCTTATTACACAATTTTCATCTCAATAATTATCCATTAAAGATCCTATTAATATTTCGATTCAAAAACTGCCAAATGTTTATTTACTCCCTTATAATATAAATTAAAAGCGAAAACAAAGTATTAGACATAAAATAGATAGAACATAATAACACAGCATTCAGAAACAAATAATGATAAAAATTATCAAACATAAAGAGGATAAGGATAGAAATCAATATTTACCAATTTCTATAATTCACCTTTGAATAAGACATGAGTCATTCAGCCGCTAATAATTTAAATTTTAGATAATTCAATTGTATTAAGCCAATAAGTCATCTTATATTATCAGAAAGATATTTGTGTATCAATAACTTTAACGATATAAACTTCAATTGGTTATTATGATAAGCCAGGAGTAGTGTTTATATCCTCTAAATGGCTATAAATAAGTTTTTATTTCTATTCAAATAGGTTTAATTAATATTAGGCAATTTAGATTATAATTGAAGGATCTTTAATTCATCTTATATGAATAATTATAATAATTATAATTCAATTTTTTTAAATGTGTTATTAGTATATTTTATAAAAGATGAAGGTCTTTCTTTGAAATCGATTGAATCATTTCAAGAATATCTAATGGCTTTTTCAATTCTATTCTTTCTATCATTTTATTTATGTCAATTCTTATTAATTCAAAGATAATTATCCGTTTATATTTTTTAATAAACAAATGCGAAGGACAACTGTTAGCTTTAAATTTAGTGATTTAGATTGATTTTTTATATTGATATAAGAAATCATTCTTAAGAACCTGTCTCCTATTTGGTTAATATTATCTTATTTGGATCAAAAGGCCATCTATCGATGAGTTACTAGGGTTTATCTAAGTAGCTACCGTCACCGAAATTAACCTTTAACCCATATAATTTGCCCTAAAGAGATATATATAGAAAATGTTACCCAAAATGAAGGATGTCCAATATCATTTACTAAATGTAGGTACAGTTTGTTTGGAATCATGTGAGAGGCTTCTTGGGTATGCTCTTGAATTCCTGCTGGCTGTAAAACGTAAGCCCTTACTTCATGCTAATGATAACCATAATACACAAAGGTCCATTGATAAGGCTTAACAGTAAATGAATGTTGCAAGGGTTCAAATGAAGGATCCTTGATAGTGTATGTAGCAGCCACTAATTCATTGACTTTAGTAAAGAGTGCCAATGTCCTGTCTCCAATGAATTGATTATCCTACCCGACTTCCTCATTGTTTGAAGTTAATCTTAATAGCCCTCTGAATTCGTCTTCCATTTCTGGCAACAGTGGTGCATTTTGGTACCAAAAGCCAACACTATAACTAAGCATTTCCTATTTATCATCAAACTCATATTTCAGTTCACTCTTTTGCTCATCTAAATTATCCCAATTGGTGGTATCAAGCATTTTGACTGGCCATCCGAAATCTTCAGTTGACTAAGAACTTATTGGAACTTTGCGATGTAATTTATGAACCATTTCCACTACAGAATTGGCATCATTTATGAAAGCACCAACACCTAGATATACTCTTGGATCATAGATCCAACCATGGAAGGCTTTGTAACCAAATTCATTCGCTGACAGAACCAAATTGGCATGTCCAGTTAATACAAGATGAGTCACATCTAACTTGACTTCCTCAACATGTTCTCTATCTCTGAAAAGGATTAATCCATAAAACTATTTATTTTTATAGCCTGCATAAATGTAATTCCATTCTCCTTCTACATTTTCATAATTCACTTTTGCATCTACAGCATTGTTTGGAGCAGATGCATCATAAGTGCTGAACTCGTAAAATCCTTTTTTGAGGAATGCAGACAATGCTCTATTTCCCAATTCTGCCTTATCCTAATATTCCAAGGTCTATGAGAGACGGAATATGGTATGAGTATCAGATCTTTCAGTCAAAGTAGTTGGGAAAGCTATCAACCATCTAGTCCACATACCAACAGCATATTCATCTACAGATTCGACTTCTTTGCTAAAAGTTTATTCTAATTTGGTGTCAATTTTCTTGTCATCTTTCGTGAACCACATGTTTTTTTGATTCTTAATGATATATCTCAGATTTGGCATGGTTTCTTCATTATAAGTGTGAGATCCAGATCCAAATAGTAATTCCCACTTGTGTTATTCCCCTTGGAACTTTCTGCTAAAAGAATCCTTACCCAAATAAACAAACATCCTATTGGCCACAAAGTGTTGCACATCCTTGAATACAATAGGAACATCCTTCTCGAATAATTTTATCAATGTTGCAACCTCCCTCTTATCTTCGCTATAACTCATGTAGAAGTATGTCCAGGCTCTTTTAGAATTTCCCATTTCTGCCTTTGCCTCCAAAAACTTGGCTTCATTCCAATCCTTCAAGCCCGCAATACTATAAGTACTAACCTTAACTGTATCACTTGTACACACTTAAGCATACAGTGTTCGATCTCCTTACTATTTTCTATCAGACAGATGCTCTTCATCATTGTTGGTTAATCTGAATAAGAGTTAACAAGGTGAATTGATCTCCCCTTCAATTTTAGCTTGTACTTCAGCAATCTTAAACCACCCACTTAAGGCATATTCTCCTATTCCTTATAATTGAGTGAGTTCTTGACTCTCATATTGTTCTAATTCCACTTATCCCTTCTTCTGCTTTTGAATGTACCCTACAGTTAATTCCAATGGCAAAGCATAACTAGATTCTATTGATTTCAAGAGTTATTCCTCATCATCTACATACGCTTCCTTGCCCAGATGAGCTGAAATCTGACTGAATAATCCATGGAATCCTGCAACATTCTTTTCTCCTCCTAAGATCAACTTAATCCACTCATTCAATGGTCTCTATAACAACTATTCATTCTTTGCCTTTTGAATGTGTTCTCCATCATAAACATAATAGACGGCCTCCTATATGGATCTCTTATACCCAGCATAAATGTAATGCCATCTGCCTTCCAATGAAGAGTATGAGATCGTGGATATTTCATTAGGAGCATCCTCATTGATATCATAGGCACCAAAGTAAAAGTTATCATGCACCAAGTATGCACTCAATACTCTATCTCCAATGGCAATCTTGCCATTCTCCAATTCCTCATTCGAAGTCAATCTGAATATTTACATCTCACTTGGTATGTTCCATAATCTTGATGGCCAAGCCTACAAGAATCGTAACCATAACCCAACTGAATACTCTTAAATACTTTCGATCTTTTGATTTGGTTCAGCAATTCTAATTGTTAATCCTTACTTCTCAGCATCTTAGGAATCTAGTATCAATTCATCTTCTTCGTAATCCCATTGTAATTTTGCATTTGGATTGAATAACTTTGGAGACTGTAGATAAACCATCAAACCTTTGAAATTATCCTTTCTGAATGCTCCACTTCCCAAATTCAATACTACTTGAGCCAAACGACTATCATAGGAATTTAAGAGAGCATCTTTGGCCAAATAAAACCAATAATTGGATGAGACAGCATGCAAGGCTGATTCTAAAGCATGTTACTCATTCTCTTCACTATTGATGTAATAAACTATTTATTGACTCTCCTTTGAATAAGCAAAATATGCAAATGTCCACACTTCCAAATTCTATTTGGCAATCTAAACTGGATATGCATTATTCAATTGAACTGTCTTATCACCCAGACTATAAGTACTGAATTCCAACCCTTCTGTATGACACATCACCAGAGTCCTATCACCTATCTTCTAAGCATCTCCAAGAGTGTCCTCTCCATTGGTTGTTAATCTGTACATCAATTAAGTACTCTTTTAGCTCTTGAACCATCTAAACCACAATTACACCCCATACTCTCTAATTTCTTAGTCGAACTTGGTTAAGTGATGTTTTTCATCAAGTTTTCTAACATCCTGGATTCCAGTTATAATTTCAATGTTCTTACTTACTTATTCGATCTCTGGAATAGTATCCTTGGTCTTAATTCTAGATAACAAATCAGCCTTATTCTCAATGAAAGATCCTGGACCCAAATTAATTCTGACCTTGGTTATTTAACCATTGAAGTTAGCATAGTATTTACCAGCATGCCCAACAGAGAAATATAAATAATTAGTTAATAATGAATGCAGCACATCCATCTTCAATCCTTCAGTGTGATCTCCAAATTATGTAAATGCTATAGCATGTCCTTCCTATTATGTGTGTCTCTTGTAACTGAAATAAAGGTATTGCCATTCTCCCTCACTCTCTCTTCTGTACTCGAGATCACCTCCAACATTGTTTGATTTAGTTATGACATCATAAGTACCAAATGAAAAGGCCTTTCTACCCATCAGCACCAACAAGACTCTATCACCTGGATTATCGAAATCCTTATATTCCCTATTACTTGTTAATCTGGCAACTCCCATTAACTGAGGCTATGCATAAATCTTTTATTTAGATCCAATATATTGATATCTCAACCAAAATCCATATCCATACTCTGAAACTCCATGTAATTACAGATTTGAACTTTACTCGAAATGAATCTGCATGGGAGGTTCCTCATCCTTGGTTGCACATTCCAAGATCTTCTCCTCATGATGAGCCTCCTATCCTGCCTATTTGATGTGATCAGCTCCACTAATAAATCCAAAATGAATTTTAATGTTTTCATCTTCTTCAAAGTTGCCCTCTCTATATGATCCAAATCCTACATTCACCACCCAGGTTTTCATCTACCCTATAAAATCTACATAGGACTACCTTCCATGACCAACTATAATGCTGAAAACAGCTAAGTAGAAATGCTAGATGTTTTCTTGTGTAAACTCAGCATCTGTGAATGCGAATCTTGCATAACCATATGTTTTCAGTTATTACTTTGAATACCCATAATATAAGTAGGTCCATTGATCAGCATATTCATGAAACTCCTATTCAGCAGGTGCCAATTTACCATTATTAGTGTAAGTAATAAACCTGTAAAGAGAGTCTCCCCTTATGATTTACAAGGTCTCTTCTTTGTTTCCGTCTATATCCAGTAATCTCTTTTAAGCCAATGTAATCACATGGGATTCCTTACCAGTAACAAGTGGACCGGCCCATCTCACCCAACCAGAAACTGAGTATTCTTCAGCACCCTAAAACTTATCAAACTCAAATTCAATAGGATCTTCAGCTATTGTAATTGCTGATCCAAACAATTGTAAAGTCTATCTGGTGACTGGATGTATTTAGGCCTTCTCAGGTAATGTATTTTATGTAAACAGTCTCAACGTATCTTTATTTGGCACGAATGCTCCAGGACCAAAGCTAAAAGTAACTCTGGCGAATTCACCATTGAACAATGGGGCTGATGTCTTTCCAACAATGAACTCAACATACTCCACTAAGAAATCATGATAGACAGTGAATGCAACCTCTTCTATCTCACCATCGACTCCAAATTGTATGTAACCTTTGGCAACCCCATTATCGCCCTGTCTCTTATATCCAAAATACACATAATTCCATTGCCCTTCCAAATTAGTGAATGGGATATCATCCTTAAGACTAAGAGTCTAAAATTCATATGATTCTTAAGTTAAAACACAAGCTAAGGTTGTGTCTTTCACTGTTTGAGGTCTCCCTCCATTGGCTCTGATCCATCTGCCGTCCTCAGATTCAATGATGTAACCTTAAGTACCCACTCTAGCTATGTTATGGACTGGTGCTCTCTTGTTCAAGTATTTTGGCAATGTAGTCAACCATCTAGTCCAAAGCCCAAACGCATATTCACTTTAACCATTAATTTTCATCCCATTTTCATCGTGGATAATGATTTTATCCACTACATTAGCTGCTTGATCGAATTCAACATATCTGCTCTAATCAACTCCCATGTAAGTAATTGGCTTGCCGACCTAATACACTGCCATTACTCCTTCTCCATAATTAAAAGTGCTCTGGAAATCAAGGCCTTCTCTGTAGGCTCCTTCGCCCAAATAAATACCAACAAAGGCTATCTTTCCATTGAATGGTGAAATTGTCTCATCTCCTCCTACTGTAACACTCAAATGGTTGACTTGTTTATGATACACTCCATCAAATTTGACTTCTCCAGTTACTTGTGGTTTTATCAAAGCACCATAGGCTCTTCCTTCCTTATACCCAAAGTACACGTAAGTCCATAGATATTCAGCACTTTCAACACTCTTTAAGAGATTTACAGATCCTCTGCCTCTGTTTCCATAGACTGTGTAGGTATTAAAATATACATTGCTCTTAATGCCACCTCCGTATACATGATGTACTTCCAAGGCTCTATCTCCCAGCACACCTTTTCCTTAAGTACGCACTTTGTTCGATCTCAGATTAATGAGTTAAAAGGCATTAGGTTCATCTACTTTAAGATCATCGACCCACCTAAACCAAAAGGCGACTGCATATTCTTCAATTAATAATTGTGACTCTTGTGGATCAAAATGAAAGTGCTCCCCCTTCTCATTTCCACTGATAGTAATGGGTTTGCTGATGATAGTTTCCTCTATCAAGATGGGCAACTATTGAGGCATATTGCTCAGAGTATTAATGATCTCTTCTAAGGAGTCATCTCCATCGATAAATGCTGGAGCATCAACGTCGTAAAAGATGTTAGCAAATTATCCATTCAATCCTAGATACTCCATATGCTTTCCTCCGAAAATGAACTTTACATATGTAGGTGGTACATGTTAGGCATCGATTTCTATTCTGTATTTTGGTGCGCCTTATCCATATTTTACTATGTATCCAACTGCCTTTCTTAATTAGGAGCTGTAAGTGTATGCCACAAAATACCAAATGCTGTCCATGTTCTCATTCAATACAACATTGGTATCCTTAGTTTTACTTTAGGTAGTAATATCATAGGTTGAAAATACAAACGAATTGTCATACAAAAATAGTGCTAATGTTCTGTCCCCATAAAATGTAAAGTCCTGGTATTCTTCATTGGTGGTCATTCTTGATAAGAAATAGAATTGTCCCTCCTCACGAGCATGCTACTTAATTGAGTGTTCACTGAATCTCACCCAATACCCATATCCATATTCAGATGCATCTTGCAATAATGCTCTATCCCCGAATTCAAATACTTAAGTGGGTTCTCCATCAAATTCTGAATTGAAATACTTAGTGTTCACAGCAATAGCTTTCTTTTCTTGAACTCTACCACTACTTGCTCTATGTTTAGGTGGTTAAAATTGTGTTGGTTCATTTGCATTGAATTCATCCTTAACAGATGTCAATTTGACTGATCTATCATGCTCATTTTGATCCTCATGTTTGTCCTCACTAACAACATCATTAAGTAAGTTCTCAACAGCCAAATAGTTAGCTCCCTTGTCCGAAGATTAAATTACTTCTTCAGCCACAACTTCTTCAACGTAATTCTTATTCCCATAACAAATTGCAGGTAACGGCTACTTTTTAGCCATTTTCTTCTCTTACTTGGCTTCTCTTCTTGTCTTCTAACCAGATTGACTAGGAGGCCCATTTGTTTTCACTTTTTTCACAACCTTCTTTGTTTTCTTTCCAAACTAAGGTGCACACACTTCTCCGTCTTCTTCTCCATTCTCCTTTTACTCATCAACATCATCCTTTTTATCTTCCTATTTCTGTTATTTATTTTCTGTTTTCTACTCAGTTTTTTTCTTTTTAGTAATTACTTCAGCATCCTATTAATTTATTCTTCTTGGCTTATCTTCCTTCCTTATTTTTTCCTTTCTCTTTGGTTTAACATCACTTTTCTCCTCTTATGTAATTTCTTCAATTGTTTCCTCTGTGATTTCAATTGTAGCCTCCTCCTCTGTATTTTTTTCATCATCTGGCACTGGTTCATCTCCAATAATTTCTTCCTCTGGCACTGGATCATCAGTAACCTAAGGAGGATGTTCCTCAGTTTCCTCCATTCCATCCACATAATCTGGCTCTGGCTAGTTAACTGTATCTCCATAATATTCACACTCTTCTCCAACTCCACTTCTGATATATTCAATTGGTCCATAGGTAGAATGAGCATCAACCACTTTGCTAGTGTCTTTTTGAGCCCCATATATTTCTCTGGTCTTTATCACAGTACTCTTGGTCACCTTTGGATTTTAGGCATGCTTGTAAACCTAAGGCTCGGAGTCATCAACTGGGAATTCAGCTTCCATTTCGTCTTCATAAACATAAACATAATCGTAAACTTCTTCGTTTACCTGCTCTTCAAAATAGTATACCACATCGTCATGATCGCTTTCTATTATGACATCTCTTGGTGATGGCTTTTTGAGTTCCTATTCACAAACCTATTTCAAAGCCTTCAATTATGCAATCTTCTATTTCAAATGAGTAGTTAATCTAACATTTCGACATGAATCCACATATCCATAGATTTATCTCTCTGCATTTCTTAAGTAATTTATAATCGAATTAGCCAATGCAACTCGTTCTTCCTTTGATCTCTAAGCATTCAGACGCTGAACATATTCATAAGCATCTTCTATTCTGCATGATGTCCACTCATTTTATAGGAATGCCTTGAAAGTTGGACGATATCTCTCATAATCACGGATCACTGTCGTAGCCTACTTTGCGCTCTCAATAATCTTTATCATCTTCGCCAACACTTCCAAGTCATTTAACAATTATTCTCGATGTTCAATTATATCAATCCATCTTGTTAGTGCTTCAATGGTTCCATCAAAGTTCATATAACAATTGAACCGACGTATTTCTAAATCTCTTGCTTCATAATATGTCATTCCTACCCTGACTACACAGACCTCAGCAAAACTCAAGGTAGCAAGCAATAGTAATAGCAATTTCTTCATGATAAAATAAATATATAAACCGTTTTTATTATAACTCAATCATGAGATAGAATACTCCCATTATCTTATTCTATAAGCATCTCGTTGCCTTACTTATCACCTCCATATCTTTAACAAATGAATCCCAGTCCCCCCTCATATTCATATCTTGTTCTACTTGTGGCTAATACAAATCTAGTATACTCATAGGAACCGTAAAAGATTTATCAATTTTTCTTATTTTCATCATTTAATCAACATCTTACATTCATTAAATTCACTTAATTATTACTTAATGATATAGATTATCTCTATTTGTAATTTATTTCCTAAAAAACTGCTAAACGTTCAATGATCTAGAAGAATAAAAATGGCTCTTCAAACTGTTTCAAATGAAAAATCTCACCTAATCAAATAGGAGAATTAATGTTATGAAAATCAGTATCTAACCCAACTTTTTAAGTATTGATATAGAAATAAATAAATGATATAAAAGAGTTCCTTAAGATTTATTATTATAGAGTTTCAATAGGTTGAAAACTTTGTCTAGGCTATTCTAATTTAGTAAATACAAAATTATAATTGATTAATATGATCATTCATTCATATCAAATAACTCCAGAATTCATATAAAAATGAATTTTTTATTTCTGGATTAATTTTAGAAATTTATTTTAATTTATAAAATTAATTGGATATTATGAAGTATTTTTATATAATTTAGTTTACTAAATTTTTATCATTAATTTTATTTGAATCCCATCATTACCATTTAAATTTCTTTAGAGATTTAACTTTAGCTATTATAATTAAAGCATTCAGGCTATTTTTTCCTTTTTCATTAATTTTAGAATGATTATTACCAATTCTTTCTGATAAAATAGTAAAATTTAACTTTAATTTCGCTATCAATTTGATCTATCTAATAAATTATAGCCATCAGCCTTAAAGATTTATTCTGAAACTTAATCTTTGTGAGTAAATATTTATCTTTTAAGGATCCTTAAATATAAAAATATTAAATTATATGATTTATTGAATTAATATTCTAATAAATTTCTCTTATTTCAGCTAATATTTCGAATAACAAAAGAGAAAATTTGGTCTTACAATCAAAATTAAAATAAATTTTAATGGTAAAATTTTATTATATGTCTTTTTAAGAAAAGTTTAAGCCTGAAATGAGTTTAATTCAGTTCATCCATTTGAAACTGTAATTAAATGAATAANTATGTCATTCCTACCCTGACTACACAGACCTCAGCAAAACTCAAGGTAGCAAGCAATAGTAATAGCAATTTCTTCATGATAAAATAAATATATAAACCGTTTTTATTATAACTCAATCATGAGATAGAATACTCCCATTATCTTATTCTATAAGCATCTCGTTGCCTTACTTATCACCTCCATATCTTTAACAAATGAATCCCAGTCCCCCCTCATATTCATATCTTGTTCTACTTGTGGCTAATACAAATCTAGTATACTCATAGGAACCGTAAAAGATTTATCAATTTTTCTTATTTTCATCATTTAATCAACATCTTACATTCATTAAATTCACTTAATTATTACTTAATGATATAGATTATCTCTATTTGTAATTTATTTCCTAAAAAACTGCTAAACGTTCAATGATCTAGAAGAATAAAAATGGCTCTTCAAACTGTTTCAAATGAAAAATCTCACCTAATCAAATAGGAGAATTAATGTTATGAAAATCAGTATCTAACCCAACTTTTTAAGTATTGATATAGAAATAAATAAATGATATAAAAGAGTTCCTTAAGATTTATTATTATAGAGTTTCAATAGGTTGAAAACTTTGTCTAGGCTATTCTAATTTAGTAAATACAAAATTATAATTGATTAATATGATCATTCATTCATATCAAATAACTCCAGAATTCATATAAAAATGAATTTTTTATTTCTGGATTAATTTTAGAAATTTATTTTAATTTATAAAATTAATTGGATATTATGAAGTATTTTTATATAATTTAGTTTACTAAATTTTTATCATTAATTTTATTTGAATCCCATCATTACCATTTAAATTTCTTTAGAGATTTAACTTTAGCTATTATAATTAAAGCATTCAGGCTATTTTTTCCTTTTTCATTAATTTTAGAATGATTATTACCAATTCTTTCTGATAAAATAGTAAAATTTAACTTTAATTTCGCTATCAATTTGATCTATCTAATAAATTATAGCCATCAGCCTTAAAGATTTATTCTGAAACTTAATCTTTGTGAGTAAATATTTATCTTTTAAGGATCCTTAAATATAAAAATATTAAATTATATGATTTATTGAATTAATATTCTAATAAATTTCTCTTATTTCAGCTAATATTTCGAATAACAAAAGAGAAAATTTGGTCTTACAATCAAAATTAAAATAAATTTTAATGGTAAAATTTTATTATATGTCTTTTTAAGAAAAGTTTAAGCCTGAAATGAGTTTAATTCAGTTCATCCATTTGAAACTGTAATTAAATGAATAATAAGACCATCCAAAAGTTCTTGCATTTATTATCTCTAATATTGATTAAGTATAAAATTCGAAAATGTTCATTCTATTTCACCAATTTAAAATTCAATTTGCCAACACTATAATTTTTAATGAAATCCTTGGCAGCAATTATTAAGTATTCCTTTTATATCTATAAAGAAACAACCAAATATAATTTCCAAATTCTAAAATATAAATATATGATTTTAAATTTTAAATCAATCAAATTACACACTATTCTTAAAATAGTAGCAACTTTAATTAAAGACTTCCATCCACTTCTATAATGTAAAATAAATTACTATTAAGGCATTACTTAAATTGTGATTGAGGATTCATTGATGTTAAATGCATCATTGTTATAATAATCATTATGCTCCAAAAGTAAATTACATATATTACACTGTTATGAATATTTTCATTATTAAATAATACTAAATAGAAGTTAAACTTTGAATTAAGGTGAAACCTCTAAATTTTTAGGTCTTTGTTAAATTTAAAATGATGTATAGACATGCACAATAGTTAAATGAGAATATTGTTATAACTAATCTTTAACAGAATATGAGACAATATTATATAAAAGAAAGCAACTTTTATTAAGGTTTTAATTAAAATGCATAAGTTCATTTATATATATTAATAATAGCCCAATTATGGAAAATTTTAGATAATGATCTATGAGCTATAGCTATTTGAGAACTTAAATTAGATATGTGATAATGAAAGCATTTTTGGAAATCTCTATAGGTAGATATTTAGATTTAAATGTCTAATTTTTCAATGAAATGAATAATATTTCGGTAAGAATAGGCTGATTCTATAACTACTGAATAAATTATTAAATAAATGATAAGACGGTAGAACCACTCGAATAATTAAGGCTTCCCTGTGATTAAAAAAATTGCTTATCAAGTAATTATATTTCTTCGGTATTATGTTTTTTGACAAATTAATATATTAATTTTTAAGTGGCGTATTTAAGTTAATTGAGTTTGATTTGAAAATATATTATGAAAATGAGATGATAATATTCAATCATTTGGCTATGTTATTAATTCAGTCATGGAGGTTTGACTGTTCTATGGAAGATTGAGAATCTTCGAATTGGCCTGGGAAGAGTCGCCCAGTTAATTGCTATTTGGATTATTGAATATTTAATATTTTCATTTGTTAAGATTGACTTCTCTTATAATTTTATGAATATCATCATAAGGTGAGAATCAAATGTGCTAATATATAAAGAAAATTCATTAATTTATTTTCGTTTTAATTATAGATGATTAAGATGATAATTTTTATCGTTCTTTTGTTTGAGCAACTTCTACTGCCAACTAGTAAGATAAAATATATGATTAGAATGCAAATATTTGGTTTTAACAGATGTAACTAAAGAAAGTGCAGGAAGTTTATGGTCAGACGAAACCTTAAGCCTACCACTAGCATTCTGTACGAATGGGTTAGCAGAAAACTACATAGGGGTAGACACTAGTTTAAGTTCAATCTATTGGAAGAGAATATTTACTCTTCCAAAAACAAGCAGAGCCTACGTATATTTTGAGTATTCTATCTCTGGAAATTGGAATAATGATGAATTGTAGGTCTTTGCAAACGATTAAAAAGTATACTCCTAGAAATTCAAACTTACCGATTCCAATAGGAATTGCATTGAAAAGTATTTAGTTCGATCAATCATAGATTGCTTTATGAATCCCAAGCATACTTTGTTATCAATATGCGATTTGATGCTTTGAATTTCGAGATAAAAGTCAGTGCTCCAAACCTGGGAATTTATATAAAAAATTTGGTCCTTTTGCAACAACAGCAAAGAGGGAGAAACGAAATCCTGCAATTCATTGACTATATCCCAACATGTAGTCCAAATAACTACTTTTAACAATATTATTGCAAATGCAAAGGCGACTTAGTTTATTAATCAAATTTATGTATAGCAACATGTGGATAAAACTATTTGTATGACTCCACTGAGAAGTACTGTTATTAAAAAGACTATTGTACAGCATGTGCAGGAACATAAACAACATTAACATGTGACACAGGCTATTACAAATATTAGGAATCTGATATTACTTAATCTAATTGTGTTAAAAGATGTCCAAATAGTTATTATCAAGATGAGACGACCAAAACTTGTACTAGTATGCAAGCCTACCTTTAAACTAATCAAAATGGAGGAAGTAAATAATTAAAATATATGATTTAGACTAAGTTGACCATTACTACTTCTTTACTACAATACCAGAGTTCTTGCACTTTTATACTTACAACGATTTTATGGTAACTGTTGTGTCAACCCCTGAAAAAATAAGGGAGAGAGCCTTTTTTTATTACAGCGGTAGTTTTTATGTAGGCTCATTCGAAACATTCTAATCCCAAAAGGTGTAGATCACACAAACCATTCAGAAGTCATAGCACAAGTTAAGATTCAGGGCAATAGCTCATTTTCTTGATTTCAACCCTTCTAAATTCGATGTCACAATAAATGGTGTAAAATAAACTGCGGCAGTCTTACAAGTGGATAGCATCAACAGATTGTCCGCATCGACATCAGATTATATTGCATATCTTGATTACACTTGGCAAAGGACAGAATTATACCCATTAACTTTAAATACCATCCTGTTTGAAATTGAATAAACATAATAAGGAGGAGATTATATTGGTGTCTTCTACTTGGATGACATCCATATTTTTTAATTTGAATGCCAAACAGGATGTAATTCCTGTTATACTTATGCACTTTGTACTCCATGTCTGTTTCCAGCAAACAAAAACCCTGCCGATTGTACCTGTCTGACAGGATACGCTATGTTGAATAATTAATGCATAAGTAATACATCAATTGAAATTAGCTTGTCCCACTTATTGCACTACTTGTGTAACACCTGGAGTGTGTGTAGATTGTTTGGCCTCGACAAAGAGAATTAACACTCCTAGTTGTGATTAATGCCCAGTTAGTTATTATATGAGTTCTGGAATTGCAGATTGTTAACCTTGCTAAACTGGATGTTATTCATGTACAGTTGGAACTGCATGTGTATAATGTGCAAATGGATACTTTAGAAATCAGTCAAATTAGTGCACTACATAATGTCCAGATGGATAATTCAATGATTCTAGTAATGTAAATGATCCAAAATGTAGTATTTGTGACAACAATTGCTTAAAATGTTAAACAACAGCTACTAATTGTATTGGATGTAAAGGATTGGCTATTCTTGTTTCTGGTCATTGTTATTTATGTTCTGAAGGTCAATATCTATCAGGCACAACCTGTGTAAATTGTATTGGTGGTTGCTAAATATGTTCAACTGTTACCTGTACAACATGTTAAGATTCCTATTATTATAAATCATCCACGAATGAATGTCTTTCTGTTTGTGACCCAGGATATTTTGGAAATACAACGACTAAAACATGTGATCCATGTGATCCCAATTGTCTAACATGCTTAGGAGGTACTAATAAGGACTGTTTAACTTGTTCAGGAGGTAAAGTACTTAATGTTTAAAGTGTCATTAGTGGAGAATGTCAAACAAATTGTTTGGTTGGATTCTACAAGGTAGATAATGGATGTTCTAAATGTTGGAAAGGGTGTTCTGCATGTTAGGACTAAACACAAGCTTGTTTGACTTGTGCAAGTAAGTTTTATAGATTGAAAACTGACAATTGGTGTTATGAAACTTGTCCTGATGGATATTATAATAACAAAGTTGGGTGGCTTTGTTCACCTTGTAATAGTCAATGCAAAACCTGCTATGGATTTTCTGAACTCACTTGTCTATCATGCAATGCTCCATTGGCTTATTATCAGAATGAATGTTTGGTAGAATGTTATGATGGATATGGCAGTATAAACAATATATGTTAACCATGTGCAGCTAATTGTAAGAGTTGCTTTGGTACATTGCCAAATGAATGTCTTGCTTGTATGACTGGATTTTATACACTTAATAATCAATGTTATGTTAAATGTCCCAGATCATTTATTGGAATCAGACCTTAGTATATTTGTAAATGTATATATGACAATTGTGTAACTTGTACATCCACCTAGTTCTTCTTGGATAATTAATGTTATGATACCTGTCCAACTGGCTACTTTGGATTCAATTCATTGTGCATCAAATGCGACGTCACTTGTGGAACTTGCTTTGGAGAAGGCCTAGATGAATGTACAACTTGTAATAGTGGATTGGTTTTATACAAAAACACCTGCATAACAGAATGTCTGGGAAATCTGTATCAAGATGTTCTAGCTAATGAGTGTAAATTATGTCATACTGATTGCACTGCATGTACAGGACCCAACAATAATTAATGTACTGCCTGTCCAACTGAGAAATTATTGACAATAGAACATTCTTGTTAGGTTTAATGCACAGATGGTTCATATCCTGTAGTCAATGAATTGCGATGCTATCCTTGTCATGCCACCTGTAAAACCTGCTTTGGACCTGCTGATGAGAATTGCTTAAGCTGCACCAACCTATTTGAAGCCAATAAATGTGTCAGTACTTGTTCAGTGGGATTTACAATCAACGCTACAGGTACTGCATGTGATTCTGATTTCCCACTTACTATTTCAGTTTGCTCTTATTAGTGCAAGACTTGTGAATTAGCTCCAAGGTTCTGCAAGTTATGTTCAGGTAATCGTGCTCCCAATCCTCCGAATTGTGATTGTGAAGCTGGTTATTTCGATGATGGAGCCAATGCCAATTGTCCTAAATGTGCTAACAAATGCTCGACTTGCAAAGGATTAGCCACACTATGTCTGAAATGCAAAGGAGATAGACTTCTACCTTCATGCAATTGTCCAGAGTATTATTATGATGACGGTGAGTCAGTCAATTGTGTAAAATGTCAAGACAATTGTAAAACCTGTGATGGCAGTGGATGTACTTCATGTTTAGGTGATAGAATTACTGTTCCTACTTGTGTTTGTCCTGATGGGTACTTTGATAGCTATCAAATGTATTGTACTCAATGTGCGAAAAAGTGTATCACCTGCAATGGATCTGCAGAACTTTGTACTAATTGCTCAGGAATTAGAGTTAGTTCACCTATTTGCGGTTGTCCAAATGGGTACTTTGAAAACTCTGATCTAGACTGTCAACAATGTGATTCAACTTGTAAAGATTGCAATCAATATGGATGTCTATCATGTTTTGGAAATAGAGTGGGTCCAATCAACGGAGAGTGTAAATGTGATACGAAAGGTATCAGTAGATTCAGCATTGGATCAGTCTATTGTACTGATTGCTCTCTGGGAGTACCATACTTTGGATTGAATGATGAATTTACTGGATTCACTATTGATTTTGGTGGCTCCGTTGCTTTGTATGGTTCCTTAACAGGAGATTCAGATAGCTTTTGCAGTGCCATTTTCGATGAAGACACTTTATCTTTGCTTGGAACCAAGCCTGTTTGCAATGATGACCTCTCTATAATTTTTGGAGACAACCCTACAATCCAAGTTGGAGATACCATTTAACTCAAGCCCATATTTCTATTACAAGGATGTGGTTACAGATTTTTGTAAATCCTACCAAATACCTTATAAATACCAACTACCATAGATTAGTCTACTCATAAACCATCAGTCAGATTCACAGATGTTACTTCTCCAAATGTGTGTTAACCATTAACTATAAAATTCGAAGAGTTATTTTACAATGGAAAATAGAAATTTAAAATTTTATCTTGGAATCAAATACTCCCAGTAGCTGTAGATCCAGTTATAGCCACAATACTGTCGAGTAATAAATTAAATAATAGTGACACTTTAATATTCCCAGATAGGCTGTTCTAATCTGGTGTTCTATATAAATTTGGAGCTCAGGTTGAGAGTTTTGCTAAATTGCAGAACCAACAGACCTTTTAATTTTAGGCCTCGCAATAATCAACCATTACTTTTAAATAAGACACACTGATTGCTCAATACAACAGGTTTTAGAACATCAAAATCCCAACGAAAATCTCATATGCTAATTGTGTAGAGAAGAATCCTCCATAACAGTTGTTATATTATGAGATAATATTGAAAAATACAAAGAAGAAACTCTTAAATGGGACATTGACAGAGAATTTATTGGATGGATTCCAATTGGATGTTCCAATAGAATTTCCACCCTTTTATTTCAACTTCACGAATCCTTATGTTCTGGTGTTCAATACTAAGTTAACTAGACCCGACTACACAGCCACCAGCTAAAGCACATTTGAAATATTCATCGTTCCTTCCTCGCCTGTCTTAACAATAGCAGGAGGTAACAGAATGTTGGGATTCACATAAGAATTGTTCTTAAATACAACAATAACTGATCAAGATTTAACAGCTGAAGAGGCCGCTAAAATGACATATACATGCAATTGGATATGTGAGGACATCGTAAATGGGACTGCATGTCAGAATCAGATGAATGAGACTCTTGTTTTTGATAACAATTGCAATTAGTATCTTCCTCCCAGGACATTTGAACCCTATAAGGCTGTTAATTTTTAGGTGGAGATATTAAAGGAAAATGTTAACTACTCAACCAAGGTTTCCATCCAACTTATCGAATTAGATTTGCCTGCTTTGACCATCTAGGGAGCCGACCCTTTAGAACTCCACAATTATTACGATGAATTCATCTTCAAACTTACTTATCCAGGCATTGACCCAGATGTGTTGATGTATGCAGGGGCTGTGATTTATGATCAGGTGGTATAGGCAACATTTCAATTCTATTATTTGGATTTTAAATTCAAAATTCAGGATTATTTCACTAATTTTGATGTAGCCAAAGGAAATGCTGGTAGATTGAGATTATCTGTCTATGACCCTCGATTCATTATGCCATCATTGAATACTTAAATGTTAACTCTAAATATACCACCTTAGAAGTGCGAATTAAGTTATAAGAGGAAGGAGAGCTTTGTCGAATTCCTAGACTATCTCGAAGTGAATGTCATAAATTGTAATGACGTAGATACTCCATTGAAATATTCTGTTATGCTATTTCCGAATTAGTCAATCTACAAATCAGATCTTGAAAACTCAAAATTCTATCATTACCTACTTGTGATTCCTCCACAGTTAACTTCCAGATTTAACCTAACACTCCCTTATGCCAACAGTGATGACAGTCTCATTGTTGTGAACATCTAAGATTAATAAGGTGGAATCGCCAACATCACAGAACCTCTACAAATCAAGCAGTACGCAAATTTAAGTGAGGACAACATCAGAAATTATCAACTTAGATTACAGAGCTTCGATGAACGATTGATAGGTTATCGCATCATCACGGACCGACTTACCTAATTAAGTGGGTTGATTGATTATAAGGAAGAATTGCTTAATGAATTGCTGGCCATCGATAAGAACGATTCCTTCCTAAGCAATCAAACTGAAACCCTCTACCATTCATTATCGAGTATATTGAGTCAGAATGTAAGTCTGATTTCTCTTAATGAAACTCACTTGCTGAATTAGTTAAACGTTAGGATAAAGTTGGCAGCAACAGAACTAGTAAAGTTAACCGAATTGTAACATAACAATAAATTGACTTCCCTGTTAAATATAGAGAAAAACAATTATGTTAAGTAATATTACACATACACCAATATCCTCTCATCCTATATTAATTACAGAGTCAATAAGAATGAAACTGCAACAGAAATCCAGGCCCAACTTGATTCCATGATCAATTACTTATAGGATATTAGTGTGGCCAATGAACCTATGTACAAAGTGTCATCTAATTCAGTCAATATGAACTTTGGATTCCTAACATCAAAACTCGCAAATGAAGCTACTGGCTCAGCTATCAAGGATAGTAGTAAAACTAGATTATTAGAAGCAGAGGCTGACACCTCAAATTCAAATTATAGCAGCACAACCAATTTCTTCAAATTCTCACAGACTCGCTTCATTGATAATCCCTTCTACAGTGCTGTTGGGTTCCCTAAAAACAGCACTGGCTATTAGGCTGTCGATCCTAAATTGGCCATCCAGAATGCAGTAGATAAAACAAAGAATATCACATCCAGTATGAAGATGAAATTCCCAACTAACAAACAATTACCTACAAACACTTCAACTAAATGCATCGCTCAAGTAGACTCTGGGAGCTGGAATGCTGATGTCTGTAAAACTAAAAAGGCTGAAGGAGAAACTATTTGTGAATGCGAATCCCTCAATCCAACTTCAATCATGGAATCCTTAGACTACTTGCTTGACAAAGCCTCACAAGTATATTCATTGGACACTCTACTTGCATTTGCATCATTCCCCTTTTACAAAACCATTGTATTTTACTTCTACCTACTAATGACTGGAGGCTATGCCTATGTAGTCTATTGGGGAATGAAGGTAGATCAAGCCATGTACACAAGGATAGCAATTGAAAAAGAAGCCTTGGAATAGAAGATTAAAGAAGAAGAGGACAAGCTAAAGGAACAAGAAAAGAAATAAGAGGAAGATTAGAAAGAAGAAAATGATGGAGCTGTGCACATTGAACACATTGATACATAAAACGATGCCAATCAAAGCAAAGCCATTCTCGAGCATTAAGAGTTTGATGATGTACCAACCAACAATGAGGGTTAAAACACAATCTTTAATAGAAACAGAATGCCTTAAGAATCCAAGGATGGACCAATAGGAACGAGAGGACAGGTGCCTACTTTGATAGATATTAATGATCACACTTAGTTGATACGCCCGAGAAGGAATTCAGTTCATGGAAGTGTATAAGTGATTCCCTCTGCTGACAATGCACATGTAGCAGTGGATGTTTAAAATGCCACAGTTAATTCTCAAATCTCTCCCTAGAATAAGGTTGAGAATGCCGATAATCCACTTCAAAAGGAACCTGAAGTCACAAAGAAACCGCAGGAGGATATTGTTTAATAATCCATCTCCAAGTTAAAAGCTTACATAGAATATCTAAAGTATTTCCATTAGATCTTGTCTATTGTGTATAAGGATGATGAGGAAAAACCTCGGGGTCTCAGAGCATCAATTGTCTACACTAGTATTATGGGTAGTTTGGCTGTGCTCTTTGTCTTTGGGCAACCAAATAATATCAGTCTCACCCTGACTCTGGCTTTGCTAACTGCTCCTGTCAATAAAATTTATTAAGTCATACTTGAGAAGATGTTGGCACACAAGAAGAAGTCAGTAAGAATCGGAGGTGCTTTTGTAATGATAGTCACTGCTGGATTTATATCTTATACTATGCTTGCAGGTTTAGTGCTAAGTGGTTCAGTGGAAACAGCCAACCAATGGAGTTATATTTTTATCGGTACCTTCAGTGCAGACAATCTGCTTTATTCTCCAATTCAGTTGGTCCTTTAATATGGTGTTCATATGGGATTGATTAATATGCCAGCGATTTAAAGATTAATGAACAAATTATTGGATTCTAAAGCTAAGGAATTCCTTAGAAAAATATTTACTAGAAGAAGATGATGAATAGATTTTAATTTATTTTTTGTAATTGATCATATTTTTATTAAACTTTCATCTTTATTTTAAATAACCAAAGGTTCATATCAATATATAATTATTTAGAGTATATAACAAAGAAATATTAATAATTAACAAATTTATAGGTTTATTTTTTGTGTCAATTAATTAATTTACAAGAAACAAATTCATTCTTTTTTCATCCAATTTCTCAAAAAGGTTATTAAATAATTAATTACATAATCCAGATAAGTAATAATTGTGATTTTTTCAGATTATTCTGTTTGTAATAGCTTATCATTTTTTTACCAATTAAAGCAATTCAGTCTGTAACTAATCAATAATAATAGATAATCAAGTGGGAGCAATTTATTGGAGAGAATGCTTATTAGAAGAATCATAAGAGAAGAGCTCTTAACCTAATTCCATATCAACTATAATTTCTATCATCAAATAAACTGGAATAGCTAGTAGAGCTGATAGTATTATTGAAATTCATTTCTTGAATCCAATCTTACTGTGAAATTCTTAGAAAGTACAGTTTTCAGATTTTTATCCTAGATTTTGCTTCAAGATGAATTAAGAAATTGTTATTGATATCCCAGGGTCAGAACAAATATCATTGCAACTTTACCTGTGTTGTTATTTTAAGATTATATGAAGGAATATACGAAAGGATGAAATTAAGCACAAACGTTTGATAGGCAAAATTTTAGATTCATTAACTTTTTCTGATATAATTGTTTAGACACTTTTGTCTAGATATTACGAAAGTGTTCCATACCAATCTTAATGATTTCAAGTACAGACTTCATTCGTATTTGGTTAAATAAGGTCAATATTAGCTGATTGGTTAGAGATCTGGAATTTGATATTTATAAATATAGAGTTGATAAATTTAAAATAGAAAAACGATGAGGAAAATGTTAGAATGTAATCATGATTATTATGCTAGATATGAAGAGCTTGGATATTTTTGGGTAAAGCATACAATTGAATTTTAACGGATAGAACTAGTACTAAACAGCAACTGGTGGATTTTTCTCCCTTGCTATAATTGCTGTTATAGCATTCTTCTTTTAGCAGAATATTTTAGATTTCTTAAATCGAGTTGATATTCATCTCAACACTTAGACAGTCTTCGATTTCAACCCAGACAGCATAAATTTCAATGAGGATAATTACATGTTTGCATTGGCAATTGATTAGCCTAACTTCACAACCCTCCCCTTCTTCAACATCACACTGAAATAACGTATTTACACGCGAACCTCCGATGGATCCTTAATTAAGCAAGATAATTTCATAGATCTGATCCCATGCACCTAAGATCGATTTTAAAAGATATTTAAGAATTAGGACTTCTCTGCTTAGTTTTCTTAATTAAAATTAGAGGAATGGCTATGTCCTCAACTCAATTACTCGATCTAATTAGGAGGCAGTTTTACAAGCGACATTTTCGAGTTTGTCAAAATAACTGTGAGTGAGTGCTCAAATAATTCAAATTCAAATTCCATTTTGTCATGGAAGCCTCAATGTGCCAGCACTTAAGCCAGAGATCGTTATCTTTAATAAGAACGCTCTTTCAGAATCAGGATGTAAATTTCTTCTCTTGATTTAGGTACATGACTAATAATGTTATCAACCCCTTACAAGTGAAGAACGTGTCTTAAACCTTCTTAGATGATGAAACTTATTTCTCATTTCTGCTTTAAACAGGAACAGAAGCAGATGTGTTTTATTAGAAATGCAATATCACCACTGATGACAACATCATTCCTCTACTCAAAAAAATAGATGAAGAAATCATCAATGTCAAAAGAGCAGGAGATTTTAAAACCAAAATCGTCCAAAATAATGATTAACAATTTTCAGCCATCTATTTGAGAAGAAGTCCCTACACCTAAATTTTTAAACGAGAATTGCAGGATATTTCTGATCTGCTCTCTTATCTCGGAGGCTTCGCAAATATAGTTGCTCTTGTTTTTGGAATCATCATCAAATCATATAATAAATCAAGATGTATCAACTCAAATCATCTATTTAGTTATGATCGAATTGGCTAATCATGTATATGATTTCCCCACAAGGAGTGCTAGCATTGTAGACTCCCAAGAAAGAAAAGAAATCAAGAAAACTATAGCCAAAGCAAAAAGTAGAACCATCCTTATCAAGCAGCAAGGTTAGGATCAAGAATTGCAATCTCAAATGCAATCACCCAAACATACATAAAATTAGTTATAATTCAATGATACTAAGTAACAGGAACTATACAATATATCCAAACAAGATGATATATACTAAGTCAAATCAGAATTGTAGATTACTAATCGTCAAGAAGAATAACTGCTATTCAGGTAGGAATAAGAAAAGATTATACTTCAACTTGGCATCCAGGATCGTAAGAGCTACTTAACTTCGTAAATCCAGAAGATATTAAGTAGAAGCAAACCAATACTATTCAACTGCAAATACATTCTTTCTAAGGTCTTTTGCTCTAAATTATTTTACGACCGTAACAGCGTTCTACTTCAAAAAGCAATGTAATGATTCATACTCATATATTTAGAAAAAAAATAAACCAAGATTTGGATATTTGTGTGGTTATAGACACAGTCAAAGAAATTAATTTAATCAAAGAACTATTGTTAACTAAAGATTAATTGGTGTTATTTGATTTTGCTCCAAAATAGGCAATTGATCTTTAGGAAGACGAAAAATCAATTATGACTAGAAGTTAAGTAAGTAGTAGCTTGGAAAGCATGAGAACAAATTCAAACTAAACAGCAGGTTAAAAGTAAAACTAATCAATTCAAGCATACTATAAATTATTTTAGGTAAATACTCTTTATTTTTAATATAGGCCTATGATCATATTCATTAACAATTGTAGTAGAACAACAAAATTAATGAGAAATTGATTGAGAAATTAGGACAAGAAGTAAGGGACATCTTTGATGTTTCCCACTTCATTTAATGGGAAAGGAAATAGATTAAATGTCTAAAAGATGATTTCGAGGTTGATTCAGTTAACTCAGATCCCAATAGTATAAATAACGTAGAATAGATAAAGATAAATGTCAAAATGAATACATGAACTAGAATTTTGTAATAAATATTCAATATTGAACTAATTTATTGTCTCAAATTATTACGAAATCTGAAGCTTAATTGAATAAGCCAATTAGTAATATTTGTTATAAAAGCAAATACTACTTAATCTAAGAGGATGATTTCAAATCAAAATTAATCATTCTCATTAAATATTAAAGAGTATGCTAGTTCTCAAGAAATCGAATCTTCTAAGTTGAACCTAATATTAAAGCTAAATAAGAATGATACATAATGTGAGATAAATCTATATAAAGCAAAATAAACAGAATCTTTGAAGTAAAATAACAAAAATTTAATAGTAGAAAAATAAGTAAATTCTTAGCTAATAGGAATAAAAATTAGTTATTTTGAATTATTCTGAAATAAATAAGAAGAATATAATCAGGAATGGTATTTTGAATACAATAAAATATAATTTGAAAATCATCAAGATGCTTGTGAATTAAATTAGAAATATGAATAGCCTAAGAAGTTATAAAAAGTCAAGGGATATATTGTAGAAAACCATAATATTTTGATGTGTAAGTATCAGAACTAATAAAGTGTAATGAAAATAATTCTTTGAAAATCAAAATAATATACGTAATATGATAGTTTTACCTAATGAATATTGACATACATTTTGATATATATAACACTAAATTATAAAGTTTTGTATTACTGAATTAATGAAGGGGCTTGGTGAGAGGAGGATAAATAATTTGAAATCATAATTAATTAATAATGTTTAATTCTTACTCATATGAAAAATAACTTGCCTTATCCAAAGAGATTGACAAGATTAAGAAAGGATACATGAGAGAACGAGAAGTTCGCAAAGGTAAGATTGATTGAATAAATGAAGAGTTAAATAATAGGTTGGCATAGAATTACAGGAAAAGAGTGGAAAATTTTGTGATCAACATGCTTGAGAATCCCGTGGTTTGTGCTGAATACAAACAGCCCAACACTCAAGCCTTTAGATAGGAAGACCCAACTAAGAATTTAGGAGATCCCCAATTTTATGTCAAGGGTTTCAAGCATGAGAAAGATCGTATCCAAGAAGCCTTGGACAGAAACAAAGATCTTGACTTTCTTCCTAATCGACAAGTGGCTCATTATTGCTTTCGTGAAAGGGATCCATCTAAAGACATTAAACGAGACGTGTTTCGATACAGAGATAAAACTAGTTTAGAAAGGATAGAACAGTTTTTGAAGGATCACACATAAACCTAAGTGGAGAATCAGAAATTCAGCAAGAAGAAAGTATTTAATATAGAGAATCTCTCGGAAAACATGAGTTCGCTAGACAGGAAAGCCTATTTAAGCAGATTAATTGCCAAAAATTTACTTCCTAGTTTACATCAAAAAACACATTTTCAAGCTGCGGCTACAATGTTTAATAATTTGCCATGTATACTCCTTGTGTTAATTTTCTAGTGTCTCTTATGGACCATGCTAGATCGGCTCCATTGTTGAAGTAAGCAGAAGCAGAAGAAAAGAGTATAAATTATTTACCAATCAATTTTAGAATCTCAATAACAATAGAGGGATGTTTAGAAGACTGAAGAAATGGAATAGAAAGACAATAAGATCAAGCAAGGGAATGAATTGGAGACCTTTAATCCTATTGAAACTTCTAAATCTGTGTTGGAAAAGTGTAATGTCATTCGCGGTAAGAATCCTAAAATTAGTACAATTCATAAAGGATAAGGACATTTAATCTCAACTTTGGACAAATCAATTTAGGAAATATATAGGGACATCTATGGAATAGATTTGAGTTAAGGCAAGTTTTTTTAAAAATGAATTTTTATAATTATTATTAACTCTTCATTTAGAAGATTATATATATAAATAAGTAATAAGATAGATTTATTTGTATTCACTTGCAAAAATGCTCTTTCTATAAAATGATGATAAGAATACTATATTATTAATTATTCTTATTTGTCTTAAGCTGTGATTAAATACAATATAGGCTTTATAAAATTTAATTTAAAACCAATGAATAAGACATAGGATTAAAAAATTAATAAAATTGAAAAGTCTAATGAAATATTATTTGTTATTATATATAATAATTGAATCAGCTAGCCAATAATTGGTTTGTGTTCTCGTCGTTATTTTTTCTCTAGCGACAATATAGGAATATTCCTCCTCCAATCAATAGTAAGCCAAGAATTATTAGTATAATTGCCCAAATAGGAAAGCTTCCTCCTTTATCATCATCAGGAGAAGGAGATGGAGGGATGTATTCTGATATTTTAACCTTCTCTTAAATAGAAAGGTTTTGATCTGTATTAGACAACTTAAATTTCACTTGATCCTCAAATTTACTTTCATTTGTACAGAGTTAAGGCGATCTTAACAAGATATAATGTTAAAGTTTCAATTAGCCTTCAGATGATACTAATAAATGTAATTTGCCATGTAAAGCATAAACAAAAGATAAATGTTAAGAATTGTCTTTGATTCCAGACAGAGGAGTAGCCAGATGAGCAATAACATTTTTAGGTTTAGAATTACTACTTGGTGTTTCCATATCATATAACATCAATTCATAATGTGTTTAGGTCAAATAAATTATTTATAGAATATCTTCGTTTTATCTAAAATCTATTAATTTCCAATCTTGATATTATTAATATAAACCATTAAATTTAAATGTAGCAATTTCACATAATTCATTTCTCGAACAGCTCATTTCATAATGAAAAGAGTATGATGCACTGTTCTTGAATATTATAGTGATTTAGTTTTTTGTTAAAACAAATCCAGCTGATTGTTAAATTTCTTGTTTATTTATGTTTTATTCAGCAAGTAATGAATCCAATGGAAATCTTACAAAATAATTGGTTGTTGAGGTTCTGTTGATTTCTCTCATTTAGAATTCAAGATTACCCCATATATCTACTGAAATAAACTAATAGACATTCTTTTATAAATGAGTAAATTCCATTTACTAAATCTAATAGTACTATTAATAACTTTAAATTAGTTCAAACTTCTCCAAATTTGTTGCATCTCCTAATGTATCATAAACATTAACATCATTTCCAATATATAAAAAGAAATTATTTTCATGAAGATAAGCTCTTTTTACACTCTTAGAAAGTTGTAATTTATTAACCAATAAATTACACTTATCATTATTCTTGCATTAAATGACTCTCAACCAGATGGATTCCTTTGTTTCAGCTTAAACATAGATATTTTCCCCTACGATCAGTAGAATAGCTGTAAATTAATAATTTTCATCCAACTACAAAATTTAAAATGTAAAGTCCTCAATGTTAACGAGATTAAGTTTATTCTACATTAATTAAACTAATCTACTACTATTAAACTATCTTAATTAGGGGCTGTATTCCAAAATTTCCTTTTGCAAAGTCAAAGAAGGATTAAGTTAAATCTTTGTAGATTAGTCTGCAAGTTCAATATCAAAAACTTAACCTGAGTACCAATCCTAGCCCAAATCTGCACAATTAACAGTTTCATTATGTTTAGTGTAGTTTAGATTGATTTGATCACTTCTCAATATAATTTTGCCACCTCTGTTTACGCTATTTATAGCAATTGATACAACCATTTTATTGGATAAATCATTAGTAACCTCAAAATCTAATTAGATCTAGCTTGTGTATGGGATTTATTCGTATTCTTTATTGACTACGCTCGTAACTATAAGTTCACCAGTTATCTAATAATTTGCTACTTATTAATTAACAATGTCAGTCATAAGAATGTTGTTACCTGCTACTGAAAATATGGCGCTGGGAGTTGAATTAATCTAATAGAATAATGTATCTAGACTATTTGATGTCAACTTATAGACTAAAATGACTTAGTTTGAACTTCTCTTATTGTATCCTTGAATGTAGAATAAATTTCTATCAAAAGAACAATCTAGAGTACTCAAATTAATATCAGTGTAGTGTGTGAATGATATTTGCTTCTCCCTATAGATATTCCTTTTATTTGCATAATTAAAGACTGTCACAATGTAATTGTCATCATTGTCCTGTTTAATAAATCTCACAAAATGATTTGCAAAAATGGCCAAATTTGACTCTTTGAAATCGAACTAAATAGTTTCATACCAAACTAGAGTTTATAAATCATATTCGATATCGTACAAATTCAAAGTAAATTATTACTCTATTAAGAATAAATTTTTAACATGTTCTGATGCATATATTTTCAAGGCAACAACGTTAAAAGTATTTGTTAGTTTAGCTTGATTTAAAATGGTTATTTCATAAATTCTAATTTCCTGTTCTAGTAATACAAATAAATGTGAACCATCAGTTACAATTTATTTTACATTACTTTCCAAATTAATGGTTGTCAAAATATCAAGTTTATTTGTTTGGGTGGACAAATAATAAATTGTAAGGCTTTATTCTTAGAAAGTTGCAAAGAACAACGATTCTTGATTAGACCACCATAATTATTCTACAGAATTCAACAATTATTTAAATTAATCTTTTGTAAAAAGGAGATTACAATTGAGTTGAAGATTACCTTCACATAAATATCCCTTAACCTAAAGATTAGCATCTTGTTAAATAATATAGTAACTCAATTATCCATTTGCTTTCAATATTTTTCGATAACCCAAAGTTTGAGTCTCCGAGAGGCCTTCCAAAGAAAAAGCTATGTGTTTTTCAATTTCAATTTTTTTTATTAAATTATTAGGTTTGAATTAATATTTTAAATCAGAGCCTTAGTATACAGGTACTAACTTGATTGCATCACTATCAATATTGACACCTCCGACTATCAAACCTTTAGAATATTACGATTATAAGACTTGTTTATACCCCAAATCTTGAGTTCTATAAAACAAATTTATTAAGCAATTTTGTGGGTAAGCTTCTTAAACTAAACTGGCCTTTTAGTAATCGTCACCAGGAATAGCCGATGTAAGCGATAATTTTAAAGAATAGTTTTCATTTATTGTGTAACCTACAACTTTTATATTGGAAACAATCATAAAGCCTTCAGCATTTTGATTTGTATTTATAAAAGCTTACTCGTCATCAAATTATAAATTCTATATCTTCTTTAATGATTCATTTAATAAAGTCACGATGTTGTTTTGGAATAAGAGTATGTTTCTTTTGGTGAGATATATTTTAGTTGAGGCATCGTCATTTAGAATTTCTGCTATTTGCTTTTCCTTATCTCTAATTTGAAACAAAATTTGTGTTTTTGAAATTATGGCATAAGTGTTGGTGAAGACATTGTAATCATAACCTTAGACATCATCGATGTGAGTTTCTATTATTTTGATTAATTCCCAGGAGTCATTTTTGTATTAAACAACAATGATGTCACCAGAAGCATTCAATATGCTAAGTTACCCATTGGTATGGACTTGAAAATCCTTGATTGACAACTTAAAAGAGTCCTTTTTCAAAAGAGCGATCAAGGTGGTTTCATCCAAAGAAATTAAATACTTCAGTTAGCCCTCTTCTTCTATGTATACAAAGATTTTATCTACTGTTCCTCTGAACATGTATTGGTCAACTTAGTCCACTTTCCTGAACTCTGAGGTAGCTTTGTCGACATCTAAGTAAGTTACTCTTGAATCCTAATTCATCAGTATGAAATAGCTATTTTTCTTTTCGTCATCACAGTCTATAACAGTTAATCTATCTAATTATATGATATCATAGCAGATAGACTTTTTTTTTGCCTCGCAATTTGTTAGTATGCTGATTTAGGGAAGATCTAAGTAAGTTCCTTAGTTGGACTATGTATAGTAGGTGTCGTAGTTAAGTCCTAGAATTGTTAGGTGATTAATTGGATCACGACTAGAGGTGCTTTTCTGGAGTTTCTAAGTCACAATCTTCAGATCTTTGATTCCACCATAATATTTTTCTGAATATTTCGATATTGGAGTTGTTATTGAAAGGAATTTGTCGGTTTGCTTTAAGGTTAGTCTCTCGAAATAATCAGTATGGAAGATGGAGGAGAGGGGTACGTTAATCACTTCTTGCAAAGTACCTGTAAGGAAGATGGTATTATTGTACAGATAGGAGCACGAGTGTGCTAAGACGATCATATAAGTTAAAAGGAGTTAAACTTTGGTCATTTTAATTAATTAAAATGTGGAATTTAGCATTGTAGCTTTGTATTGAAATTTGAATACATAAGGAAAAAAATGTATTAATAATGCTATTAAGTCTAAATTCTGCATAAAATTTTAAAATAATTAATAATTGTTTATAATAATAAAGCTATTAAATAATTGTAATTTATAAGTTAATTTTAATCAAAAAAATATGTTGATCTTTGAAAATCATATATTTTAAGAAGAGTCAAACATAAAAATGTCTTAATTATTGTAATTTCAGCAAATAAAGTAAGAATTACAAGGAGGAGTAAAGTCGAGGTTATTGTGTAGAGATAATTTTCTGATGTTGCTGTTCATTCAATATGAGAGTAATTATGCTGGGTGAAGACTATTCAAGATGGAAATTTGAAGTCGTTAAATCAGGAATAGCAGTAGCCTATAATTAGTTTATGTTTTTACAGCTTCGATTCAGACAAGACTTCCCAACGGCTTTGCAGAATTTAATAAATTGAGTAATAATATATAAATGAGATTTCATTTAATCATAGATTACTTCTAATCTTTGTATTCCATACTTGTTATTCCAATAGGTTATTCTTCATCTTAAAAATTTGTTTTCTTCTTTTTAAGTTTTTCAATAACTTTATTAGTTTAATCTCCTTGAATGTAATTGGAGATGTCAAATACTTCTTTGACTTCCTAACCAAGTTTCTCAATCAGAACTTTGTTAAAGGGATTGTTTTTTTCTTCTGATAATGCAACCCTCTCATAAGCTGAATAGAGTTTATAATAGATTCGCATTCCTGGAGTGACAAACTATCCTTTTTTAAACTTTTTGTCCAACATCATTTTGGCCACATCTCCAAATTGAACTCCCAGTGTCTTCGTATAGGCTCGTCTATGCAAGTCTAGATGGAATTAATTACTTATTCTCTCTTCTTCCAGGGAGGGAACGCTCATTTTCAATAGAAATTACTTCTTTGGGAGCGAAATTAAACAAAATCTTCTGATCCTTGTTTAAGAGCAACTCTTTAATCAATTCAATTTCCTTGACTTTGTCGATCAATACACAGATGTCAATGTCCTAATTTATTTTTTGGCTATCTTAATGATATTTCATACATAGCCTTATTTAAAAGAATTGAGTTGTGATCCTGAAAGAATTTGCCACAGAACAACTATTGTAATAAGAATTTAAAAGTAAAGACAATGGGTCTACTACGATCAAGCATAGCTTAAATTTGCTTGGTCAGAAACTCCTTCCGATTGCGATGACCCAATTTACTGACTATGCTTTATTGAATTTATTTGATTGATTTTTTCTTAAACATATCAGTCTTATCTTTGGATACTCTTTGATCCTCCTGATCCTATATTGCATTCTCCTTAACCAAATCAGACGCATTTAGCAAATGATTATTTTAGATATCTATGGCATCTGCACTCTGCCATTCGACTTCTTTGTCTCCGACTGGCTGTCGATGACTGCTCAATACCATTTTGTATGAGTCATCTTTCTGAGTTTGAATTCCAGAAATGTAGTCGAACTTCTAAGAGAAGGTTTATCGAAAGGTTAATTTCAGATTCTTGTCCATTTATGCCTTTGCAGTGTTGACAGAAGAAATGGGACTACATCGATTCAAAACCAAGTTTTGAGATTTCAGTTAAGTTATATCTTGGACCAATCTTTGTCTTTCAAATTTCTCTTATGTTTCCTTTTTGGGATTAAAGTCGTATATTTGATTAGCCAATTCGATTAAGTCTAATGAGGATGAATCGAAAAAGATTACATAATTATTTATTATATATGGCCACAAAGAATCCCAAAACAACGAAGACAATATTAGCAAATCCTCCTAAAATGGAGAGGAGCTTGTCCAATTTTTAATAGGACCTTGATATGTAGGTAGTGTAGGGGGATCTTCTGAGATAGATGGATGCATATGTGTCACTTGCATAGCTGTTTTGATCTCTATAATCTCCGGACTCTTTTGCGAATACCTCTTTTGTATCAAAAGCATTTCCAGTCGGTAATAAATTATCATCCGTTTTCATAAGATATTTAGTAAAAAACACGTCTGCCTCCTTACCGATCACTTGGGGGATGAAGGAGAAAAACAATTCGTCATCCAAAAATGATTAAACATAGTTATCACCCTTCAATGGGCTTACCATTTAATTTGTGATGTATCTATATATAAAAATGAGTTAATACATTTTAATTCTATATTATCTTTGTTGCATAAGCCAATGCTAAATCTCTTCATTCGAGGCACATGTAGGCTACCAAGAATAGAAAGAATTCGCCTGAGAATGGTTACTACATTGAGTAACAGTCAATTTTGCAAAATCAAAAAATTTATTCGTATACCTCCCTTTCAGAGTAAATGAGTAATTCAATCTGAGTATAGAAATATTACATACTATGGACACAACCAGGTGTCTAAACCGATCTCATTGTATTGTTGAGTAAAATTCTATCCATAGGAATTGAAGACCTGTTGGAATCTTTCAACAGAGCAAGGAACAAGATCAATCAAGGATTCCTACTTGGAGAGTGAGCCATTCCCCAATCGTTCGTATTATCTCAATAAAAATTTAAGATACCTTGCTGACAGAGTCACATTGAAAAATGGATTGGAATTGAAATTTGGTTATTCGATAGCTACTGCAAACATGAAATTAGTATCGTTTAGATATATTTAATCTGGCTGATCTTCAAAGGCTTGATTGCTCTCACTTTGAATGTTTACTTTGTTGACAAAATCTTTTATGTTGGATTAAAAGAATAACACAACGATTGCCAATATAACTAGAGTCATCATACCTCCGCATCCTGTTTTATATTGATCTTCCCCGTTGAGATTGAGAAGAATATTCTACCCAAACAAATCAATTGATCTAAGGTCTTCAATATAAGTATCTATTTTACATTTGAGAACAGATTTTTTGGAAGTGCTCATTTTAAAATGTTTATATTAAATTATATCAATTAGGAGTATGTGTTATATTCAAGAGAAGTATTATGAGAAGGTCACATTTAGATTTATATATATTCAAATTATATCATTCTTTTTTAAAGAATTTATATATCTATTCTGTCAAAGGAAAAACACTTTGCTTATAATCCTCGTCACTCAAATCTACGCTATACATCAACAGATAATACCTGTGCAATACTGATCACTTTCAACACAAGAGTAATTGAAGAAACTGATAGTAGTTTTACTTTTGGACGATGCAAGAGGAGTGATGTTTTCAGTCCAATCATACAAATAGTTCTCTAGCATTTTGTTATCAGTCAGAATTTTCTTAAACAAGCCAATCAAAAAATCATGGTCTGGCTTATTATTATTTTGGTTCCATTTGATGTACCCAAATAGTCCAGCAAATGGCAATCTACTCATGGTTTTAGAACTCAGATATTATTCCTTATGTCTCATCACCTCATCATTGTAAAGCATTGTGTTGGGGTATTTCATCCAAGGGAGTTGGCCTAGGATCGACATTACACTTTTACCTTTGAAGAGGTACACAAGAGTATAGGCTAGCATTTCAATGTCATCAATGAATCTGTAGGGCTATCTTTTATGCACTTGGAGAGGGTCGTAGAGTTGGGTGCCTTCTACATCTTTTGAAAAGAGAAATTAATCGGCTTCCTTGGCTATTCCAAAATCAATCAGGTATATTTATGAATCTAAGAATTATTAAAATAGAAAAAACCTTCCACAGATTTAATCATTAGATTTGTAGGTTTAATATCTCTGTGTACAATATTCAAAGTATGGACTTCCTTCAGTATTTCGAGTACTTTGATGGCAACACAGCATATGCTCTTTAAGGAGAGTTGTTTCATTTTAGCCCTTAGGCTATGCAAATCTGTATTTAAATATTCCATGCTCAGATAGGTAGATCTTCCTGATTCTCCCAAAGTGTAGACTTTAGGGATTCCTGGGACGTGTGATAACTTTTTCATAATTTTATACTCATTAGATAAGTCAAACTTAGAGTATTTGATGGCTACTTCTTGTTTTGTAGTGTGATCCACACCTCTGAAAATAGTACCACATCCTCCTTTGAATAGTTTCTCATATACAGTTAAACCTGGAAGATCATCAACTGAGGATATGGTTTTGTGATTGATGATAATCTAGGAGTGCCTAGTCATTTAATTAATATTATAAAAATGATTTAAACAGTTTAATTTGAGTCTCAATCCAAAAATGAAGTTTAAGAATGATTGTACTTTGTACTTTGTCTCGATTATGGTTCGATTTAATTATCACACATTAATTTTAATTAAGCAAAAGCATTTCAAAAACATCGTGTGAACCAGAAATGCCATAAATATGAAAATGCGATTAAATTACACACTGCAATTCATATTAGGCATTATTAATGAGGATTCTCGTGAAATCTGATTGAGATTGTTATGATTAATTAGAAATAAGGTTTTTAAGAACATATAAATTGATCAAAAGGATTGTTTAAATAATTAAGATATTTATTTATTTTTGCTTCTTGCTAGCATGAAATCTTAGAATTCGAAAAAACCAAATTTGAAGATCACTTTAGACAAGAAGTCAGTTGCATTATTGTCTAAGTCAGATAGACCTCCCAGCTCCAAGTGCTCTCAAAAGACCATATCCTCCAATGATAAGGTAATTTCACGAGACTAATTTATTTGATTTAGACTACTGCTTCCTCCAAACAGTAAAGTTTCAAATTTCAGGATAGCTTCTCCACTCCAAATCCCTCCTTCATCTCAGAGGGAGACAAGAAATGTAAATATGCCGAATTCACAATTGTAGCAGTTGAACCTCACCAATCTCAGCTCATCCAACTCCTTATCCAAGAGAATTTAGAACTTTAAAAACAAAATTCAGATAAAGACAAAATAATCACCAAACTTCTCACTACAAACAAACCCAATGGTTTACAGAGAGCCAACACCTCCAACACCGAAAGAGATATGAATAAATATTCCTCCACAGAGCAGTAATATTTTCAACTAGAACATCTAGAAAAAAAGCTGAATCCAAGAAAACCAACTCCCCTCTAGGCTTCACCTTTTGTAACACCGAATAAGTGACTGATGCCAGAACCATCCAAAGCTAGCCAATGACAAAATCAAATAAGAGACTCCCTAAAGAGTTTTAAATTGTACCCAATCAAAGAAGGTTTTTCATCTGAACGAACTTTGAAAAATAATTTCTTATTTGATTTTAATGTTTTAGTTTATTTTCAATAATTTTTAAATATATTCCTCAATGCCTCCTTCGAATTATAATTTATAAATTTAGATGCCAAATATATTTACATATATATACATACCAAAATTGTCCTATAGAGAGAATCTTTGTGAAGACAATATTATCAATTAACAACAATTGTAATCCATCAAAAACAAACTCCCTTGTTTTATTAGAATATTAAACTTAATTTCATTTGCTTTCTACTGTTCTCTTAAATAAGCAATCTTTTCCACCCTATCACAAGATTTCCTTGCATGCATTCATAATTTTCAGATGTTCTTCCTTCTTTACGTAATGAAGATATACTTCGAAGGAATGCATTCAGATTACTTAGCATAATGCTCTTTATATAAAATTTCATATTATATTTATATCATACTTTTTTTGTTATTATAAGTCTATTGAGGGTTGTTTAAACATGACTAAGCACTGATTAATTATAAACTTAAAATACGATATAATATAAAAGATTAAATTTAAAACTCACTTTATAACACTAAACAAAGAAAATAATTCCTTTCATTTAGAGATACTAAGATTTTAGTATGCTTAGAGATACTTTCTAAGATGAGATAATGAGTTGTTACATATATAAATAACCTAATAATTTGATTTGATATTTACATGATATTTAGTGATTAGTAATTTAATTAAGGGACTAAGGTTAGAAATATAAGTTCCTTTCATATTTGAACGGAAGTTGAGTGTAAAGTAGTTGAATTCTCCGAATTTAATAGAATGCGATGCCTATTCAGCTTAATTTGAGAATTCAATGATTGTACGGAGATTGGCATCCCTTAACAAATTAAAATCGTTCTGATCGCAAGGAACATAACCATAACAGATATGATTATCCAATTGATAGATTGATCTCTTTATCTTTTCCATACCTGGACAAAAGGCTAAAATATAGTTCTTGTATGAGAAGTCAAGATTGTGGTTTTGTGAGATTGTAGTATCGAGATGCAGAGTCAGTATTGAACTCGAGTAATGTTTTTTGGTTTTCGCGTGGAATTGATAGTGGATTACCTTGTCTTCAATAACATTGGCAAGTATTTTTTTATAAGATATATCTTATTTTTGTTTCATGGTTACTCGTTTAGCATTCTGACCAAGATCCAAGGATGAGCCAGAAATGAACATGGGATATTGTCGGGGATTGTAGCACTGGAACATCACTTTTCGATGATTCCACACATCAACTATGCCTTTTTCAAGATTTATTTAAATGATTACGTGAAGGTTCTGTTGTTCTCATGAGTCGATTGGGTCCGAACTCCCATTCCCCGGAGTTTGGATCATTGAAGGAGGAGACAAAGTACTTATATTGGAAATTGTGAATGGGGATATCGATGGTCCACAGATGTCCCTATATACTAGATTTGGCTTACTTGATTCCACTTCATTCTCCTGGCTTGAAGCGGAGACCAATTGCCTAAGTAATCGGAATCGCCAGAGATATAAATTGCATCACCAAATTGAAGTTGATAATGTAATTGAAAGCTTAACATGTATGTTTATAATTTTTAATGATTAACATTTGAGATTGTTGCCACCTCAATTGTAATTCATAATAGTTATTATTTTCCATGTTACGTATCTAAAATGAAATATTATTATTATTTTGTAATCCACAGCTTTATCCTATTTTTCAATTATAACCTGTACAATAATAAAATAAATGGATATTCTCATTCATCAATCCCCTGGAGAATTGGTCTACTTGTACATCTCCGCTCGAAGATTGCAAAACTTGGGCCATTCCAACATCCAAGACTTCAGATGTCGAGTCTACTCAAAATAAGATTTCATTGGAGAAACTGAAGTCTCTCGCTCCACCCTTGATCCTGACTTCAAATAACCCATCCCCATCATGTACAGGTTCAACAAGAGATAAAAACTGGTCTTCCAAATTATTGATGCCGACCAAGAATTATCAAGTCAACTTGTGAGTCAGAACGCCTCTGCCTCCATTGTAGGCATTTGCAAACAGCCCTTGTCCAAATTGATGGGAGCTAGGAATTCCTTAAGCCAATTGAATTTGATGAAAGGAGATTTGGTCGTAGGCACAATCATAATTCATGTCACCAGAAAAGGACCTCAAATTACTAACCAAAAAGATCAAACTAATAAAGTAACCGAGATTAAATGGCGTTGGGGAGGTATTTAATAAATACAATCAATTTAGGCATCAAATTACTTGACCTTGACTTCTTCACGAAATCTGATCCATTTGCTAAGTTTTATAGAATCAAAGATCAATAAACAGAAATAATACATAAAACTGAAGTCATCAAAAACAATTTGAATCCAAATTGGATGTGTTGGGAAACAACAGAGAATGAAATCTTCAAGTACTCTAAAAATTTATATGTCGAAGTCATGGATTATGATAAATTGGGTTCTGAAGAGGTATGATCAAATTAAAAAATATAGATTGGACACGTCACGATTAATTATGACGATATCAAAATCCACAAAAAAACTGAGTTCCCGTTATTGACTCCTAAAGGAAAAAATGCTGGCACATTGAAATTATTAGAATTGGTCATCGTAGAACCCAAAGAAGAACACGTAGAGATAATTTAAGAAGAACCGAAAGAACCTACCTTCTTAGATTATCTAATGGGTGGGTGGTAAATGTCATTATCAATTGGTACTAAGCTAAATTTAACATTTATAGGAATTGACTTCACTTTTTCAAATCAACCCATCACTAAACCAGATTCTTTACACAAAATTGATCCTCATAAATTGAATTACTATCAATAAGCAATCAAAGTGATTGGTGGTGGAATCATTGCATTCGATTATGATAAACAAGTACCTGTCTATGGATTCGGAGGAACACCTAAATTACCCACCTACACTAAGTCTACAATGGATGACTGTTTCCCTCTGAATGGAAACAAAGACAAGCCTTAGTGCAATGATGTGGCAGGAATCCTGTAAGCCTATGTAGAGGCAGTCCCAAATATAGTATTTTCAGGTCCAACCTTTATTTCAAATGTTCTAAACAAAGCTTTGCAATTCGGAAAGGAAAATGCACAAAATAACACATACACAGTAGCCATGATCTTAACTGATGGTTAGATTGAAGATCAGTAATTTAAATCCATATAATCCATAGAGATGATGCCATTAAAGTACTACTTGAATGTTAGACTTTGCCTATGTCCATCATTATCATTGGAGTGGGAGATGAGAATTTCAAATACATGAAATAGTTTGATGATCCAATGTTCCTTAAAAAGCACTCAAAAACAGATATGAATATTAGAGACATAATTCAATTCGTATCATTCCAAGATTATAAAAATGACATTGAGCAAATGAGTTCAGCTGTTCTTGATCAATTGCCTAAGTAATTTATGGATTATATGCACATCAATCACATTTAACCCATAAAGATGTAATCTGTTCACCTTAGCAAAGCCTTCAAATGAATAGATAGATCTATATATATATATAGCTATTAAAATTAAATGATATTTATTATATGATGGATGATTATCAAACTTTGATGTTTGAGAAGTCAACACTCTTAACAAGGCCCAAAGCTTACTCACTGACTCCCAATTCTCTGGTGAATTCGTTCTTGGTATTGGTGTAGATATCGGTTTCTTCAGCATAGGTATTATTTTCCAATTCTAATTCGGCAGTGTATTGTTTTTGGTCGGCAGCTCTTTGGTCTCTGAATTCAACCATGGAGTCGATCTTTTCTATACATAGTTATTTGATTATGAATACCATTGGTGGCAGTCAAATCTACTGTAGCTCTGTCGATTTGTCTTTAGAATTCATGGAATTCGTCATCCAATTATTCAAGGTAGGCTTCATGATCAATTACATCTTGGGCTTCTTGGGCTGTCAAGTCATTAATTTAATCGACAACAGCGTTTCTGAATTCGTTAAGAGCATCAACGATGTTCTTCAATACGTCTTAGTTAGAGAAGTTTTGATTTGATGCTAAACTAATCAAAGCCTTGATCATGGGAGCCATTCTGGATCTTGATCTGATCTTGCTCTCAATGCTCTTAAGTGTATTTTGGAATCTTCTGATTTACAACAATGATGGGTTGGTGAGGGATGCAAGGAGGGCCAAAGCATCATCGACTGAAGCTGTAGCATCGTTCAATTCGGCAACTTATGCTTCAAAGGCTTCATGCTCTTATTCTCTTACTAAGATAGCCTCATCATAATTCTTTCTGTTGTCTTCTTGATATCCAAGGACGGAGTCAATCTTGTCTTGGATTTAGGCTCTTCTTGGGTAGAGAAGGTTATCCAAAGTATCTTGTGTATTGTTAACATCTAGCATATTCGATATGTATTTTTACCAATGACAGCATCTTAGATGTCTTGTTCTAATGAAACAACCAAGGCATTGTGTTCGTTTGTTCTTACTTAGAAATTGAATTCTAATTCTTCCAACTCCTCTTCTAAATCGTTGATGAGTTCTTCAATAGCATCAATCAATTCTTGAACTGGTCCTCCAGCCATTGAGTGTAACTCAACCAAATGGAGCAAAGCCTTTCCGTAATTGCTCTTAGCCAAATCAGCTTACACTTTGGCCATGTTTCTCTCTTAGACTCTAGCTGTGAAAGCCACAGCAATGAGGGCAATCAGAATAATAGATTTCATTTATTTTATTATCAATCACATAAAAACGAATTTTTCCCATTTTCAACCCTTAATTAATCGTACCCAACGCCCCATTTTTATAGTCATCCATCCATCAAAACACTCAATCTTCATCTTTCCTCTTACTTGCCCAATTTACGAGACCAAAAACCCCAACATTGTCAGATATTTGAAAATCCAAAAACGAATTTTTTTATAAGACTTATTGAAATTCTGATTAGGCAATTTAATAAACAATCCACAAAAAAATACATAAAACCAAACCAACTTATTGTTCTTTTATGTTGCTTTTGAAAAGGTATTAATTAAGTAAAATTATAAATTTCCAAAAAATACATATAAATAACAACCAAACAATTAATAATAACCAAATATTAGTTATTATGATTATAAATATTTAGCAATCAAGCTATTTCATTATGAGATGAACTCTGTTGCTATCTATATTTGATGTGAATGCTTAGATTTAGAATTGAAGTGATCTCTCACTTGTTTCAAATCATCAAGCATTTTCTTTTGGTTCTTACTTAATAACTATTTGTGATCTATGACTTGCCACTCAGTTACGTCGGTTTCATCATCAATAGTTTGAATCATAAAATCTGAATCTGAATTCTAACTCATCACCCTTTCGACTTGAGTTTCATCGATCAAAAACGTTACATCCTCCTCAAAAAGGTACATGAACACTTTTTTCTCTGGAGTTTGTATTTATTCTGAATTAAATCTTGTTAGTTTGTTATTTTGTTTAGGTATCACTGTTTACTCTTAAAACGACAAGGATCGCTGCTTGCCGACCTCTTAAGTTAAGTTGAGGTGTTAATGAAACCTAGCAATGATTCCAAGATTCTATTGCATGTTTAAATGATAGCATTTATATAATTCTAAATTCTAGTTTTTCCCATTGTGATCAATTATAATTTAAAGTTAGTAGTTTTTCAAACCTGATTATTTAACGATAAAATTCTGATACAATGGACTCTTTGTAAGTAAACAGCAGAGTGAAAAATTTTCTGATTGGCAAAATTTGCCGCATTGCTAATTGGTGACGAGATAATTCTTAAGACACAGGATCCATTGTTCTGCCAATATCTTTCTGTGATCTGTCACATGCTCCAAATATATCGAAATTGATATGTTTTGATCATTCGTTTTAGAATATTAAGTATAGTTTAAAATATTCGAATTGGAGGCACCTTAATTCAAATAGGCTCTTTTGTTAAGGATCATTGAGATATATTTATCAAGATGATATTGTTGAATCTGCATATTCGAATAGTTTGAATGATGCTGTTTTAAAATTGTTTTAAATTATAAAATAGTCAAGCATTTTAATCATCTCTTCTACTCCATTTTCGGTTTTTTAACTTTTTTTGAATTTCCAACCCTAACTCGAGTCCCCCCTGGATCTAACTTAGTAGTTTGATATCATCCCTATTTTGACATCACTCAGTAACTTTAGCCCACATATATAAAAATAATGTATATAATACTATTCTATTGATTATATATATAATTAGTATTAAATAATAAAATTAATTAATAATATTTGAGATTATTAAATACAATTTATGATTATAAATAAATTATACATTAAATCACACTAATTCAACCTCAGCATTTTTTAAAATAACCATAAATTAAAAATGGATGAGTTCCTAATTCAACTTAATTTTATCCTAATTACATTAGAGAATAATTTTACATTTAAATTGTTATCAACCTGAAAGAAAACCTTTTTGGGATGCTTTTTCGCATATCTGACTTTAATGATTGATCCATTATTTACTTTGAGTTTAGACTAGGAAGATTCTCTTTCTAAAAGAAAAGTGCCTGTCTAAGTTAGTAGGAAACAACCCTCATAATCGTTTAGATCATGATTTACACTAACTACTCCTATGTTGAAGATGTAATCATCATCTTTAAGCACTTTCAATTTGACTTGCATGATTTTGTTTCTGACTTCATCAACTCCCTTGAAATAAGCATAACACTTATAGTCTTGCGTAGTAGCAACTCTTAAATTTTTAGTGAATACTAGTTCTTTGCTTGATTGTTTGATATCGAATTGAGCAATATTTTACTCTATTTATTTCACAGGATTTATAATTTCCTGTGATTATTTGATTACATTAGCTGGTTCCCGCAATTGCAATTGCTTTACAAACTAGCTCAGTAAATCTGTTTGTTGTGATTAACAAAAATTTTAGATCTAACTTTACAATGTGTAAAGCTTTTGCTAAGTTTATTGACTGATCTCGAATTTCTTGATGTAATTGTCCAAATATATGTTCAGGATTTCTTTGTCTATCTCACTCTACTGCATGATGGCCTAGGTGACTTCAACAAACATCTAACGAGGGTGGATTTGTTCATAGAATTCATCAAGCTTTCTAGAATTGTTATGTGTACAAAATTTACTATTTAAAAGTTTTTTCAAAAAGTAGAAGGGAATCCTTCAGAGATCTAATTAGAGCTTAAATACTATTTATGATGGTCAGATAATGCTATTCGTTTGATAAACGAGAGAGACTACAATCATCAACAAAACTAACTATCATCTCTCTAAATTTATCAAACTTTATTAATTTATGTTGCTGTTACGAATGCAATAGTAATTCGGGGACAGTGTCAACTGCTCTTCCCAAGCTGCAATTAGGATGCAGACATATCCATCTATTGATTTTTTAGATATCCATTTCAAAATGATGCTAATTTTTAATATAAAGAATAACAATTATAAATAATTTTATATTGCAAATGTCTATTGATACAATTTTCATACTTTCTCAAAATGGGTATACATCTATGATATGCTTAGTGAAATCTTGGCTCATAGAATATTCAAGGGTCTCAAGCGCAAAGACACCCTCCCTGAATTTTACACCTAATTCGTGCAATTCTTCAGAGGGACCAATGCAGTAATTTTGTGATTTGTGAGTATTGCTTAGGATAAGGAATACCCGATTATCAGAATAAAGGATGCCCTCTACCCATTTGTCACCTTCTCAGACATCATCATTGGAGCAATAGTAACAGAAGAGATTCCCGTATTGCAATTATTCGCAACGCTCTTTCTCATTCTGGATGTCCTCAAGGCCTCCTTTCCCAATGAATCCTCTGAGAAGCTCAAGTAGAATTTGCCCACAATTGGCATCATGCTCGATTCCGTATTTGATTATGGCTATCCCTAAATTACATAAAAGCACGTGCTTGAAAGTATTGTGAGGCCCGGAGGCATAATCGAAAAAATTGAGGAAAAAATTATAGGCAGACAGAATGTGCAAAAGGAAACTGTGTCCCTGTTGGAGAAATACATAGATGGACAAGCTGATGTAAGAGAGCATAGTCAATATCGACTCCCAGAGATCAAAGGAGAAGAGGAAGTTTACTTTGATGTGATCGAATTCTTGGATTGTGTATTCGATAAGAATGGCAGAATTTTGATTGAGGAGATCAACGGAGAAATCAAAGTAGATTGCAACCTATCAGGATTACCAGAATTGTTTGTCTTCCTTAATCAAACCAACCAATTCAATGATTACACTGTTCATGAATGCCTACTCCAAAAAATTGATACCTACGAAAGAGAACGAGTCTTGGCATTCGTCCCACCCTCTGGAACCACTACCATATTTTATTACAACATCAAAGGCATTTCCATTCGACCTCCCTTTGAATTCATTCCAAAGCTCCAATTCATCAATAACCAAGTCAAAATTGAGTTCCTACTTAAAAATAGACCAGTCAGAGGGCAATCATATGCTGTCGATGAATTCCATACCAAATTAACAGTGCCAAGTGGTTTGACTCTTGGAGAGACTGAGATGGCCTAGGGAACACTCCAACAATTAGAAAATGTACTCATTCCATCTTATACTTTAAGGCTATCCTTTGGAGAATTGGGAAACTGGAAATTGATTCTTCCATTAGACTAGCTGTCACCTTCTCGTCGACTGAAGATCAATTTAATATCATACAGTAGGGCAATTTCTTGGTCCAGTTGAAGTTTGTGGTCAACACATTTAGTCCTTCCCAAACCAAGATTGATAAAGTTGAAGTCAGAAATGGGGCCAAGGTTTTGACTAAAAAAGCCAGGAATATTGCCAAGAGTGGTTATTACGAAATTAGATTAAATTGATGATTATTAATAATTAAATTTGTATAATAAAGATGTTCAACATTCGTCGTCCATTCAAGTTACTCAATCTAAGTATAGACACTCCTCAATGTCGCAGTCATTCTGTCAAACTATCCAATACTATACAACCTTCCTCGAAAGTAAGTGAAGAGGAACGTCTGCTATTTGAGAATACTCAATTACAGTTTTAGATTCATCAAAAGGAGGAGGAGTTAAAAAAGTGTAAAATTAAAATGAATTAATGTCAAGTAATCTTACACCTCTAATATCATAGCCTAAGATAGGCTTGAATATTGAGAATTCTCAATAAAAATTGAATGTGAAGAAATTATAACTCTACATAAAATAACTCGAATTAGAATTATTGGAAAAAGGGAAGAGCATGGAAGATTTGAAAAAATAAATGAGTCTAACCAAATTTCAAGAACTCCAAGTAATCTCTCTCTTTATTAAAGATTGAAGCTCTCGCATTCTAATAGGAATGCTCAAGATTGATAAAATAAGTATCAAAACTCACTAAGTTGCTGAATTATAAGAGCAATGGAGTCAATCTCTATGATCTTTTTGAAAATTTGGAAAATTAAAATAAAAACCTTGAACGTGCTCATAAAATTTAGGAATCTGTCATCCTACAATTCCAAGATGAATAATAAAAGTATAAAAATCAAATTGAGTAATTAGAACTAGATAACAAAAATTTATAAAGAGAAAATAAGAAGGTTTTATAGATTTTAAATTAAAATATCACCCCTAAGCAATCTAAATTACTTAATAAAAATGATTACCTACAAGAAGAATTAGAAATATCAAAATTGAAAGTCAAAATATCTTAACTATAAAAATAAATGATCAAACAACAGAATCAAAAAGAAAAGTATATACAACATCTCCTATAAATTATTATGGATAAAGATGACTAAATTTAAGCTTATGAAAGATAAAAAATAATAATCAAAGAAGTATCTAAGCCCGATTAATTGACCTTGGACTTAAAATATTAATAGTGTATACAGCAAATTAAATCTGAACACTCCTTTTCTGAGGATATGTCCTTTGATTTACCTCCACAACTTACTCTTACTAAATAAATTAGCGTAAGAAAAAAATAAAATATTTCAGAATAACAAAGATCTTAATTTTTAGAATTGAATAGTCAAATAGATGAAGAAGCAAATTCAAGAAATCTTGATGAGGATGAGTCATTTGTTGAAACCGAATACAGAACAAAGAAATTGCCCAAAATCAATTACTATGATGTTGAAATAATTGGAAGAAAACTTAAATTCGAATTATAATAAAAATTGATTCCCCTTAGTTACATGGACTAGATATTTGATTGTACTGATGAAGAATGCTAGGACATAACTGTTGAGGAAATAATCCAAATTCTCAGTGCTGAACCCTTTTTAATTGTGGATGAAAAAGAAAGACTCCTTGTGGCAAGATATCTAATTGAAGATAACACACAAGACTATGTTTTGCATAATCTTATGAATTCCAACTCGATTAATATAATTAAGAGTGTTTTTAAATAACTCTTGGGAAAATATTAATTATTTTCAAAACAAGAAAAATCAAATATTGAGTAACAACTCAAAGGAATTTTTGTAAAAGTTTAATATAAAATTCTTGATTCTCTTCAACAGTAAAGTAATCTTAAAAACAACAATTAAAAGATTAAAGAATGTACTTTAAATGATTTTGAAATCATTTTGAAATCTTGTGAAATATCCTTATTGCCAAGACAGATGGAGTATTTAAGTTTAATTAATTTTTAAATTTGCAAGTAAATAGAAAAGTTACGTTACTCTGAATTGTTAGATTATTTTTGTAATATTTAATCTTTATGATTAATTTATATTTAAATACAAAAAATATTCTATTAAGTGGTTTTTAGTTTAAATGAACAATTAATTCAATTTCTTATTTGAATATTAATTATTTGTTATTTTTCACTTCTTAATCCTTATGATTGGTTTATATATTGTTAAATTAATAAAAATAATATATTCTTTTGGCAGATTCAAAATGATTAAGTTTCTATGATTTTAAAAGAATTTGATTTTTTTACATTCACAGACTTTTTCTAAACTTTAACCACAAATAGTCATTTTTATATAAAATAGAACTAATGGCGGAAGAGTTATCTAGAAGAGACATTAGAAACCTGATCTATAAAAAATTATTCTATTTTAGTGTTTGATCATAAAAAAGGTCATTTTATTTTGATTGATATATATTAGATTAGTAACAATTTAAATAAGGTTAAAAAGAATAAAATCAATATTTGGCTATCAAATCTTCCATATAAAGGATTTGATCAAATAGTTACCAATATCCTATATTCTCTTCTCCTAATAGTACTATTAACTATTTCCTTAAATCTTAATTAGAAGATTCTAAATTAACAAAATAAGTACATTTGGTTCTTATTAATGCTAAAGCTTTATCAGCAAGATTTGATCCAAGACCTCCTTCACACCTATGCTTCAACAATTTGACTCTATCCGAAATTCTCGAGGTTATTTAATTAGACAATTTGGTATCCTCTTGCAATAAGTCATCTTGATCATCATGTTCTTCATCATCTACTTCTTCATTATCAAATTCCTCCTCTACTTAAGGAATGGCTTAACCAGCTAAATAATTAAAATTACAATACTCTCAAGTGCTTTAATTTACATATTCTAGACCTATCTATTTTAATGGAGTGATTGATTAATTTATGAAATCTTGACTGTCTTTTCCTTAAGTTTAGTTTTCATAAGATCCAACTTTTGATCAACATCTCCATCTTCTTCATATTCATCTTCATTTTCAATCTCTTAGATGGCATTGACTCCTTCGCTATCATCTGATATATCATATTCATCTTAAGCTTTCAATGAACTCTCCTTTGATTATCGATATTGAGCTTGTTTTCTTTCTTAGGCAATTTTTCTATTTTAAAAACTTTCTCTATAGACAAGTTATCTTTCTTTCTCTTCTTGAAGGGTCTTTTCTACTTCCCTTTTTTATTTGTTTTAGATGACTTTATCTTTAGCACTTAAAGTACTATCATCTCGCAATCTATCTTTTTCAAGGGATAAACTTCGTTCTTTCTATTTTTATCTTAAATCATTGGATTTTCTCTCCCTTTCCAAAGAGACCTTCCTTTAAGGGATTCTTTAGTAGTCAGTTTTGGTTTGAACATCTATTTTTTGAATAGGTTCCGATTTGATAGGAAAGTTTTCAGTTCCTCCTTTTGAATTAAGATGAGTATCATTATTTTTAGTAAGAGTTTTGGATTATTTTTTTTATTCAAGTCTTTTGATTTCTTCTTCTAATTTCTTTTTTTCGAATTATTCCTTTCTGAGCTACTTTAATTTTAAGGCTTCTTATTCCTGAATCTAAATCAGCATTCTTTATTCTGCCTTACCTCCCTTTTCTAATTCATTCTTAATATCTGAAATAGTAGCTCCTTATGCCATTTACTTTTGATAATGTTGAATGAGAGGAAGCACTCCTATTTATTAGGCTTATTCATATAGAGTGTCGACATACATGTCGTCTAAATCAGCAGATTAAGGTTCTTAATGGATAGTAATAATGATTACCACTAAATACTTCCAACATGTAATAAATAATTCTAAGTTTAATTATCGGTTTATGAACGATTTCTTAAATAGTTGGTCTCGCCTTGGGGTTTATGTTAAGCATTTTATTAATCAAATCTCTCAATCCTTTCGAGTAAGATTGACTGATAGATGGATATGACCCTTTTAAGATCTTGAGTGCCAACCCGTTCATAGATTAGGCGTCAAATGCATGTCTTAGATTGCACATTTCATAGAGACAACACCCTAATGCCCACACATCACTCTTATATGAGTATGGCTTATATTTAAATAGTTCTGGACTCATGTAGTAGGGAGTGCCAATGCAAGTGTTAGCTAAATCTCTTGTTGAATCAAGCACCTTAGCTATTCCAAAATCTCCTAATCGAACCCTTCCATTTTTGAGAAATACGTTCTAGGTCTTGAGATCTCGATGTAAGATTTTCTATTCATGTAAATAACACAATGCTAATGTCATCTAAGCAAACCAATCAAGGATTTGGGATTCTGGAAAACTCTTTTTATTTCTAATCTTTTGGTAGATGTCTCCGCCTTCACAATGAATCATAACTATATTGAGATATTGTTCCTTATCTAAGTAAGAGTCCTTATAGGCTACGATATTCGGATGTCTCAGTTTTTGTAACAGCCTAACTTCGTTTTCTGTATTCTCTCTATCCTTCTGAGTCATATCCCTGATTTTGATTCTCTTGATCACATAGAGACGATCCTCTCTCTTGTTTCTAGCCAAGTAGACTTGTCCAAAAGAACCAGAGCCAATGGACTTAACTATTTCATAAAATTCCATATATTTTAAATAATCATCATTATTATTAAGTACATTGCAAGCACACTACAAAATCACCATTTTATAAATATGCATATTTGCTACAAATCAAACAGCAATTGTTCCCACAGACACTGCACTCATTTGTGCACTTCTAACACATCAACTTAGTGCAGTTTGAACAGTAGATGTCCTCTGACACTATTTTGATCTCACAGTTCGAACATTTCTTGATAATCTGATCTTCTAGAATTGATTCCTAATCGTTTGCTCTCTTGTAGACTAGAGTTAAATAAGATGACTATTTCTACAGATGCTATTGAAAGTCTGTTTCGACGCGCTCTTCTTACTATTACTTCCGATGTGATCTTTTTATTACTACATCTAATCCAATTCTTGGGACAATTGATAATTGATTTCAGCATAAACCTCCTATCTCACATTTGTATAGTACGGACTTGTTCGAAACATATATTAATATTAAAGATTAAATTATGAAGCACATTATTATACTAAATCATTGATCATAATAGTTCTCGTAATCTTGATCCTCCACTTATTGCATGTAAGCTTCATAATCCTCTTCGAATTCATCGCATTATTTAGTCAATTCCACCTTATTTACACTTTCTTGTTTCTTTAAATTGTACTTCGCCATCAGACATCTCCGAACACATTCTAGTTGATGCTCCACCTTTTGAGATAAAATCAACTTTGCCTTGCAATAAGCACACTCAGCAGTTCGGCTTCCACAATAATACAAATGATCCTCCTTATCTATTTCATCAATATAAAATTAGCAATACGGACATTCAAAAGGTTTAAACTAACAAATAGATTCATGTTCACTCAACAATTGATTGGCTAATTATAACATCTTAATTCTTACATATCAAACTCTCCCCACAATATTTACAAATGAATTCTAGATGTCCTAAAATTGCAATTTGGCACTTTTTAGTATGCTCAATCTTCACTTTATTGAATATCATCTACTCGCAGTACTTACATTTATACTATAATTGACCACATTTTTTTTTGTGTTCTTCCAACTAACTGAACAAGAACTATTTCTAGCAATATTCACAATTATGTGGTTATTAAGCACAAGTGTGATTATTAAAATCCTCTAAATGTCACACTAATGGATTACTTATATATTTATGACAATATTTGCAAGTATTAGGCAAGTGAACATTTTGAATGTGCTCCTCTTCCTCAGTTACATCAAATTACTATCCACAGGTCTCACATTACTTAGTATTCCTTTCACAATAGAGTGAATGCATCGTTGCATTTGCCTAAGAAATCTGTTTCTAGCATTTATTACAAATTATGAATTAATCATTCATTATTTTCAATATAAATTATCAATTAACACTTATTTTTAATCAATAATTAATGTTCTACATAATGGACATTCATTGTTTGTTTACTTTATTTTTTATATGCATTCTTAACAGCATATCAAATGAAAACAAGGTAAGATCAAAACATTCCTAACACTCGACATGCAAGCTATGCACAGATCAGAATCTTATACAAATTCATCCTCTCTCTTTTCAAATAATTATATTGGCTGTCTAGGTTGAGCCTAGATGTATTTTTTCATTCTTTAATAAGAATTATACATTAGAAATGCTGCCATTATTGCTAGAATCATCTCCTTTATAAAATAACCGTTTATATTTCTATTTTAATATGCTTATATTAATTACTTTAGTACTTCCTTGTAGATTAAACTTGGAGTTAAAGCAACTTGATCAATTTCGAGTATCAATTCAGAGTCTTATCTCTTTAATTCTCCTTTAAATATAAAATATTAATTTAAATTGATCCCTTCCATATCCTCAACGATGGTCTTTCCAAAAAAGTAATTTACTATTCTTTTATACAATTTTACAATAAAATTGCAATCGGAGGGGACATATGTCTAATAAATATATTGTTTATGAAAATTGAAGAGATCTTGCTCGAAAAGGCAACCATTTTTTATTTTACATATTATTTCTGCTTTAGTATAAGGCTAATAGAAAATACATTTAAATTTACATCAACAATCCTAAAGGACTTGCTATTTTGTTAACTCTATTCATAGTTATTACGCTTTTGCATATAATTAGAAGACTTTAGCAGTAAGAATTTATTTTCACTATTGATCTAGCCTTAGACTGTAATTTATTTAGAATCAATTTAAAGTTATCGACATTCATCTGCAGTATATAGGTATNCATCTTAATTCTTACATATCAAACTCTCCCCACAATATTTACAAATGAATTCTAGATGTCCTAAAATTGCAATTTGGCACTTTTTAGTATGCTCAATCTTCACTTTATTGAATATCATCTACTCGCAGTACTTACATTTATACTATAATTGACCACATTTTTTTTTGTGTTCTTCCAACTAACTGAACAAGAACTATTTCTAGCAATATTCACAATTATGTGGTTATTAAGCACAAGTGTGATTATTAAAATCCTCTAAATGTCACACTAATGGATTACTTATATATTTATGACAATATTTGCAAGTATTAGGCAAGTGAACATTTTGAATGTGCTCCTCTTCCTCAGTTACATCAAATTACTATCCACAGGTCTCACATTACTTAGTATTCCTTTCACAATAGAGTGAATGCATCGTTGCATTTGCCTAAGAAATCTGTTTCTAGCATTTATTACAAATTATGAATTAATCATTCATTATTTTCAATATAAATTATCAATTAACACTTATTTTTAATCAATAATTAATGTTCTACATAATGGACATTCATTGTTTGTTTACTTTATTTTTTATATGCATTCTTAACAGCATATCAAATGAAAACAAGGTAAGATCAAAACATTCCTAACACTCGACATGCAAGCTATGCACAGATCAGAATCTTATACAAATTCATCCTCTCTCTTTTCAAATAATTATATTGGCTGTCTAGGTTGAGCCTAGATGTATTTTTTCATTCTTTAATAAGAATTATACATTAGAAATGCTGCCATTATTGCTAGAATCATCTCCTTTATAAAATAACCGTTTATATTTCTATTTTAATATGCTTATATTAATTACTTTAGTACTTCCTTGTAGATTAAACTTGGAGTTAAAGCAACTTGATCAATTTCGAGTATCAATTCAGAGTCTTATCTCTTTAATTCTCCTTTAAATATAAAATATTAATTTAAATTGATCCCTTCCATATCCTCAACGATGGTCTTTCCAAAAAAGTAATTTACTATTCTTTTATACAATTTTACAATAAAATTGCAATCGGAGGGGACATATGTCTAATAAATATATTGTTTATGAAAATTGAAGAGATCTTGCTCGAAAAGGCAACCATTTTTTATTTTACATATTATTTCTGCTTTAGTATAAGGCTAATAGAAAATACATTTAAATTTACATCAACAATCCTAAAGGACTTGCTATTTTGTTAACTCTATTCATAGTTATTACGCTTTTGCATATAATTAGAAGACTTTAGCAGTAAGAATTTATTTTCACTATTGATCTAGCCTTAGACTGTAATTTATTTAGAATCAATTTAAAGTTATCGACATTCATCTGCAGTATATAGGTATCTGAATCGCTTATACTTTTTTCTTTCTGATTTTCTTTGACAATCAGATCTATATAACAAATAACATGCTATGATTGTCAAACCTAATACAGAAAGATCTTATCTTTTAATTGCATTTTCTGGTTGCCCAAATAAATTTCTTAATCTTAAAAATTCCATTTAATAATAATATTAATTCATTTCTCGATTCTACCTTTACTATAATAAGTTCATATGAAAGTGTCTTCATCTTGGTATTTGTAAAATTGAATGAATCTTTGTTGCAATACTAGATTGAATTATAAATATTTCAATTTTAAAGGTTTTCCTTAATTAATTATTGAGCTTTAAATTGGATGTTTACCAAGAAATCCTATCTCTAAATATTCTAAACATAAATAGTAATTGCATTTGTTAAATTCTCAAAATACTCAAATTTATATTATATCATTAAAGCATAAAGAATGGGTGAGAAGATTTTGTTTAGAACATACTAAGATAAATCCTTCATAAAGTGCTTTTATTTAGTGAAACTCATTTATTTAACATAGGAAATATATGAATATAATTGAAATTCTATTTAAATTAAATAAAATTTACTTTAAATTAATGATTAAAAAATATTCATCTTCACAAAGAGAATGAGTAATTCAAAATTTGATATTTAAATATTAAATATAATTAATATACACAAGCATACATCATCAAATAAGTTTGTTTACTTGTTGAGGAATCCTGACAGGATTGATTACGACACCTGCCTTAGTAACAATTTATGGCTAGGTTAATGCTGAATGGCTGGTTAAACTATTCCATTCAGGACCCAGGGGCAGAGTGTGTAGTTAATCAAATTGCTATGAATTGGCAAATTCACTGGGCAATTTCGGAACTAAATACTTTGCAAACTAAAACATTCTCATAATGATATATACCTTAGCATCTCTTTTTTCGCTAATAATCACATTATCTAATTTAGCATCTTGTCTCTTCTTTTAGACTTCTCTAATTTTCTTAATTTTATTCTACAAAATTTACTCCTGAGTTAATGGCTTTTTCTCTTTGATACCAAAACCAGCCCAAGATCCCCAACCTTTGGTATTTGCTGGTTCAGGAGGTAATTCTTCTTCCATATCCTTTATCTTCTCATCTATGAATGCATTTTCATTCTAAGGATATTAAATTTGATACTTCATCTTCATCCAGAACTAAATTGAAATTGGCTAAATTTTATTATAACAATTCATCTGGATCTGATTGCAATTTCTTTAAGTCTTGCTTAGTCAATTTTTAATTCACTTACTTCTCATACTTCTATTTGATATTTTTTATATTTAATCCTTCAATCAATTACTTCTTTTCTTCTTAACTAGTTAATTACTTTTCTATTTTATTTTATTATTATTGCTTTTCAGGTTCTTAATTTAAATAATTAGACAAAGAAGTCTTGGCATCAATCTTCTTTTTCTAAGTTTCAGTAAGCTATTTAGTTTCATTAACGAAATTTGCTCTGCCATTAAACTCATTATTTTCAACATTGGTTTTTTATTTATCCTTATCACCATTTTCATTTGGTTCATAATTGTCATCACTATTCTATTCTTGATTCTCTGACTCATCTAATTAGATAGCATCATCATTCCCAGATTTGAGCATTGTCAATAACTTCTAAGCTATTGACTTGGATTATTGCAGGTCTTATTTCTTTTATTTGTCTAAAAACCCAAAATTATTTTATTTTTCCTTCTCTCTCCTTTCAATATCTAATAATTCTTATTCCAATTATGATATTGCTTATTCTCTAAAGTTCTCTTCGTCAAATTCGCCATCCTCCAATTCATTAAGTTGAGCCTTGGCCAATAATTAATGTTTAAGATTATTGAGGAATGACTATTGTTGTTTCAGAGATTTCTTGTCTCCTCCAAATCTTAGAAGCTAAGAGACATACTTATTTTTAGTAGAGTGTCTAAGTGTAATTCTTTCCTTTGCTCTTGATAGCCTTAGTTTTTCAATCTCTTTCCTTCTTTCAGCAGGTGTTAGCTAAGCCATTAATTTGAGCTTCTCCTTATTGCCCTTCTTTTTCTTAATTTATTTGTAGATTTTAGATTTAATTGATGAAATCTTCTTCATTTTTAGATCATTGTAGAATTGCAAATTGCTCTTTTATTGATTTGATTATCCATTCAATTCTTGTTTTTATTCAACCTTCTCGACTTCCTCCATAGCATTCTGTAGTTTGACACCTAAATGATTATTTAATAAAGCATTGGAAGTATCAGAACTAAATACATTATTATTTTGATTTACATCTTAGAGATCTAGACATTCCTCTATTTAGTAAAGTCTATCCTCTCAGACTCTCTATTTTTCTTCACAATGGGTAACCATTTTTTGATATCTTACTTCATCACAGTTGCAGCCACCTTACGTTCTTGCAAGTCTCTTTCAGCTTGAGTTTCTGGTTCTTATACAATCCTCTAAGTTTAATTGAGTAGACTTACTGCTTTCTCATGCACTCTTAAGTATTGAGTTTTAACACTATCTATCTACTACCCTTGGTCTTCAAGTGTTTGAATCAGATTGGCAACATTAAAATCATCTTCAGGAGTCTCTTGCAATTTGACTTATTGATAGGCATCCTACTTTTCTACTTTTTTGGCCAATTACTTCTCAAGTCTTTATTCTTTATTCAATTTACCCATATTTAAATTAGTAATAAAATAAATATATAAAACATTAATCATTACACGAATTGCCAAGGAGTAAAGCCATCATGATTTCTCAAGTTTTGTGCTCCCTAAGAAATCAAGATGTCAGCAATATTGAAGTAACTGTAAGCAATAGCTTTGTGCAAAGCTGTATCACCATAATTCTTAAGTTATAAGCAGAATACAATTACATTTTATAAATTTACAGCAGCTCCTTTATGTAAAATTAATTCAACTATGTCGACATTGCCAGTTTGAGCTGCAACTATTAAAAACGTATCTCCATCTTTCAGTTTCTCATTGATAGGCAAATTCGGATTGTTGACAAAGACCTCTTCCAACTATACAATTATATAAGCAACTTAATACTTCAGATAACTTTTGTTCCACTATCAACAACTTAACCATTTCCATAACAGGAATAGATTACCTTCTACGAGCCTCCGTAATTTGAGTTCTCATTTGTAAGGAGTGTTTACTCATGGAAGATATCATAACAGCATTTCTCCTCTCTTGACTCTTCGTGGCACTGGGTTTAATCGGGTCCTCTTTTTGTGAGATAGGAGCCGTCGTATTTTGAATGGTTTGAGTAGTGGCCTTCATTTTATTAGATTGAGTAGTGTTGGTATTGCTATTTTCTTTGATGCTGTTTTCTTCTTGGGGAGAATCGCTTCTCCTTCTTAAAACACTTATCTAACTGGAAGTAGCCTCTAATAATTGTTTGACAGGCTTGTTTGGCTGAATAACAGTTTGATGTCGCGGAGAGGATATAATTTTAGAATTATGCTTTTGATTTGATCTCTCACTAGATGGAGATTGATCTTGATTAGATTTCTTTTTCTGAATTGGTTTAGCTGCCTTGATGAACATCTTAGCAATGTCAATCTTTATAGTAGATTGTCTTGGTTAGCGTTGGTCTTCAGACTCCACTTCAATTAAACCATAATCGGTAGTCAGATTGTCAATTTCATGTTGATCTTCAAATTCTCCTGTCAAAATATCATTAAACTAATGAAACATCAATTTAACAACTCGACTTTAATCTTTTTTTTTAAGAAATCTCATCAAAGAATTAATATTTCTCATTACTTAACCATCAAGTGGAGGTTTAATCTAATCCTAACCCATAATAGTATCATCAAGGAAATCGGGGTCATGCAACATCATATTTCTATCCACACAATCTAAACTGTTTATGATAAATTGAATATGATTGCCTAGATTAGTAATTTTAATTTAGGACGTGCATTCCAGCATTTCTGTAATCTGATTATCACTGATGAAACTTTGACTCTGTTGCTCTGAATTATCAAATGAGTAATCACATTAATAGATTTATGTTAATAGAAAACGAGTAGGATCGATTTCGATTTAGAATGTCGGATTTGATAAGGATTCATGATTGCTATTGGCATGATTAGTGCACCAGGAATAAACTCGACTTGATTGTTGACTTTCATATGGTTTTGAAAAGGAAATGGAACCTCTCTTCTCTTATATCAATTGCAAATGCAATAGGATGTTCTCCTCCAATTTTGTGAATGTGCGAGACATCTTATTTTGCAAGTACATCTTCATGAACCTTCTAGTCTTACTTCATAAAATAATTACTTTTTATATGTTGTAAAATTAATGGGCATCTTCTTGTTAATTCTCCTCTTCAGTAATTCCAACAATCTTGAGAATAGATTTTGAAAACTTGGTTGTCATTTTCTTGGGTTACGAGGTGATCTACAATAAATTTGTATTTACTTACAAATTGTAATGCTTGTTTCAATACATGTTTTGGTTTGTCAGTGTATTCTTAGATTTCCTCTTGTTCTTGCAATCGTTATCCATAATCTGGGATACTGAAGGAGAATACTCCTACTTAGTTTTCTGGACTACAGACTGATATAGTTAGTTTCCGACGATTATTTTATGGTAATGGTTGAATTTCAGCCTTTTTCTCTTCTATAGCCTCCAAGACTTGAGATACTAAGGTTCCTGCCTTCTGCAACTAGGTGGGCTAATTCTGAAACTATATTGTGGAAAGATGGTTAGTAAATGTAAATCTAGGACTAGTCATCTGAGTCTTGAATTTATCTGACAGAAAACTATTCTCGTTCGTATGGAAGTCATTGTGCTGGATATGACTAGTAGTAATAATTTATCTGATCTTTTTCAGAAACATTTGGATGTTCAGATTGTCATCCATTTAACTATAAGAGTTTTCCAAATTAGGATTACCTATAAAGATTTTCCTCCTCTTATCTTTTTTGAACTCCAGAGGACCATCCAAAGTAAAATTTTTATCATCCTCCTTCTTGGACTTCTCTTCTGTAATGATATTTTTAAATTCAGCAGATGCAACTAATTTGAAAATTGATTGCTATTGTTTTATCTCGCTCTCGGGAACACTCTCTTATGTTTTTAATTAAGTTGCCTTTATCACCTTTCTGGCTACAACTCTTCCAGTAAGAGGAGCTGGTACCTAAATCTGAGGAACTTAAGGAAGAGACAGAGGGGGAACGATACTCTTGATAAAAGATCTTTGGGTCATTCGACTGATAAAGAATGTCTTGGTATTGGAGACCTCCTGAACTGTGTGTAAAGATTTTGCCTTATTATGACTTTTAGTTCTCATTATAAATATAATTAATTGCAAATGAATACTTGTGTGTTTAAGTAAATTATTTATTTAAATATATTTAATTCATTTAAGGAATGAATAATAAATGGCTGCCAATATAGCAAATACGGCTAAGAGTAGTATGGTTAAGTTAATAAAGCAATTGCAATCCGCTAATTGTTCCTCACTTTATTCATTCGCTACAAACAATTATAATCTTATCTTACTTGAATTATTAATGACATTGTTGCACTAATTAAAAGTCTGATTGTAAGTGATGTTATTGTTAATAGTCACTGGCATCGAACCACTAGTTGGTGTGCTAATCAACGGCTATACCTTCTTATTGAACTTATTCTTGTTATGCTATCATAAATCCTAAAGTCGGTACCTTCTAAGGAATGGTCTTCCTCTTGAATTACAATTTGGCCAACTCCTGTCTAGCCAATTCCTATTCTTGCATCTAAGTAGCCTTATCAGTATAACTCCATTAATTTTGCTTCAACCATTGTCTGATGTCCTCCAAATTCTACTCCTGAATTCTCTTAAATTCATTTTGCACTTGCGGATCCAATAAGTTTATGCCATACTTCTAAGCAAACTCATACAATTTCTAATGCTCACTATTAAACTCTTACTTTCTTAGGCCTGTTGAAATCCAATTAGGATATCTTTTCCAATTGCTTCTTCGCTGCTATTGCTTTCTTCAACTTCTCTCTTAAGTCCTCTGCCTCCTTCAACTATCCATTCTACTGATATATCTTCACCATCTCCATCCCTCTCGTCTCTATGAATCTTCCTAACTCTGATACTTCTATTGGAATGGGCTTCTTGTTATCCAATTCGTAACTCAATTCCTGATCGTAATCCTGATAAGCCAAATGAGCCATGAAATCCTATTGAGCATCCTCGTCTTCTTCTTGCTTCCTGTACTAATGGATCAACTCCAGCTGTTTTCTTTACAAATCTGTGTAATTCTTATATTCCAACTCTTTATAGGCTAATAATTATGCCTTCACCTTCTCATAAAACTTTGCCACTGCTGCATTGTGAGGATCAAGTTGCTGTGCAAATTTCAGGTCCTTAAATGCCATTTGGCAATCTATTTGGGTGATATTGTCAGACAAAAAACGGGACTATTTCTATTATTGTTTCATACCTTTGCACGCAAAATCATAGCATTTATGCATTGGGGACTCATTTACAACCAATAATCACACATCCGTGTACATGCACCTTGTTCATGTTGCCTGTAATAGCATTCTGCCATTTTTTCAAACAATTTGAGACGAAGCCCTTAATTCTATAAATTAAGTTTAGTACTGTCTATTTGAGATTGCTCAGGGTATTTTTATTGGGTTAGTTCCTCATAGGTCGTATCCTCCCATTTCTTCGGGATTCTAGCATCAGCAAAAACGGACATACAAATCTCAAATTAATCTATTGCATTTCCAAATTGTTCTAATTTATTATTGTTCACTTTCCTTTACCTAATTCAAAGAATTTGAGACCACGTTCAAGCAACAATTCGCAGATTTTCATTTTTTACAAGAAAGATTAACGTTTTTATTGCTTAAATGCTAAACGAAGCATTTCTTATTTGATAATATAAAAATATATATTAATTAATTAAAATCTAAATACTCATGACAGAGTTTGGTGCCGTTATCTTCAAACAAAAATATCTAATCAAAATTAATCCCATTTCCAAGTGATATCTAATCCCTCAAATTGCATAATTTCTACTAACCACAACTATGAAAAATGTTTTAAATTTCTGTAGGCATTCTGTCCTTAAATAAAAATGAGTATGCCTAGATTTTTAAAGATCTAAGCAAAAGCCTGCAAAGATACTAATTAATTTTTACATGACATGAATTTATTAAAAGATTATTTTAGAATTCTTAAATATCTAGATGAAAGTAAGACTTCTCATTTTTATTTAACACATTTCACTTTGTATATTAAATAAACAAATAGTTTAATTAAAATTGTTTCCTGAGTAAAATTATAAATATTAGATTATTTTAAAAGAATGTCAAAAATCAAAATTGTAAATTGATATATCTGGGGTTGAATCTGAATATGTATGTAGAGGATAAATATAGAATAATAGGCAGCAATTTTGATTAAGTATTTATAATCAGTAAGAAATAAATTTTAATTATTCATTATTCAAAAAATATGCTTAGGATTAACTTTGCTTGTTTCTTATATTTTGAGGCATTTATATCTTTTGAGTTAATTTGGACTAGTCTCCATACCAAAAATAGCTTGCTTTGGATCCCAATTATGTTGCATTATGTCGGGATTATTCTTAAGTTGGCACTGATTAAATATTCAGATTACAAAGTGCTATGGATTACAGGAGTAGGGAATGATGGGGTGATCATGGGATTACTGAATGGAGGGAATCAGGATCTAACATATTTATATGCATATTAGTTTGAAATTTATAGGTGCTCATATTGATATAATTTGAACTCTTACATGACACAAAAATGTTTTATAATTAAAGTAAACTGGTTTTGTATTGCGGAATGGTTTCTTAAATTGTTCAAAATTACATGGAAGTGTGGAGATTGATGTTAACACTAGGGGAATGTTTTATGTTGCTGACCTTTTTGTACTATATCAATCGAAAAACAAAGAATGGCAAATCAGACTAATGTGTGTAATAGGAGATGACTCTGAGTGCCAAATTACAAATTCTTAAATTAATGTATGAGTGATCAGTAAACGAGGCCCTGGATGACAGATTAAAAATTCATAGTACTGAACGATCATTTTAAATGTGTCCACAATCAGTCGGATCTCCATATGTTAATGGAATGCGATAAGGAAGAAGCCATAGAAGCATTCTTAGATATACGATGCGATGCTTTTTCTTTAAATCTAATTAAATTATTATCAGAAAATAATACAACCCCAATTTCATCCCCATTATAATTACCCTTGATTAAAACTGACATCAGAACCATTCTATCATCCATACTTTCCGATATCAACTCATATTACTCTTATTTCAGCGTTTCTGAATTGGATAATAAAAATCTAGGCAATGTAAAGTTGAACTTTTTTGTGCTGTGTGACAACTTTATTGATTACTTGATAGTTCAATTTGAACCTCAAATGAAATCAATAGCATGTTTATTTATTCTGTCCCCGAGAATCTTAAGCAAAACTATACCAATATTCACTATAATAACTCAAACCATTCGAAACAAACTTATGAATCTTTGTCAAGTGAAATCTTGGGAAACATATTTCAATCTATCTCTCACGAGTTTGGAACCTTTCTCAATTGTATTTTAACTGACTCCTCAGAAGCGATGGATAGTGAATTAATTAATGAATAAGTCAAAGCTACCTACATAGAACCAACTTACATCAACTCTAAATTGTTGTCTTATGTACTCTAAAATGTCAGAGATTTCAACACCATTCTATTAAAACAATTTGCTTTACGACTCTAAGAATTCAGTCCTTATGAAATTATCCAAGAAATTCTATACCTACTGAATCAATAAAAAACACAAAGGAATAATCAAATTATTGTGAATTGCCCTTTGCATCTTCTTGTGTATAATGATTAAGATAGATTCAAACAAGTACTCTATTAATTGATGAGCAATTCAGTACGATTTACAGAAAATGGTATAATTACAGTGTCAATCGATTTTTATAAGGATAAAATTAAAGTGAGAGTATCGGATAATGGAATTGGCATGAATCACTTTGAATAATAGAAGCTACACAAGTTACTGAGGGACAACAAAAACTTATTGAGGATCTCCCGCAATTCAGTTGGCTGCGGATTAGGTTTGAGCATATCCAATGCCATCGTCCTGAAAATGAATGGAAAACATGGAATCCAATTCACTAGTGAATAATAAAAGGGAAGCGAATTCTTCTTTACAATATCCAATTCACAATAACTTTACAATGACAGTGTGTATGTGGCCAGTCAAACCTATGTGAAGGTCTTAAATTAAACTTATTACTTAGAACAATAGCCAATATCTGAAGGCTCCCACAAGGAATAATAGTTTCAAAGCAGTGAATACAAGGATGAAAATGGAGATACACAGAGAGTAAAAAGCTTATTCTCGAAGAAAGTGAGATGTATTTAATCAGCCGACTCCAAATCATTTTATGGATAGACTCAAAAAAAATTACAATTAGAAGAAGATGAAATTGAATCAAGATAAGAAGAGTCCAAAATTATGATCCCTTCCTTGTAGGCTAGTTTCAAATCCGAGATAGTTAAATTTAGTATTGGGAGTAACTGTTGCAGTAGGGTTCTAATTGTAGATGATGAATATTTTAATATTCAAAGTCTACAATTGATTCTACACAGATTCAATGCCCATTGTGATTTCACCTTCAATGGACAAGAAGCCATTAAAAAGAGTCTCTAAAAAATGAAAGAACCTTGTAGATAGTGTTAAAATAATGGTTATGTTTTATTCTTTCTTGATCTCAATATGCCTATAATGGATGGTTTTGATACAGTGAAAAATTTGAAGAAAATGATGCATGATAATCTAATTCCAAAAGGAATCTGCATAGCTAATACTGGTTACGCAGATTTGGAGAGCAAATAGCAAGCAATAAACTCTGGAATGGACTTTTACATGATCAAACCTATACAAATTAAAGAGTTGTAGACCTACTTAAAGAGAAAATTTCCTTAATGATATATATATATAATTTGTAATTAATGTAATACTGTAAAAAGAAGATATCATTTTCAATATTGATTTTATAATAATAAAATACCTAAAAACAAAATTGCAGAATCATTCATCATAGTTTGAATTCGCTAAATATGGAACCTGTTGATTCTACAGCAAATTAATTAAGGCTTTCAATAGAACAGGTTCTGAATCAATATTTAGATGCATGATTGGTCTAGGATTGTCTGCATGCCAAATATGAAATGCATAACTATTATATTCCAAGATCTTGAATTTAAACCTATTTAATTTGCATTCCGACAAACTCTTGGTCCATTTCATTTTGTTTTCTATTTCAAAAACTTGAACTTATTATTTTAATTGGACCAATCAATCTTACTCATCACTCTCAACATTCTTAAATTAGACTCTCCTTCATTATTTTATAAATAATTTTGAAGGATTATTAAGTCTATAATCCTATGGTCTAGGGTTCCAATATGAATGAGTGGGAAATACAGTGATCTAAATTGATTATTAAATTTATATGTCATTTTTTGAATAGCAAGGCTAAGAGCTATAAATTAGGAAGGCTGATTTGGATGACTATGACGAAATTGTGTAATTGATGTAGGAGGAAGGCGAGGAGGATTTGCAGCAGTTGTATGCATACCCAAAAATTCTCACTCTATTTGAACGCTCTTATCTCTCGGTGACAGTGCTTGACTCTTAAAATAACATCATAGGAAATGCAGTATTTGATGATTGTCCTTAAGGTGTTACAGGATAAGTCGACTTCAAACATGAGAATTTGTGGGAATAATGGATTCATGATGGATGGGACATTGGCTTTCATGTAAGTTCATTCAACTGTCTTTGGATGACTTTCTTTTTTCTTGGTACACCTTCTATATCTAGATCTAGCTAAGAAGCGATTCCAATTGACTGAAGATCAACAGTTACAGATAACCAAACAAATCTTTCAAAAAGTCTATGATTACTTGAATGTTGTCAATGGGATCTTCTTTTTGAGAAGGAGTGAAGCAATAGATGCCACTCAATAAGAATTGGATATTGCATTAGAGAATTTATTTGAAATATTGCCAAAGAGACAAGATTTCAAATTGAAAGTATGCTTAGAGTCTAAAAATAATAGTTCATGTAAGGAGTGAATCAGAATTGTGAGATCTTCTATTCGGCATCTTCTATGGTAACTGAATTACTGGAAATTCGTATGGCACGTGAAGAGGATCACGATGATTTGGCTGCCATCTTTAATCGCCAATCAGATGTACACACTGAGGAGTTCGGTGAATTTTTTATTGCTGATTTAATTGCAACTCAGAATCAAACCAGAAGATAAGCTAGGAATTATAGAAGTGATGGAAAGGCCATTGTAGGATAAGTTGGAGATAAGGCAGTTGGATTGATGAGTATTTCAAGTGATATCGAGTAAGAATTTTTTGATCTAAATTAGTTATCGTCTACTAGGATAGTGTTTCGATTTGGAAGTGTTTGATAATCTCTATAAATCAGAATACATGGAAGCTATAAGAAATAGGTTGGATTAATTGGCACTTGAAGAGTAAATCAACAAGTAGATCACTAATTATAAGAAGCACATCGAATTAACCAAAGAGGCTATGAAATGTCATATGATTGGACAAAGACTCTATTTACAATAGTACTGTTTTGATAGAGATCAAGAGATTAAACAAAAGATTGATGATTATGGGTAAGAAGACTTAGCCAAAACACTTACATAATAGGTTGTGACTAATATGATCAATGGGTGGTTGAAAGATTATCAAGTATTCAAACCCAGTGATCTCTTCTTGGAGTATCCTGATTCATTCAAGGATTTAGAATGCATCACCATTAAACCTATCCAAGTGTTACTAGAAGCACTTGAATTCTTTGGATTACCCAAAGGATACATGAATGGAGAAGGCCATTGGAAAGATTGGGCCAAGAAGAAGGAGGAAGAGTAAAAGGCTCTCTCTCTCAAAAGGCCAAAAAGATAACAGAAGAAAACTAATAAGAAAGCTAAGAAGGAGGACAAGGATGAAGACATCTTCAAACCACCTCCTTATTTTGATTTAGGACCATTCTTATAAGCTTTTACTAAATTCACGTCAGTCTCTGCTGAAACTAGAACGCAATTCAGAAAATAAATAGAATCAAGAGTCAAAGAGTTAATCATGGAATTCTGTACTGAAAATGGAGAAATGGATCCAAGTCGTCACATAGATTTGATTGAATTTCCAGATGTACTAAGAAATAAAGGGTTTGACATTGGAGCACCTATGGGAGAGAATCTGGCATTCATACTAGAATGTTTTGGTGAATTAGAAGTGGACAATAGGATTGTGTAAAAGATAAAGGAAGAAAAGGATGCCAAAAAGAAGGATGCCAATCTTAAGAAAGTTGGTGATGATGCACCTAAACCTGTTGACGTTTTGTAGAAAATGACTTCTTATAGTGAATTTATTGGGGCCATTTAAAAACTGAAAAACTATGATTAAATGATGTGCAGATTGTAATTAGTTCGATCAAATACATTACAGAATGAAGTAGAAGACATTATTCAAGAGGAACAAAATAAGATTAAAAATCTTGAGAGAGCCAAAAATGTTGAAAGGAATTAAACTTAATTTGATGAACATGTTTCTTAGATTCAATCTATTGATTAACTCCCAGAAGTCCCTAAAGCAGCTCAAAATGCTGTTGTTATCAATCTATTTTGCATAGATGAACGATTTGAATCTAGATCACTTGATTTTGTAGAAAGAGCCTTTGAACTCTTCCCTGATCGAGAGTATCTCATCCTTACATAACCATACACAGTCTAAGAGACAACTCTGTTATCACACTTTCTATAGGTATCAAGGAAGAAGCACTCCACCTTTGAGCATGTTTTGTATATATTCCATAGAAATAGTTTAGATTCTCATTTGATTGAATTAAGAAAGTTCAATTAAAGTGAATGGAATTAATGTCAGTTTTTAGTAGAAAATCTATTGGGAAAAGAGAACATTGAAAAGGATGTCAGAAATGTAAATGATAATGAAACATTTATTGTCTATTGCAAAGATGAAATTATTGGATTGTACTGCATGAAGAAGTATGTCAATCTCCAGTACTTGAAATCTCATTTCTGTATTCAAGATCACGTGCTGATAAAGGAGCATCCTAAACATTTGCATACTCGATTATTGCATGGAATCTTGAATCCATTATTTGCTAAACAAACTAGATTTATTTTAAGGGAAATATGCAGATTGATGGATAAAACATGTATAATGTTGGAGATTCATGATCGTACTCTTTTGCCAGATATATTCCATGAATTCAATTTTGTGAGAAGTCGTGCATTTCCTCACTTCTTGAAATAGAAATGGGATTGGACTCTTGATGATGATTAAAGAGAACGTATGGGCACAATTCTAGATGATCGAGACCCATACGATTAAACTCAATCCCCCTTTTCATTAGCTATGCTTACCAAAAAATAACTATCCAATGTCAAAATCTCCAATAATTCTCGTATTGTAGTAGTAGGGGCATCTGATACTGGCTTGTCTTTTATTGAATCATTACTTACAATAAAGGATATTCACTTTACTAATATCATCTTATTGGCTCCTGGAGGGTTGATTACCATGCATGTTAAACATGAATTTGAAATGTTAAAAGCTATGAGTACAAATTATACATTGGAAGAATTAAGAGCTTTGATGATAGATGCTAGAGTGTAGGTAGTTGATGCTAAAATGGTAAAGTTGGATAAAAAGGGGAATCGAATTAAAATTGATAAGAATGCATTCATTCCTTTTGATTATCTCATAATCACTGTTGGTTTGATTGATACTGAATTGTAATCAAGAGAAAAGATCAGTTTTGGTCTATCCAAATCTCCGTATTACAAAAATTCATAATTTATAAATGGAGTCTACAGCATAGATGATCCATACCTATACTCCCATTTCAAAAGAACTGGATTCAAAGGAAGCAACATAGATTTGTTAACAAGAAAGAAAAAACCACAAAATATAACAATTTATGGCAACACCTTGACTACCATTACATTTATGAATGGGTTACTCAATAGAGGTGTTCATCCATCTCGTATTAATTATGTTATGCCTCCCAAAACATTTTAGAAATAAACCAGGTTTGAGAACAATAAATAACGACTTGAATAGGAGGACAAAATGATCTTTGACCCAGATTAATTTGAAAATGAGGAAGTCAAAAATAAAGTATTCGACATAATGTTAAAATTGGGCATAAAAATACATCAAGGATTCACTTTATATGAATTAAAAGTAGGGAAGGAAGGATTTGGATTAAATAGCGAAGATGTATTATAGGAAGTCATCTTTAGGAAATAAGCAGACAATTATGAGGAATTGAAAATTGAGATTCAGAGGAAGGAACAAGAACTTTAAGAGTTGAAGGACAACTCTGAAAACAATATGAGCAAAGACATGTATGGAGAATAGGAGGAAGGAGAAAATTAGTTAGAAGTACTAGCTAGAGAAATTGAATAACTCAAGGCAAGTGAATATGACTATCTATAATTGGATTCAAGATTCTTCATCACAAGTGGATTGATTGACATTGACAAGGAAATCTTTCATATCATCCATGAAAATGGGTTAGTATATAATGGTAGATTGATTGTAAAGAGTAATTTTCAAACTACTTAAGAAAATATATTTGCTTGTGGTAAGATTTGTGAATTCTCATAAAGATACAAGCATCACTCAGTTGGAAAGAGTCTTCGATTAGATAAATATAATGGAAGAGAATTGGGTTAGAAACTAAGTAAATGCATTTTGGAATAGCTGAATCTAAGTTATCTGACATCCCAGACCTACTCTGTAGATGAACTACCCTAATTATATATGCCCATTGGGCAGGGAGGCATAGTACCTCATAAACTCTATTATTATCATATTAAAAAGAATGACTTCTCTAAACCTAGACAACTTTAATAGCTCCCATCCAAACCCATACTGTCTGATAACTTCAGTAATGGAAGTGGACATTTCTTATAATTTGATATTGATCCAAATGGATTGATTGAGAGTGTCACTTATTTTGGTTCTGAAGCTGTTCATATCCCTAGTTTATTGTAATTTGTAGAGTTATCAGTTAAATATTTGAATAAATTGGAATAGAGAGGCAAATTAATAAATAATGTATCTGAATTTCTATCTGAAAATTGGGCTATAGCATTATACCATGAATGGTTTAGTGAATTCAGACACATCACGAAAAGTGAGATGCTGAAAAACGAATTGATCGATTAGGTATTGGAGAAGGCATAAGAATATGCCAGAGATGGCCGATACATGGATGAGAACTTCTTTGAAGAGATAAAGAAGTTAATTACTAGAGACATTGTAGAGAACATTCAAGTAAACATTATTATGATTTTGATTAGGAAGGTACTATTGAGTTCATTAGAGAAAATCAAAATCATTTGCCTATGTATTTTATCCCCAAAAAGAAACTTAATTGAAATATTTTAGATTAGTATTTGTTGTAAAATGATATCAATAATATTTAACAAATACACATTCATGATTATTGTTGTCTCTCCTCTTTGGGAAGATTAGCATGATAGATTTTTTCCCAACTAATGATGGTGTTATCAAGATTGGTTATACTTTGCTAGAGGTATCCATCCTAAGATAATGTGATAATGAAATACAAAGAAGGTATTCAAAGTGAACCATAAGGGTCTGACGATTACTTTAAAGAATCCCATTTCAGACTTAGCCATAACATGCAATTTGTCAAGGTCTTTCAAGAATGGTGTTTATGGAATTCCCAATCTACCCTCTTCATCGTATTAAGCACTAAATTCTTTATTAACTCTTTCTGACCAAATTCTGGATATCTCAAAGACCTTGGCTCCTCCATTAAAATCTGCAGTGTGTATAATCATCCCTGTTAATAATTTGAGATCGTCATCTCCAGTACCAAATGGTTTAGTTACTTCATCCTTGATTCTGCTTTCAAAGTCTTTTAACAATGTGAAGTGGACCTTTATATCCGTATATAAAATGTTATCTATGAGAACTCTTCTGAATTATTGAGTTTGTTCTTTTGATAAGGACTTCAGAAAATTGAGTGAAGGATCCTTTAACATAAAAATAGTACTTGCAGCATGATGCTATTCCAGAGGCTTGAATAATACAATAATTAAATTACACTAGAATCATGATAGCGAGTGGCTAATTTGGATTGGCTATTGATCATGAAAATGTTGGTTCTGCCAGTGTGTGATACATCATGACACAAACCTGATATAATGGTGGACATTCTCCTGAAATCATCAATTAATAGCTTGGCTTTTCCACATTACAACATGAAGTGAGCACTTTACATCACAGCTATTCCATGATCGTAATTATGGAAGGAATTGTTTCGTTTGTTGTACTTTTTCTACAATACACTCAAGAACTGAGCTAAACATTGCTTATTTAAATTGTATTAGGATATGAAACCATTCCTTTCTAAAATACTATAAACTATTCGATGTTTTTCTTGTGATGAATCCAACACCAAGATGTTAAATTCAAATAAATCCAATTAAGAATCACTATTATTCACTTTAAATAGATTGGCATCCACAGCTTCTAATTATTGTTAGTATTTAATGTAAACACTAGATCCTATTTTCTTTTTCTTCTATGGAGGTGCAACCCATTAATCATTCTACAAATCTTTGCTATGTTACTCTGGACTTCGACCATCTGTTTTACGATGTCTAATCTAAGATAATTCATTTTCTGGAATGAAAAGTGCAATCATTGAATTGGCTACGTCTTGAGTTTCATCTAATTAATTTAAAAACTTAAAGGTCTAATGTTTGTTGTATTGAATCAATATTTGTTTCTAAATATCCTCCTCCAAGGACTTATTGGCTTCAGCCTCTTTTTATACATCATTTGTCATGTTGTCAATTTTCAATGCCATAAAATACTATTTCAATCTTCTTGCTTCATTCTCATGGAAAATAACAGTGAATCCCTTAAAATCATTGTCAACGACCTTCAAGAAAATTTCAAATTAAGGATTCTCCAAATTGCTTAAATACTGATTTCTTCTATTTTCGTGTATATTTTGAATATTCACCTCAATATTCGATATGATACTATTCTAAGCAAAGATGTCCTAGTAAGATATCTTGTTATACAAAATAGCTTTGGGATCAAAGTTGATGTTGAATCTCTCCCTATTAAAATGTTTAAGAAACTAATACTTTAATGATTTAGAAATGGGTCTACTCAAAAATATCAATTCTCCTTGCTTATTAAAATCAAACAGCAATGAATCTGTTGTACGTAAGAAATATTTGTAGAAGGCTGACTTCTCATAACACAACTTCACATAACCATCGTATTTCTCTTGGATTTGAATAATCTTTACTTTAGGTGTTTTATAAATACCACTGAATACAGGTGTTGATCCTAATCATTTTTCAAATCCATATCCTTTATCCTTAAAGTGACTGGATTCGAATCCTTAAGCTCTATTTTCACACACTAGGATTCCTTCTACCTTTTCATGTTTTCATCAGTAGAGAAAGTCTGTTCCTTCTCGACTTCAAACTTAATGCTGAGGACTTTCTTAATCCCTTCGACCAACAAAAACCTGGATATACGCATGAAACTTATTCCTATGTCTTACACCTAATCGGCAAATCTCAGAGGATTAAAGAATTGGACTTTGGCTGTTATGATGGTTTCAACCAAAAATTGTGCCAGATGCGTCACATCCTTGTTGAACCCATACATATTGGCATAACTTTTAATAGCGAATGTAGTATTTACTTGATAAACTTTCTCTTGATATTCTTTTTGTCTTTGTCAGTCCAGTGGAGACAGAAGAGAACTTCGTAATTCTTCAATTACAACTAGAACTTTACAATGGAAGTTTGTGAATAGGCATTGGTTTTGCAAGTGTCTTCAATTTAAGGGTATTGTCTTTGTTTGGGGTCGATCCTGTGAATACAGAATGGACGGATATAGGCCAGTTCATCTGTTACTTTTTGAGCTTCTTCAGGTGTTACATCTTTGATGGAATCATTGGAGGATGAATATACTTCCCATTCTTTATCCCGATGAATAAAGAAGGTGAATTCGTCCGCATCAACAAGGATTTTAAGTAAAAATTTTAAGACTTAATACAAATTCTCATAGGAAATGTCCTCTTACATGAGTAGTAAATGGGTATGCAAATTTCCAGTGAAAATACTCTTCAACTCTTTATAGATGTCGTCTATTCCCTTTACCATTTTCTCGTAGACATCCTCATCACTAGAATCCAAATCCTTCTCGCTAATTTCAGCTAATTTGCTATTTTCCGAAGAGTATCTGGCCCTAAATGGACTTATTCCATCTAAGTCAACCTACTCAGATGTGAGTTTTTAAATTAAGGTGCACAGTTATATCAGCTTCTCCTTATCCTCTGGTACAAGTAAGCTATGTTTATCAATATGTTTATGTAAAACTCCTGTCAGTTGTTCAATCATGACAGCTGCAGCACTCGCCAATGGTTAGGCTGGTGATTCCTGAGGAGGGACAATCTCAGGTTGCTTTTCCTGCTCTGCTACGTCTTTCATGAAATGAACTGTCTTTGATTTATGAGATCTCCTCCGCTAGATTTGTTTGTTTTGTGCGGCCAAGTAATCAAGCAAGGCTTCTCGCAATAACATCTCTCTAAATGGATGATATTCAACTCATACTTCCCAGGACCGCTATTTTATATCAACAATCGACATATTTTCTCATCCTTCCGAGTCAGATTACTTTTCAGTAAGGACTTCTGTTCGGGAGTGATTTGATTAGTCTTGCACAGATTAGTAACGACAATGAAGAATTAAGTGTAGTGACTCAATTATGGATCCATTTTTATATTTTATACAATCGTTTCAAAGTAATTTGCACTTGTGAATAATCAATGAAATTGAGAATACTCAACTGCCGAGAGCATACTTCATTTTAATAAAAAATCATCAGATTTACATTTTCTGTTGAAACAGTCTCTCAAACACTAGTCCTGGCCCTGAAGGATCTTGGAAGTACTACAATCTTAGATGATTTCTTTATTATTTCATGATATTTTACCTATTATATTCCCTTACATCATTACAATGCTACATTCCTTTGAGGTATTTTAACAGCAACTCCAATTCCCTATCCTCCTTGTTATCATAGAAGGGAATTATTGGTATCCCATTCTCCAATTGCCAAGCATAGGAATAAGAAGCATTGTCCACTAAAACTATTTGGCTTAGAGATCGATTGAAAATTCTCAGGTCCTTGGTGTACATCCCTCCTGTAGTCATTATACAGTTATCTCTGTAAAGACTATGAGAAAAAAGAGTCTTCTGGGGATCTAAATATTCGATCACCTTCTAGGCATAACAAGGGTGAGAAGCTGTAAAGACTATCAATTCAAAATCCTTCACTAACAGTTCCAATAATTTGACAGCTCCAGGTCTAACATTGATTCCTGCCTTAATTTTTTCTTGGGGAGACACTTGAATTGTAAATATAACATCACTCGGTATTGCTAAGTTTTCGTTGCAATGGACTAATGTCTCATCCAAATCAAACACAATTGTGATTTTATCTAAAGTATAATTTGAGATTACTTTTGTAACATTCCTTCTATTTTAGATGTACTTGCTTATTTTATAGTTCATTTGGATAAACTGGTTGTAAGTACGATGCAACTTATATCCCCTGATAAGTTTAATAAAAGTGTTCCCTGTACATTCGACTGAAGTAATCATCCACTAAGGGTCTTGAAAACGCATTCTTAACCCTCGTTAAGTAGTATTCTTGAGATTCACCTTTTGATTTTTTTGAACTCTCAAAATATCTGCTCACACTTACACTTTCCTCACCACTACACTTCGGTGTCGTCTAATGAGATTGGGTCTTAGGCTTCTGGAACAATGCTGTTTGGAGTTTCTGTAAAATCAAATCCCTGCTTTGTCCCACAGATTACTGAGGACGATGATGGGGTTTCTTCTCAGATAATGGCCTGTGAGATTAAGTGCCAGAAGGTGTCGGAATCTTAATAGGAACACTGATATCTAGAGAGGGTGAAACCTTAGTCACTAGTTGTCCTAAAATCTTGGATGACTGGGTGGTAGAGATTGTTGGATTAGGAATCTTACCTTCCTTTCTCTTAGTCATCTGAAAGTATTTCTGTATTGCAGCATTCACTTCTGAGTTGCTTAATTTCTTGGCTGACTATTCACGATTAGGTTGTATTTTTTATAGCAATTTACTATTTGAGAGATTGAAATCCATTAAATATCGCTGTTGTTTCATAATTTAAAAATTTATGATAACCTATTACCCTATTATTTCTGACTAGTTTTATTGGGTTTCTACACATTCCGATCAATATCAAATCTAATTCATTTGCTGAATCATGCGATAATCCAATTATGTAATGCGACTAATAATAATTATTATTTAGTAGGTTTTTTGTAAAACTTTTCAGAATTCCAACTGCCTAATAGATTTTCATTCATACGTTTTACTGATTTCTGAAAGAATAATCATAAATATAACTTGTTCTTTCTTCATTTAAAATTGTGATTACATTCTAATGTATAATAACAAAAAAAATATAATATGAGTAGGTGACATATGTATATACTTTTATTAATCATATGATGAGTTAATATATTATGAAAAATTATCAAATTTTTGAAATGCATTTAAGAATAAATAATATCTCATAAATCTATTTAAGTTTTATAAGGATCGCATTGCAAATTTAAATAGAATTCATATTAGTAGCACAGCAACAATCTAAAATTCATTGTATGAATTGTGGATGCTTATATAAATTATTAATGAATAATATCATTATGTTATAAATATTTATAAATATCAAGTGATGCGTCTCTTGCTTGATGTTAGATCAGAACTTTCTGTTTTCAATCCTCCTGTTTGCATAAAGTTGTTGGTCATTAAGGTAGATCCTTTCTGTGGACTTGTTCTCAGAGAAGTCTGTTGCTCCAATCTTTTTTGCAATTTCGACTATCTACTGTCTTCAGATATTATCTTATCTAATGAACGAGGTTTCTGTTATTAAATAGAATCCACATTCTTAATGTGTTCTTTCAATAATCTTTGTTAATCTACTATTCGTACATTTTCTCTATAATCAAAGTAGAATTCATCAAATATTTTAAAGTCCTTTTTGAAACCTGCTTTTCCTATCAATTTCTCTCTCACTTCCAAGTCTCCTTGCTGCAAGTTTTTAGTCTCGAAATTCAATTTCTAAATATCAGGTTTGATTGGAGGAGTCACTCTTTTCATTAGGATGTCAGTGAGATTGACTTTCTTAAACCATTTATGTTGAAGGATTTCTCTAACTCCACCACGAACTCCTAATCTTTTATTAGGTTCTTTAGCTAATAACCCAGACATTAGATCTTTAATTTCTTGACTAAGGAATTGTGGGAATGTAACTTATTCGTTGAGTATGGAATCATAGATTTTTTGAGTGTTTTTGCTATAGAAAGGAGGTAGGCCTGTAACTAGTTCATAGAGTAGGGCTCCAAGACAATAATGATCTACTTGTATTGTGTGTCCACGTTTGAGTAACATTTCAGGAGCCATGTACTCTGGAGATCCGCAAAAGCTGTAAGCGAATTCATCTGGACTTGTGATTTTAGAGAGTCCAAAATCAGAGATACGAATATGTCCATCTAAGTCGAGAAGGATGTTTTCAGGTTTGATGTCACGATACATGATTCCCATTTGATGCAAGTATAGCATGCAGATGCAGATTTCCACAAAGTAAAATTGGGCTTGCTCTTCTGACATTCTCTTCAAGGTTTTGAGTTAGTAGAAGAGTTCGCCTCCACTACAGAACTCGAGTATAAATACTATAAAGTTCCGACTTTCAAAGGAGAAAAGCATTTAGATTGTAAAAGGATGATAGATAAATGCCATGATGTCTCTTTCGTTTTGGAGCAATTCTTTGATTTATACATCGATAAAATACCTGCTTTTTTATACTTGATGATGAACTCTTTGTCCACGAGCTTCATGGCATAGAAATGACCATTTATTTTGGATCTCACCAAATAGACCTTAGAAAATCCGCCTGCCCCTATGCATTTCAAAATTTGAAAATCCTTAAGCGAAACATGCTGACCTGTTAATACGGGTTCTTGACATTCCAATTACAATTCAGGCCAAATGATGGGTCGTTCTTCAAGGGTCAGGTAGTAATCGATGAGAATGTTGTGATCAATAGTTGTAAATGCCACAATCTTCAATTTTAGCTTTTACAAGAGGGCAGCGCGCATTTAGGTTGTAGTGATGTTTCGAGTGAAAGTGAATCGGAATTACTACTGTCCAACATGTACGATCACCAATACCGCATCCAATATCTAAGAGTTCTGAAGAGTAGTTTCTCTCTTTGCAAATGATCCCTCCTAAGTTGTTTGATTCGTAATTAGCTTTGGCGAAACCATTAACTTCAGCAATTCACTATTCTTTCGAGTTTTGAATGAGAGCTTAGACTTCTCTGGAGACAATTTATGACTGGGGCTCAAAGAAGACTTCTAAAGTATCCTAAACCCCTTCTGAGAATTGGATTTTGAGAGATTCATTATTATATTATTGATTATAACTAATTCAGAACAAATATTGTATTTACTAGATTTGTAAACTCCCATTCCCACGAGATGTTCTCCCTCTCTCTAAATAGCTAAATATGGTCGATTTATAATACTAAACATTTTCATATATAATTATTCATTAATTATGATTCCTACTCTGCAACCGTCGCAGCAGCTTCAACCAAAATACATCTTCGGATTGAACAGCAATTTACGGAATAACCTCTACTTCATGGATGATACGCGAATCATCTACCCAGCAGGCTTTCATATAGTGTGTTACTCATTGCAGGATAAGAGTCAAAGTTACTTCTAAGGATTCGAACATTACAGAGGATTCTCCTGTATGACTCTCTCCCCGATGAAGAGATTTTTAGCCGCAGGAGTCAAGGGAGAAAAACCTGCTATACAAATATACGACACGATGTCTCAAAAGAAAAAGAGAACGCTCATCTATCACGATGCTCCAGTTAAGGAATGGGTATCTGTTGCATTTGGACCCAATGCGGAAGCAAAGACTTTGGTTGGCTTGAGTGGAGGGACCTCTGGTAATGGAAGTCCTGTTGATTCATATTTATGTTACTTTCAAACTGATACTATGAAATGCTTAGCATCTGTAAAAGTAACTTCAGGAAATAATGAATGTTTGGAAGTAGCCTTTTAACCTAATGATGCCACATTCATCACTGTAATTGGAAAAGGAATTTTCAAATCATATAAGATGATTCAAAATGAAGGCGAAACTAAGAGCTATACTCTCAAGTAAGTGGCAGCATCATTACAAAAAGCGCCTGCTGATTTATCAAATAATTACTGTTGTCATGCTTGGATGATATAACATCCAGATCATTTGATTGTATGTACCCAATTGGGAGAAGTGTTTCTCTGTGATGAAAATGCTGAATTCGTCAAGTACCTGAAGAATCCATATCACCAAAACAAGCAACCTTTTTTAATTGAAGTGATATAAGCTATGCAATAAGGATTTGCAATTGGAGGTGACAATTCTACTATTTACATATACAGCAAGGAATATGAAAATGTCTAGATGCTTCATGTGAAGTCAATATCTGATATCAAATGTTAAATCAAAGGAATCAGCTTTACACCCATCAGTGAAGACACCATAATAGTTACTCTGTCTAGCAATTTAATTTATAGTCTGAAATTGAAGACTGAATAGTTTTTGGAAGAACAACAACAATTTGAATTAGTCTCATTGCCCTTTCACTCCTGTCCTCCAGTAAATGCTGGAATTCCAATCAACGGCATGGATGTGTGCGTTCGAAAACCACTTATCGTAACATGTGGAGCTGACAAATACATTCGTATATGGAATTATGAAGAGAAAAGCATGGAAGCCTACAGATTCTTCAATGAAGAAGCCTATTGTGTAAGTATCCATCCTTCAGGGTTCCATATTGTAGTAGGATTGACTGATAGATTAAGATTGATGAATGTCTGTGTTCATAACAATCAAATCAAACACTATAGAGAAATCGGGTAATTCAAATAATGCAAAGAAATCAAATTCTCAAATGGAGGACAATACTTTGCTGCCGTGAATGCAGCCAACACCACTTAGCATATAATCCATATTTATAGATTCTATGTTGGAGATAACCCTGCCAATCTATAATTTAAAGGTCACAGTGGTAGAATTAGATGCATAACTTGGAGTAGAGATGATACGATTCTGGCCACCTGTGGTTAAGATGGTTTGATATCCCTATGGAAAGTGGGTGCTGACACAACAGGACAAAGAATGCTTGATATACATGCTAAGGCTAATGGTAAGAATATCCCTTAGTCGAGTGTTGCATTAACATTTGATACTAAAATAGTTTATGTTGTGGGAGAGGATCGTCATCTTAGAGAGTTCGTTTGCTAGGAACCAACAGAAAATAAAAGAAATGTAGAAGCCACCTTATCTTAAATTTGTTTCTCAAGCAGTAACAAAATATTGTTTGCTGGTGTATGTGACGAGAATAGATACTCGGGAGCTGTAAGATGTTATAAGTATCCCTTTGTTGGTCCATCAGCTGGAACCAATGTTGAGTATTAAGCTCATGATGAACGAGGTATAGAAAAAATGAAGATCACTGCTGACGATCAATATCTCATTACTGCTGGTAGGGATGGAGCCATCATTGTGTTTGAAATTAAGGACAAAGATGCCAGAGGATAAAAAAATAAAGAAGGGTATTAATAAAGATATGCAGACGATATCATTGTCACTAAAGAAGATAAGGCTGATCTCAAAACCACCAGGGATAACCTCAAAACCCAATTGTAGGATATCACTGCTCCTTAAAATGCTATTAACATTTCATCAAAGGAGGACCAAATCAAACAATTGACAGATAAAGAATCTACACTGAAATAACAATACAAAGTAGCCTATGACACTTTAGTAGAAAAGAAGAGAGAAACAGAAAAACACATTCAAGAAACCAGAAAATAAATAATGGAAGAATTTGAAGCTGAAATACAAGAATTAGAATAAAATCAACAAAGTAAAGTCAATAAGGAAGCAGAAAAGTATGAGAAGACAAAAAACGAGAAGGAAATTCATCAAACTAAATATGAAAAGGAAATTGGAAAATTATAAAGAGAACATACTGATGAACTCAAAAAGTTAGAGAAAGATTACGATGCTCGTTTACTTGAAGAAAGATAATAGAAGGAAAGAATGGAGAAGGAATACAATAAGGAGAAAGAAAAGTACAGGGAAACAATTGAATAAATTAGAAAGGAGACCATTGGTGAAATTGAAGCCCTTGAAGAACAAAATCAATAATAGATTCTCCAAAAAACTGATTAGGGTCTTAAAGCTAAAAGTGAAGTGAGCATGACAAAGAAGAAGATTTAATCTTTATTGCAAGAGGAGGAAAAACAAAACGAAAATCTTAAAGATTATAATGAACAAAAGAAATAATTGGATGATCAAAATCATCAACTAAAAATAGCAATTGAAGAATAATTAAAATAAATATAAGATAAGGACAAAACAATAGGAGAAAAAGAAAGGAAGATTTATGAATTAAAGAAGAGATCATAAGAATTAGAAAAGTTTAAATTTGTTCTAGATCATAAAATTAAGGAACTCAAAAGAGATACTGGACCTAGAGATGAAGAAATCAATAGAATGAAAGAAAAAACCAATATGATGGATTAGAAATTAAAAAATTTCGCCTATTTGAATAATAATCTCGGAAACGTAGTCGATGCTCTTGATTAAGAATTAAAAATAATGAAAACCAATATTAAAAAGTAAAGATAATTAATCTCATTCCAAAATGTTAGAATTAAGAAATTTAAAGACTCAGTCTATCAAGCGGTCTAGTTCATTCAAAATTAAGAGGAATTAACTAAAAAGGCTCAAGAAATCTTTAAAGAATTCCATAAAGATGATGTAAAACCATAATAAGTCAATGCTGACATACTTGCTGAATATAAAAGTTAAAAGCAATATTTGGAAAAATCTGTTGAAGGATTGAAAGCCAATCTTTAAGCTGATGAAGAAATACACAAAGCTGAAAATATTAGAATCATGAGAGGCAATGTTAAACTCATAATCGAAATAAATAATCTTAGAAAAAAAATGAAGTAAATTAAGTCAACTCATAATAATTAAGAATAAAAGGGCGACAAAAAAATGTCTCAAACAGGTATTTTATAATCATATTAATCTAGCCAACTCTGAGACTTAAAAGGCTAAATAAAGAGTGATTTAAGATAAACAACTTATAATTGAATAATAATAATTGGCAAAAGGTTCTTTGCTTAATTAAATTTAAGAATTGGAAGCAGAACTTTCAGTAATGGGAGAATGAAAGATTTTATAATAATTATATTTTTATTTTATATTTTTGATTATAACTAGATATTGGGTTTCTTCTTAATTATTTTTATATTATAGCTTTGACATTTTTAAACTTAAGGTACTAAAATTTGAGGAGCATTTACTTATATACAATAATTGAATTTCAATCTAAATTGCTTCTTAATTTATATTTAAAATGTGTTAAATTTTTCTTTATAAATATAGACTTTTTATGGTAATTTTTTTAGCATTTTATTATCTCCTCTTTTTTCCCTTATCGTTGAATCTTTTGGAACATTTAGTTCTGAAATTAAATTCTTTTCTAATTATAATTCGAAAAAAATTAATTCTAGGTTCTCATTTGAATAAGGTAATATTTTTGAAAAGTAAATTTAATATAATATGTTTCGAAAATTATTTTATGGGTTTTGTAATTAAGTGCAAACAATGAGCACTTTCACTTAATTACAAAATATCATGAATCCACCTACGCCTGAGAATTATCAGAGATTATTACTAACAGTTTAATAGATGATTTAATCGAAACCTATTAATTGGAAATTTGTACATCGACTTTAATAATTGCGAGAATAGTTTAATTTAGAATTAGACATTCAGTACCTTCTTTCGAAGCTTCGGGATCAACCTATTGACTCTGAAAAGCAATAATTTGTGATTGAACTTATGTAATAATACTTTACGACAGATGAAGATTTATTTAAGGATTTGTATAACTAATTATTAAGAATGGATGATTTGCTTTTCACAACTTAATTAAAAATGTTGTAGACGTACTTTTAATATCCAGAATTCTTCAATTAAGATGAAGTGTTGCCAAGATTGATATAAAATTTAATTGCCTAAGAGGATTTGGAAGTTTATGATTTAGTAAATGCATTTTAAATATTTACATATGACTATCCCTACTTAACAGAGGAGAATAGATAATGGTTGGAAGATCTCAAAGATGAGATGAATCAATAAATTATCAAAATAGTTCCGAGTCTAGGATAAAAATAATATAAACAATTATTGGTTGTTTTGAGATCAAATGACTATAGTAATGAATAATTGAAGGAGGCTGTCTTATAATATTTTCATGAAAATAAACAAATTTTGGGACAATCTTGCTTGGTGGAATTGTTAAATCTATGCAATCTCCAATTCTACCATAATGAGGATCTCAAAAAATAGATATTAATGCAGATCAATCAACTGAAGGTCAAGGGAGTAAATGAGTCAAAATTAATAAACAGATTTGTGTTGCCATCAGTAATACTTTATTGTTGACTATTAGATATCATTAGCTGAATAGGAAATGATGGCAAATCTAATAACCTTGTCAGGTATACAGTTAGATAAGGAGTATGTAAATTAGCATTTTACTGGAAGCGATTCTTAGAAGAAAGAGAAGCTTGAACAACTTAAGCTCAAGGATTAATAAGTCTTACAAATTGTTAAGGAATTATAGCTGTACATCGATGGTCAATTCAATTTCTACATGAAGTAAATACGATATATATAGATGTAGTGTCATGAGAGTAATCTAAACTTTTGGTATTTCGTTACCAGAACTACTCTAGCCAATGATGGAGGGGTTGAAAAAGATATTAGCCAAATAAGTAGTTAATCCCAGTGATCTCTTAACAACATTGAATTATTTTGATGAGTGTAACATACTGTTTGACTAAGATGATTGTATTGGAATGCAGCACTTCAAGATTTATTTAAATTAAGACATCTACTCATATTAAAAAATTCAATATTTATAAAGGCAATTAGCATACAAAAAAAATTAGAATGAAATAAGTGAACTTTTGGAAAAGAGCTATAAAACCAATTGGAATTTAGAATTATGTGCAAGATAGGCATTACTCTATAATTATTATAATATTCCCTTATCCAAAGATTTTGAGGAGAAGTTTAAATAAATTATTGATGATTATGTTTAAAAAAAGAGGAATTTCTATGATTAGCAATTATTTTTCAAGCAAATTGTTATGGCCAATTGGACGAAAGATCTCAAATAGGAACACAAAGGTTATTATTATGAAGGACAAAGTATAGCATAGAGATTGAGAAAAGAAAAAGTAAAGACTATAGATTAATCTTCTATTCTCGGATAAGAAATTAAGTAGGACATCTTACAGTATATGCCAAATACATTTAAATTATTGTCTAATCAGTTTGTTAATGGAACAGAAATTGATTTCATAATTACAAATTAAAAAGGGGAAAAACTATATATCTAAATTCATGGCCCAAATCATTTTTATTATGCCTCAACAGTTTACAATTATCAAACTTTGTTGGAGACATTTTCTTTGGAAAAGCTAGGCAATTATAGAGCAATCCATTATTATCAAGCAGAGAAGGAGTGGAAACAATAAAAATAATAAGCAGTAGCAAAATTGTTAAGCTGTTTAATGTGAATAATATAATATATAAATGTATAGGTATTATTGGCGAGAATATATAATTAATTATCTCATTTCGTCGGGAATACTTATGTTGCCTTTCTTTTTAAAAAGTGTCTAACACTATGTCTAACTTACTCCAAATACGATTTATTCTGTTTAATATCTTCTTCTTCGATTAAGGAATTTCTAAATAGACGTATAAATTCATAAGGAAATAGTAGATATTTCGAATACTTGTTTAATAATTAATTTAATAATTCTGTATTATTTTTTCGTATAGGTCTCATCAGTTTAGTAATGATTCTATCAATGTTCCATTCTCTATCAAATTTATCAAATTCCCTAAGCTATTCAAAATCTGGAATTTCAGTTAAGCCTAACTCTCCTTCGAGCTTTTTAATGAGTAGGAAACATTTCTCGTATTCATTATTTGACAATTTGGGTAGAATGGATTACAATTTAGTTAAAGCTTCTTGAAAGTCTCCCGGTTTGTCTGAAAGCACTGTTAAATCACTTTATTTATTGGTGTTTCCAGATAGCAAAAGTTTCTTATCCCTTTTGTTCTTAAAACTATCTAAGATTTGAGTCTATTGTAATAAGCTGGTTCTTTGCATGAATTTCGCAGGATTAAATGAAGTTTCGACCAGCCATTCCGGAGGATTTAATTATACCTGTTGATCTTCAAAAGTAACAACATTAATTTTCGGAGGTCCATTTTGATGGATACTAAAGCCTTGACTCTATTGTTCTTGGATTTCATTTTCTGGAACTATATCATTCTCCAATTGATATATTTTAGCACTACCTTATATCAGAACTTATTCATTCAATGCATAAAATTTTGTCCGACTTTTCTAAGTTTATCTTAATGTGCCTCTTTCTTGAACATTATTAAAATGATATCTCATAATTACCTTCTCAATATCAGGGATATAATGGACAACATTACATTAATGAGTATAATGTCTTTTATCATGACAGATATAACAAAACTTATCGGGTATGATTTGTAATTGGAATTTACTAACAACTTTGAGGACTTCAGAACGTGGAATCATTAATAGACTGGTGAAATCTGCTGATTTATAGGTGACTTTATCACTTTATGAAAAGAGTTCTTGTAAACCAAAATACTAATTCTCTTTTAGTGTGTCAATGACAACCTAAAATATTTATAATCAAACCTTCTCTTGCATGACTTCAACTTTTCCATTTTCTATTATGTAAATATAATTTTATGGATTTACATAGACACCTGGTTAAAAGATATTAAATTCGATGTTTTAGAGTAGACACTCTAAAGCAGGTTTAGGAAACTGAGAAAAATAGGGACATTTGATAATCAAAGATGAGGCTGATTCCAGCTTCAACTTCTTTTAAAGATCTTCTGGTAATAGAGTGATGAGTCTTATTTGTTCATTTTTCTTTTGGATAATTTCTTGATTCCAATAAAAATTAAAATACTCCCTTACTTTCATAGAGAGTTCAGTACTCAATTTCTTACAGTGCAAATACTCATTAATGCATGTCATCTTTTATCTAATCATTTCATTATTTTCTTTCATCTCAGTAAGGATTAACCCAATTGTGTTGACTGAATAGGAATATTGCAAAGTGGACAAGAACATGTAACAAATACAAAACATCTTTTCCAGTGAATCTAATCATATAATAATGTATCTTTACTTGTGGGTGTGATATCTCCATATCCTACAGTAAACATGGTCACGCTCATGAAGTAAAAGGATTCAAGAAATTGCACCTACCAACTTTCATCCTTTACATCTATCATCCAGTTCATTTTTCCTTGACTATCGTAATACTAACCTAATTTTAACCTAAGCAATTAGGAATTAAACTCATTACCATAAACAACCACAAAAATGCTGTATTAATAACACGGTAGCTATTAATTTGAAAAGATCTATGACAGAACTGACCATTTTAGTGGGCTTCAAATTATATTGAATGATGTCGACCAATTTCATTATGTTTCTCAATTAATAATAAAACAGGATGAATAACCATGTGCTTAATTAGTAATCGAGGGATACCAGGATTCCGAATAAGATACTCCCTAATTCGATTACTAAACCAAAATTAATTTGCTTCTTAAATAATTTTGAGCGATCTCTGACTGGCAATCCTTTGTGAAAATAAATGGTGAAGTTTCTAATCAGCAAATCGAATGCCAGAAATACGCAACTGAATAGGAAATAGCTTGCATGGTCATTCTACAAAAATGGAAACGATATTATGATGGGAGACCAGATTATCAAGTATATGCGAATGAGACAGAGCAAAAAGTCCCACACTAATTTCTAAATATTATTTGGTTCTATTAATGGGATGTAATTATATAATTAAGTGAAGCATCCTTATAATTTATTTACTATTCCATTTTTCCATGTCCTCAATTTGAGTCTGATCTGCAAATCTATCGTATTGAGGTTTTATTGCACAAAATTGCCACTTATCTTACCTTTCTATCTCATATACGAACTTGCTTGGTCGTTTAAAATCTGGTGCTATTTTTGAGAAAATTTACAATCAGGTCTTATAAAGCTAATCATTTTGTTGGCAAACTTCAATGAATGACAATTAATAATTAACTTAGCGAATGGCGATTACTTTTTTGACAGCATCGCTTGATTTTCCCTTTATTTGTCGATAGACAATATTCCTTCCGATTCAGGTAAATCTGGCGGTTATAATGTGTCAATTGGGATTGAATTGATCCTCATGGTTACCCCACCGAATTTCTATATAGAAACCAATTGCTAAGTTGTTGAAACGCCTGGGTTAGAAGTTTCTATCTTCATTGGACTCATTTCCAAAATTGAATTATCCAAGCCCTTAGAGTTCATCTCTTGTTCTATCTAAGGAGACATCAATTTGCATTTGCTGGTTGCTGCATACTACATTTTAATTAAATTATATATTTGAGGATACTTAATTAAAATCATTTACTTCAAATTATTCTACAGTTCTCACAATGAAAAAACAACAAAAATACACTACCAATACAGATTCCATTAATCAATTATGATATCAATGAATATCCACCTTCACTTAATAGATCTTAAAGGACAACTTATTAATTATATAAATTGACACTTGTAGCAGTTATAATTATCAATATATATATTTTAACTTATCAAAATTATTGCAAATAATTCTGACACTCTGCTGCTTTGATTTAATTAATCTAAATATCATAGATTATTTTATAGGAAATGGAAACCCAACTACAATTAAAATGATTGCAGGGGAGACTGTTTTCCCATAATTTGAATATATTCCTTGAGTTTAAGATAGCCAATCTTGGCATTCTGGAGATGAGCTTCAAAAATTAGCAAGGATTGCTGAGTTAATGACTGATGTCCCAGGAGTAAAGTTTGCAAAAGATGCAATTACAAAATATAGAGGGGGGGGGATTGAGTTTAAAAAAAAATGCACTCTTATTTTAAGTGATTCAAGTATTTAAATTTGGCCCAACGTTGATATTAAGTTAGTTTGGTTGGTGACAAATTAATATTATATTTTATAAGTGTGTTATACTTTTTTTAGATATTTTATGTTGAAATCAACAAAGAAACCTGAATAATATTTAATAAATTAAATAATAAATGGATTTCCTAAAGGACGATCAGAAATTCGAGGCTCTGGCTAAGGACGTGTTTAATACCATGGATGAAAATGGTATAAATTTTTCTTATTAATAAAAAAAGAAAATGGTTACATTGAATTTTCGGAAATGAAAAGAACCATTCTGGAAATGTATAAGCAAGTGAATGTTAAGGTAATCGTAGAAACTATTGATAGCAAATGAATGACGAATAGATTTAGGATATAATAAATACATTTGATTAAGATGAGAATTCAATATTGAGTTAAGAGGAATTAGCGAATTTATTGCGGAAAGTATTGGAAAAAAGTGTATAACTGCAGCAGGAAGAAGGTATGATTAATTGAAATAAATTGTAGAGAAAAAAAACAAAAAGAAGGCAGATAAAAATGAACGTATAGAAATTAGTATGACAATTATTAGCTACTACATTTCGATCTAAAAAGGTTACAGTAAAGGACAGAGAATAGCAAAAATAAGAGTTAAAATAATTAAAGGAGGAACTCAATAGTTTAAAAAAGTTAGATAAGAAGTCTTAACAGTTACAAAACTAGAAATTAGTAAATTATTATGTCAAGTATTAATTGAAATTAATTGATCAGTCCAACAGCAAGAGATGAGGAGGTGAGAGAGCAACAACAGAAGTTTGATGCTTCCAGTAAGAGTTTATCAATTCAATCGCCGCACAGTTCGAAATCAAGTATCAGTCTAAACCCATTGGTCTTCAATTAGTATTTGAGATAAGGATTTATCAAAAATGCAGGTAAACATAAATCACCATGAGTAGATGACATGATCAAAGCGCAGGAGAGTGCGAAAGCAAATCATTTGATTGGTATGGCAGTGAAAAGAAGTAGTGCTGGAGAGTGGCAAGGTTTGATCGACTACTTTAATGATTAAACCTAGAAGGAATTCGATAGAACACCAAGCAGTCAGCAGTTCCATATTATTGGTAAAAAACTAACGAAAAATGTTAAATTCATAATGATTCACATTTAAAATTTGACCTATACAAATTTTAGAGATTTGAGAATCAGTTAAAAATCTGAGTTAACTAGTGTTGATAAGCCGGCATTATTTTTTTGGGAACTTAACTATAATGGCTAGACTTTCTTTAAGAATTCAGCAAAAGAATTTCCCAATTAATTAAATGAATGTTTGGATACTGTTCTCATTTACAATTATACAAATCCAATCTAAGTAATCTTATGGAAGAAATAAGGAAAAGACTCAATATATGTAGGTCAATTTGATATAACAAATTCATTATTCTAATTGTTATAAAAAGTGACAGATTAGTAGGACCAACTAGGCGAATAAACTAAATATAATTTGAATCTCCAAAAGATAAATAAATAATTGAGGAAATTACAGTCAACTGAAATAAAACTATATAGAAAGAAGCGAATTTCTTATTCGAACAATTCCTAGGAGGATCCACCTTTAATTGGTGACATAAGTGTAAGATTTTAGATGTTCGAAATTTGTGAGTTTGATGCACCTTTAAGTAAAATACATATGTGATGTTAGATTAATTCTCTTATACTAAGGGATCACCTCGATCTTTGGAAGAAAGAGAAAGAAGAATGCTAGTGGAATAGTCCAAGAATGGTCCTTACAAATGGCCAGATGATTAACAAAACAAAGCTTTGGTTATATAGATTAATGATGCAGGCATTGAATTGGCAATTGTCAATGAGGAGGATATACAATCTTATTTAGATGGGCAATTAGGGGCTCTCATTAAAGAAACATTTTACTTTGATGCTAGTTCAGGAAGTTCAAGAAGGACTTCTCGTGTAAAAAGACCTCCACTTTCAGAAAATACGATGGCATTGTTGAAATCCTTGGATGAGAACCCCTTGGTGGTTCAGGTTAATGCTCTTAGATAGACTATTCGTTAAGGCAGATTACCAAAGAAGGTATTGGAAGAGGCTCTTTATCAATTTGGTTGTTCAGGATCTCAATTGCTAATTGATCACGTGGATGATATGGGTATGTGTGAATACGATTACTGTATGGATGATGGCTGTTATGGAGTGATAATTGATACAATACAAGATATGGGATTTTCGAATCCAGAGAATATATAATAGGCTGATATGTTTGCTGAGAAGTTGGTATAGAATATAAAGAGTGTCTTAATGGAAGGAGTTAGAATTGAACCATTGTTTGAGTTCTTAAAGATTGCTGAGAAAATACCAGATTTTGGAATTACTGTCAATTTGATGGCTGATTAATTCAAGACTGGAATAGGGTCGAAAGTTGATGCAGATGGAAATGTGCAAATTGATCCTGGTTCTTTTATATCATATTTTGATATCAACAGTAGAGACTTCGATAAGATGGAAAACTATGAACACATCATGGTTTTAGGCAAATTAGTAAAGTTATCTAAAAAGCACTTGGAACCTAATGATCCATTTTTATAACACATTCAATAGAATTACGAGGAAGCTAAAACCAAAATCTATTTCACAGTGCCTGTGTTACCTAAGAAAAAGAAATTGAGGGAGAAAGCAAAATTGTTGGTGTTGCAACCAGATAATGTTCATCCAGGGTTATTTAGTAATTTGGATATCAATAAAAACACACCTCTTGCCGATGTCAAATAGTAATTCTTAAAGAAAAAGAAGGAAATATAAAATAATAAAGAAAATAAGGATGAAGAACAAGATCCTGTTAAACTACTTGAGAAACCTTGCTTATGGAATGTGTGTCACGAATTAGTAAGAAGAAAGAGATGGAACATGTTCTATGATGGTTTCTAAGCTGAACCCTTATTTTATTTTCAACAGGGAGGAACAGGGAATACTCCTCTGATGGACTTTATTGAGAAAGGACCTTTTAATGTCATCAATTAGATGGTCAACCAATATCATCCCAATAACCCTAATGATGATTTTAAAGACAGTCCCAAACTTGATCCCTAGAAGATGTTCGACATGACTACTCCACAAGGAAAAAGCTTTATTCATGCCTTAGCCTTGAATTAAGACATCAATCCAATAGGATAGAAATAATCTCTGCAATATTTGCTAGGTTTATTGGAACCTCAAAAATAAGAGGAACTTCTAATCAGCCCAATGTGGCCATACGATGCAACTCCCCTTGTTCTATATTTAACAAAGCTCTCGAGCGTTGTCCCTGCGTAAATATTAATATTCATATTCTAGTTTTACTGAAGAAGAAATCAAATCAATTTAAGAAATCTTGGGCATCATGAAGTAACCATTAAAGAAGCAATATTCTTAGTCTCTCTTCAGAGCCAAATGCCTCTTTAAAATTCATAACATCGAGATAGAGGAGGATGATGATTTAAAGGATTACTATATCAATCACATACAAGTATCGAAGGCACTTGCTCTACTTCAACCAGGCATATTTGCATTGGTTTCTCAAGAAATCGATTGGATTTAATGGTTTTCTTTGAACATTGAAAATTATAATTCTGTTCAAAACGAATTGTCGTTTGCCATTTACAATCTAGCAAGATCAGGTAAAATAGAATTTCTTGAATAATTCCTGGGCAACTTCTAAAAATAATAAGGTCTTATGCCTTGTTAAATCAATCCTGATCCAGATTTCATTATTTCCTCTAATCAAGACGAATTCATTTCAGATGATTATGGTTAGATTACAATTTATGATAAGGATAAAAATAATTAAATCAAGAACACTAAGGAGGAAATGTTAAACGCTTTGGCTTCATTTTATGCAAAATATCCTTTAGAAATCTTTATTGGCATACAACAAATCTTGAACGAAACAAAATTTACATCTCTCAAATTAAATAGAATCTTAAAAGAATTAATCTTGTAAACAATCAAAATGGAACCACGAATTCTGGCTAAATAATTTTATTAGAATTAGAAATCACCATATGAAGAACTGGTTAAACTAGGATTTGAAGAAGAACTATAAAAACTCCTCACTCCTGAACAGGTTCAAGCTTATCAAGAATAAAGAAGTGATTTCGCTAAAAACCTATGGTAGGAGGGGCTTACAGGATAATTAAAAAATAAAGAAAACCCTCTAAGCCTAGTATCAGCTTAAGACTAGTAACAATTCTTTAAATACACCTCAAAGTTAATGACTGAAAAAGGATTGGATGATGTTTTAAAGTTCATAGACAAGTTAAAATAAGATAACATCGAAGGTAGATAAGACTATATAAAGAAGCTTCTCACTTAAATGGCAAGATCACTACCTACTAATTTTTCCAAATAACAATATCCCAAGATATTTAAGGCTCTGAGATAAAATCAAAATAATACAAAATCATTAAATTAATAAGAGGACAACTTTTATAAGCGCAATCCATAACTATTAGACAGAATAAAGGAGGTTAACAATGTAAATAGTTACACGATGAAATAAGTGCTAAATGCAGCCCTTAATTCAAAAAACCAATTACTAGTTAACAATTGTTTAATGTATTTGTGGAACAAATCTCCTGATAATGTAACATCTCGTAATTCAAGTGTTCTCAGACCTTTATATTCAAAATATGGACAATATTACAGATCCCTAAGTTATCATCCGGCTGTTTGTTTAACACAGCAAGAGTTTGATTAATACATGGCTGACACAAAGGAAGCTGCAACCGTAAAAGACTACGACATAGCTGCAAAGGCCTTAACAAAGTATGGACTATCAGATAGATTGCCTACAATCCTTAAAAAGTTAGCAGCAAATAAACCTGAATTGGTATTAAACTTATTAGAAGACATTGCATTAAATCAGTTGGAAAAACAACTTCTTGCAACACCTGTTCCTCCTTTAAAACCAAATTCAGAGCAAGTATAAAAGGTTCAACCTTAATTTATCATCCCAACCAAAAGACAAATTATACTAAGTCAATATAATTTATTTGATGCAGGAGCCTTGGGTTGCCTCCTATAAAATGCTAAGAAATCCTTGGAGAAATCAGCTAATATGCCTAAAAGTTTGAATACTTATAATCATAACTTAAATAAGCAAGCATTCTAACAATACTATTCTTAGAAATTGAGGCAGAACTTTTTCACTCAAAATCCTGGAACGATGTATAGCAATTGGAATGCTCCAAAACCAAATATCGAAAAAACAGTTGAATTAATATTGGACGCATTGAAAGATAATTTAGATAATTTATTACAACAAAAACCTGAATTAAAGGATAAATTGGAGAAGATATCACTATTGCCTTTAATATTAAGCAATGTTACCCTATTTGATAAATTGAACAATAAGGAGAATAGAATATTCACAGCGATTGAGAATATCATTCTATAGAATCTAAAATAGCAGGCTTCAAATTTAGAATTGGTTAGGATTGACAAAAGGATGAAGATGAATCTCTAATTTTTGGAATAAAACTTTTTACCTACTTTAAAGAACGTCATGGAATAGGAGAAGAGTAGGTCGTTGAGAATATTTAGGGCTTTGGATTACACTTTAAAAAAGGAATAGTAGCCATTGTAATTGTAATTTGCAACCGAAGTCATTCTCATAATTGTTAAGAACTTTGTCCCCGAAGATTTTTCAGGAATATTTGAAAACAATATTTAATTTCTATATAGTAGATTTTAATTCATATTTTAGATGCACTTGCTGTTTCCTTGATGAGGTCTAAGACAACAGATTAGAGAGCTTTAGAGTTTATGGGTTCTTAGTTGAATAAATATGAATTTTATGATTTAGTTCATAGTTTAGATTTAGGAGAAAAAAACAGAGAAGATGAACCAGAACTTTAACGCGATTAATAAATTAAAGCAGGAGATTAGAAAAAATCAAACCCATAGACAAGAAAATAGCAAATTTAAGAAGCAAGACTATTTAGAAAAATTGAAACTTTGCCATAAAAATGTAAATTTTTTATTTTTATGTTTTAGCTGAGATTGAACCTGCTATAAGATTGGTTGTTCCATCTTAAAATAATATTCCATACTTCATCAAATTGTTGAAAGCCAAAGTTAAACCTTTCTTCAAAAATTATGAGAAGGAAATATAATTTGTGAATGGAGAACCATTTGCCATTGCTGATTTAAAGAGCCTTAATTTATTTGAATATTTAATAGTAAAATGCCATTACACACTGATTTCAAGTAAGGAATTCATAAAATTTTTAGAACATTATATCAATATAAATAAACCCAAGAGTCCTTTAAAGGAAGAGTAAATTATCAAGTATTTGTGCTTAGCTTCAAGTAGTGGCAGTTATACACTTTTCGATCTTTTATCAGAATAAATTCTCAATATGAAGCTCTCATTACTATATAAGGATTATGAAAACAAGCCAGAATTATAGGTATATCTAAATTTGCCGATATTTTATTAAGTATTGACGTATTCTTCTGAATAATCGTCAATAAAGTACTTTGAGAATTTTATAGTGGATGGTGTCGATTTAAATTTATTTTATAATTGGATGAAATTTAATGTTAAAGAGAATGAATAGAATATTTCCAAATACAACTGCTTCTTACCAATCATCACTAAGAAGTATGGGCTGCTTTTTAGTAAAATCGTTTAATTCTTAAGAAAGTTACTCAAAAACGATAAGGATTATTATGAAGTTCTATCAGAAATCATGAATAATACGAATTTCAGTGAGTCAAGTTAATAATTAGAAGCAGAAGATGGAGGTAGGGATTAAGAAATTAACAATTAGGAAATTTCATTAACTTTGTTGGAATATTCAATTTATTAGGGATTTCCAGATTTTTGTATGATATTTGATAAGAATATCATTTTGGTAAGAAATCCATTTGAAGATAAGGCAGTGTTTGAGTTTTTATCAAATTCTTTGAGTAAATGCTCTTTAGAATTGAAATAAGACGATTAAGTTTTGATCAATTATTGCAATAAGTACGAGAAAGAGTAAGGAAATTATCGAATTGTGTACTACAAGCTTTACCTTATGCTTAAAAAGTATTTTGAAGGAAATCAAAAGCAGTTAAACTCCTTACAAATAAGTTTGTTGTTGTTTAAGATCATGTTGATATTCAAGCCTGATTTAAACTTTTTATTAAATGTAAATTAATCGGTCAAGCTAACCGATGATATCCAAGAAATCCAAATGAATAAGTTATTAGTTGAATAATAATTTTTTTACCTTCAACTTTATGGATTTGATCGAGCTCTGAAATATTAAACGGGTATAATTGATTATGTGAGAAAGTTTCATCCTAAACTTAAACTCTTTTGGGTTTAATAAGAAGTGATTGATGCTTTTAAAACTTACTTTTAGTTTGATTATACAAAAGGACTCAAAACGATGGAATATTATGATTAGAACCAACTGAAGGATTAGTTCGAACAATTCCTTCCAGAGGTTCTGCTCTATGTATACTACAATCAACCAGATTTTCTTGAAAGAAATTCAAAAGATACTGACCAAGTAGAGCCATTTAAATAATTTATGATTTACAAATACATGCTGCCCATCATTCGTCACTAGTCAACTTAAGAGATACTACAACCTATTGAGTAAAAATAAATAAAAAAGAAGGATTTGGAATAAATGGTTGAGAAGCAATAAGAATTTTACAATAGAGTTTTGGAATAGCTGTTAGTTGAAGATGTAGAGTTGAACTTTTAAAATGCTGCTATTTTGGTAATTTATATTTCAACAGGCAATGACCTGATTGATTACGTTGGTGAAAAAGATACTGCTCCCTTAAAAATTATACCCATCATTAATCATCTTTTAGAAAGATTTTCAATTTAGGATCTAAATTAATTTATACTTTTTATGATATTTTAGATTAGGAACAATGACTTGTATAATATAGTAATGGAGTGGACTCAATAATCCAAGGCTGCCATTAATAAGGATATTTTCAAGGAGAAATCCTTTATTCAAGGAATACTCAATTTCCTCAATGCAAGGAGGAAATCTGAGAATTTTAACTTTAATTATTAGCAAAATGATCTATTGAGACTATTCTAATTTGAGTTCGCTAAGACTGACAAAATGTGCAAGGATAAAATCTATAGAGGGGTATAAATATATAATTGAAATTTAGTTTTGTATTTTAAGCATAGTCTTAAATTTTATCTCAGAACTTGAGATATTTAAGTAACAAATTGACCCAAATGATACAGTTACAATTAACATTGAGCTTTTGGAAAATTCGAAAGCAAAAAACAGTTCTTTGAAGGTGCAATCAATCAAGGAGATTACAGTGGACAAAGAGCTTATTGGATTCAATTATTAAATCGAAATTCCTATGATTTATCAGGAAAAAAACAACATTTTGAATCTCTAGATCAATCCCAACATTCTCAAAGAATATTAAGAGCTTACAGAAAAGTAAAGGTTCGAGAACATTTCAAATAAGTAACTCTAGGAGGAATTAAGGAACAAACAATATATTATCAATTCATTCCAAGTCTAAATTGCAATAAAACCAAATTAATTATAAGCTGATAGCATTAAGGTTATTAATGAGCAACTTGAAGAGAAGTATCCATTTTCATTTGGAGATTTGTACAACAATCTTGTCCACGTTGTCGATTTAGATAGAGAAATATTCTATGAAGATGAAAATAATAACAAAATAGTTTAAAGGAAAAATCTTACTATCGAGGAAGAAGTCAACGTTCGAGCTTACTTCGATGTTAAATCATTTCAGTATGAAATTACACTGAATATTCAGATCTTAAAAAAAGGCTTATTCTACTAGAAATGCAGTAGGGAAACCTAAGTTAAATAGTTAATTGTAATTTTTATATTTGATATTTTTAATAGGACGACTACACAAAAAAACAAAGCCAATTTAATTATATCAAAAAGTTCTTAAGTGTGGAGGGCAATAACATTGGAGAGTATTAGAGTATGATGGAATTAAATAAGGAGAAAATCAATTAGAAAAAATAAAAAAGCTAACTAAGTGATTATGAAATTGAAGAACTAAAATAATTACAAGAAAAATATAAGAAATACCAAGTACCTCCATATTTTGTCTATGAATTGGATTGGCCAATTTATATAGAAAATAATAAGATTACTGCAGACGAGTACAATTTCCCACCTTTGTTATTCAAGAAATTGATATCAGTCATAGATGGAATATTCTTTGAAACAGTTCTTGGGGAAAATGAGAACAGGAAATCTAGTATCAAGAAAGTTTTCACTAAAGACCAAAGCTTCCAAATCAATTACATATCATTTATTGATACACTGGTATTGTAATTTGCTAAGATATTTGAATTAAAATCGAAAACTAGACTGATGCAACTGAGCGTTGAAGATGTAGCTTATCAAGCATTAGAGTGGCCATTCCTTAAATTCATCATTAACCTTATTAAGAATAAAATTTAAAAAAGTAATTTACTTTTTGAAATGAAGGAGTCTTCTAAGCCTGAAGTATTAAATTATTACTTATAAATTATAGGTATAAGTCAACTTACCAGGAATTGACGAGTGTGTTTAATTATCCAAAACAACTTACTTTTATTATTGTGGAATGTTTGTAGTAAGGTTGGGAGTATTTTTCAACAAAAAACTATTGAAATTAGAAAAGCCTGAAGACTAAAATTTAAGATATTCTTAAAACTTCTCATTAGATTTCAACTTGGAACCTTACATAAATTATATCGTTAATGAAACTCAACTAAAAGCAGTCCTAAAAAAAGAAAATAATAATATTTAATGAATGAGAGTATTTTAACCATAATATATAATCATTATATATATATATAGTTTAATAGTAGTTTTCATAATATGTATTCACAATCTATAAAAGTTATGACAATTATCATAATATACTCAAAAATTGTGGATCTTGGCACCTTTTACATTTTGAACAAGGCACCATTTACTTATTTATTTATGACTATAGTAATAGTGTATTATTGCAAGAATCTTCCTAAGTCTTTCGCTAATTAGATTTCTTGTAACTAAGCTGATTCTCCAATCCCAAAATCATTTATTAACTGACACTCTTCTTATTTTTAATCTCCTTTAATTCTCGTTCCTACAATTGTTATAAATCTTATTGATCTCTCTCCCTTTACAAACGCTGATTCAGTTATTTTTCTTATTAATCTCTTTCTCTTTTTCTTTTGACTTATTCAGTCAAATCCAAGATCAACTATCTCTATGAATTCATTTTTTCCTATTTCTCCTATTATAAGAATAGATGATATTCCCTTAAGGATCTGACTCTGTCTTGTATATCTTTTTCTTAATCCAGTTTCGCTTAATTAATCTTTTTTAATCTTTCTCTTTCAAAATGAGTCCAATTATTATTGACATATTGTTATTGATAATTCTTCCTTTGTTAAACTTCCTTTTCTCCTTAAGATTAGTGTCTCCAGTAAGGATCATCAGTAATCCCATTGTGTTAATGAAAATCCTACTAAGTCAGCCTTTTCTTCTCTTCAATCTACTCTTTTAATTGCTATCCGAGACTCTATATTTTCTGTAGCTTTTAAGCCTTTTCATACTCCTCAATTTCTTGATTTTTTCTTATCACTTGCCTTTCAAATTCTATTTGTTAGGCCTTCTGTTGTGATTGAATTTCCTGTTTCTTTAACTAGAATTAACTGGATAATTGGAGATTGAATTATTCAATTTGTTTTCTTTGGATTATCTGTTACTTCTCCTTTTGGGACTTGTATGACTCTTCCTGCAGATTGATTTCCAATTACCTTTTCATTAAGTTCTATAAATTGATAACATATACAACCTTTTCCAATTCGCTTTGCTGTCTCTTCAAGTATTCTCGTTGCTCATACAATTTCTGATTATAGCAAGGACTACATAATAACGATTAACTGTTTTAGAGTCTCTGTTGAGAGTGACACATTTCAGGCTGTAATCTGGATTGACTGACTTAGGATCTGGCACTGCTTGCTCTTTTGGGATTCATGGCCTTGATTTATTCGTACTTTTCTCTCATCTATTTGATATTTGACATTTGATCGATAAAAATTAAAAATAAAGTAATTTTATATTATTGCCTTCATATTTTCTTCCTCAGCAGTCGTTGCAAATTCAACTTCAAATATTTGAGTTGTTCTATGAAATTATCATTCAATGGTTGTAATTACAAAGGAGTCTTGGCACATTTCTAGATTTTATATAATCTAAATTATTACAGGATTCTCCCTCAAATCCTGATCGACTTCCTCATCCACTTCTTTCAGCATCATTTCCAAAATGGTGAGCTTCTAAGAAGACTTCTTGTTGCTTTATTAGGGTTTTATTTTCTCTAGCGAATACTCATTGGTTGTTGGTATTTTAGTAACACTACGCATTCGAGCAATTTTGGGATTCGAGTAAATGCTTTGCAAATTGGGAGAATAATAGCCCACTGCAGGATTTTGAGAGATAACAGGCAATACTATTCTCTTATGATTTATTTTGGCTCTAGTGGCAGGTTTAGGTTGGGGCTGATGCAGACTCCATAAAGTTGGCTGCGATTAATGTCTTGTGTGAAACTTATGTAAATTCATTAATTTAGATTGTTTATTATAAAGATTGTTAATGTATTCAGATTGAAGGTTTATTATGATGGATTTAAGAGCAAACGGAAAAGTTCAATCAATTTAGAATGACTAAGCCGACTAAGACGCATTAATTGGAGTGAAAGAGTTGCATTATCAATAAAGGAGAATTAATGATTTATTTTTGGATGAGAAATATGATGATAAATCAGGATTTGAAGATTCATATTTCCTCTAAGAATTTGATCAAAATCTTTGATATCATAAAGAAGTAAGATGATGATTGTGATATTAAACTATGGGAAGTAGAGTTTATCAATTTTACTTCAAATAAATTTTGATATTATCAAGAATCGTCGATAATCTCGATATCTGCTGCTTCTGCCATACTCTCAATTGATGATTCATCCTATCCTCTTTTCATACGAAATCTACCATTCTCTCCCCACTGTTTACCCCAACTATTCTATAGTAACCAATATTTAACTCCATTCTCTTCTCCCCAACCGTAACACAGTACTGAATGATCAACTTTTTCCTTGTTAAATTAATGTTATCTATCATACCCATTCTGGCTTCGCTAATCCATTGATAATCCAATCTGGAGTGGTGGAATGGAAGATTCCCCCAACGTAGAACATGAAATCAAAGGATGGTTCGAAATTCAAAACCACAGGTCCATTATTATAGATTTCCTCCATTATATTCAACTCATTTGATTTACCATAAGCTCCCCCAATGAATCTATAATTGATAACCCTGTATTTCTTCTTTCTCTCAATTGCTTTGCACTCACCTACCTATCCTTTGTAAGGGTATTCCTTCTCTTCATAGATAAATCCATCCAACTCAGTAAGGTACTTCTCTACCAGAAATGGATAACCGCCATCACAACCTTAGTTATAATAATTGCAATCAATGGATTGTTAAGGAGACAAATCAGCTTTTAAGCCTTTGATCTTCAATCTAGCCGATAGCATAGTCATGGTTGAAATAGTATAACATGATCCACATCCCTTTTATTCATATATTTTCTTGCCCAAATATTTTTCCCATGAGAATTCTTTCGGTAAATGATTTAAATCATATTCTAATGTCTATTATTTTTTTTTCTATTTCTCCAGTAAAATTGTTGACGAATGCTTTTTTCTTCCTGCATATTTATTCAACTGCTTCGTTGTCAATCCAATTATCTCACCGTATGCCTTGGCCTTCCATTGCAACTGTGCTCTATTGATCTATTCTACGAAATTCAAAGCATCAATTCTAGACCAAACTTTATTCATTCCAGCATTCTAATATTAAAAGAACTAAGGTTGCACAACATGTCCATTATTAGCACCTTCTGATACCTTGTGAGTCTTCTCTATTTTCTATGCTCTATAACATCCTCTCTCATTGGTCTTCGTATTCTAATACCATCCAACCAAGGTTTCTCCACAATACGAATAAGCTCCAGAGTAGTTGGTCTTGTACTTTGAAAAGGCAAAGCATTTATAATGCATGAAATCTACCTCGAATCCTTCATCATATACCATAGTCCATTTGCCTTACAATTTCTTCTTCAAGACCACATTATTCTTAGCAGTTAATACAACTTCATGTGTAAAAGACTGTTGAAAGGTATTTTATCCTGCAAATTGTGAAGTACGTTCATTATCAGGTACATTATGGCCACATGTCAATGGTCCACTGCCTAGGTGAATCAAATCAATTTACCTGTAATTTAGGGTTCTGTAAACTGTAATTGCCATTTCCCTACAATTTGATGACGAACGCAATGCACTGGCAAATCTGCATGAGCACTCAGAACAAGTAAAAATAACAATAACATAATTAATTCGTTTTTTTAATTGATTTCAAACACATAATTATAATGGCTAATTCAAAAATTTCTTCAAATTCTCAAGTCCTGGTAGTTCTAATTGAGTCTCCTTCATAAATTGCTTATCATCAGTTTATTGCTACCAATATTCCAAGTTCTCATGAATCTGCTGCAAACAAACATCTGTCACTTTTTCGCTATGCCGAGTTAGACTATCAAGTACTTCTGCAATAAAGTAACGAATGCATTGAACATAGGCAAGACAATAGCTTTCAGAAATCCCTCCTGAGATTTGGTTACACACTACTTTCTGTCGCACATGGGTGACACTGGTACCTTCAAGTATGACTCTAAATCTCCTTGCAAAAAGAATTCCTCTATAATTCTTCGACTCCAAAGCTTATGCATTTTCAATTGTTTAGCTCCATGACCAACATCTTAAATGGATGATGATTGAATACCTGCACATTTGATGCAAATCGACATCAGTAGGTTTTTATCTAGATCCTGCGATTCCGTTAGTTCTAAGTAATTCTAGAATTTGTTCATCAATTGAAAGTGCCTTGTGAGATCAGTGTCCAGGATTAGATTCAAACAATACTTTCTAAATCCCTTTTATTCAACCTATCCCAAATTCTGTATGATATTGAATTGATCTTAAGAGAGGATTTGGAACAATAAAAAAGAATGATAATTCTCTAGCACACTCTAATCGTTGTCTAAGCATATATATATATATCATTACATAACAAAGCTAATTTACATCTATTGCTCATCATAAATCCATTATTTAGACCTGGATGTCCAATATCGTGTGCCAAAGAGGAAATTATCAAACATGCCTATTCAAATTCATCTAGCAATTCATTCAATCCATTTTCCAAGAAAAACCCACATGAATTAGTTACATCCAGAGCATGCATAGAATTATGATACAGATTATTGAAGTATGACATGTCAATTTTAAGAGCAAACTCTCCAATCAATTCAGGTTTGGTGATCTTTAAGGTTTGGGCAATCTTAAATTTCTTGAAAAAATTGATAGTATTCTCAAAAAAGATTCTCGTCTAAATGTTATCCTATGGTTTGTTTCTGCAATACTGTAGAAAGTCTGCATTAAAGTCAATGCTCTCCAGTTCTTCCTCTTAGACTTGATCCTAGTAATCCTAAATGTATTCGAACGAGGGTTGCTTCTATGTAAAATGAGATAATAAAAACCTATCCTATAATATAGAGTTAATTACTATTTAGCATCCACGCTGAATCCCTCTTGCTCATTGATCAATTAATTACTCCTTAGAAACTTTGGTAGCCATATTGATTCCTTTTTCCCAGAGAGCAGATTCAAGAGATCATCAATATCCTCAGTTGTAATTTTGACTTCCTCTATATTCTTCTCAGAAAAGGACACACTATTAGAATTTTCATTGTTCCTGTAATCAGTTGCACTAGTCATCATTCTTTATGACTTTCTTTTAAATTGGGGAGGATGTCTATCATTTTCCTCTTCCTAAAAATGATTGCTAGAACAATCTTATTAGATCGAACTCTGTTCATCTGGAATATTGTTTTCAGGTAACTAACGAAGTGAAAAAGCATTCTGATGAATTTCTGAGTTCATTTTCTTAGGTTTTCGAATTCCCTTTTGAACATTATTATTTTTGATCAACAATTATTGATATTTGATTAATCTCAACTTCTTTAGCAAATCATTAGCTCTGGAAGACAATTATTACTAAGTCTCACTCTCCTAATTGTCCTACAACTTTGTTATTTATTCATTGTAATAATCCTTCATTATTTCCAACTCCTTAGCGAAATCTGCCATTTTCTTATTGTATTCATCCTTTAAAAAATGGGTTCTCCATATTATTCCCTCAATTGCGATTATGGCGATTGCAAAGTACTTGATAATTTGCATGATTTGGTTCTGTAAATAGAATTAGGTGATGAAGGATATAATAGAAATTGAATAAGTAATTTCGCGAATATGACTGATTTGAAATCGAGTAGAAGTTAGTATCAGGAAAGCAATTGAAATTAAGTAATTTTGACAATGCTGATTGCTTAACATATATTTTTATTCACAAATACCTTTGTTCTTGATACACAAACACAATATTGCTTATTAATTGAATGCTTATCCCCTAATAAACTAAAATCTTAGCATTTTCTTTTCTGCTCTTCTTACTATTCCTTAAAGTATTTGCTAAAATGAGGACCAGAATGACCCTCAGACTTAAATGATATTCCTGATTTTCAGTCGATTCCATCAAGGGCCAAAATACCAATATGAGCAATAGTAGGAATGCATCAATGGGTTTGGTCTGATTAATGTTGGATTCTCTGCCAAACACTTCACAAAACTTATCTTTGATTTGATCATGAATTTCAGAACTCATCAAAATTAAAATAAATATATATTATTGTTGATTAAAATCAATACATCTTCTCTAGATAACTCAATCCTTCTCATATGAAAATGATTATCAATCCTATGTTGGGTCTTTGATTGGGATCAGAATGAAGGCACTTATAGCTGAAGTTTTCATTAGATTCTTAGGTCCTTATGATTTTATGAGATCAACATTCAATCTAGAAATGTTTGTTTTATTTTGAAATCTAAATTAGAATTTAATTGAGTTTCAAAAAGATTGTCCTGCTTCATTCTCTAAGCAAAAACAGCAAAGAATTATTAATTCTAAAAAATACCTTGCCAATAATCTTTGAATATACTTGCAAAATACGATTATCCCTTGTCATTCAAATCAAGTAACATAAATTCACTTTCTAGTTACTCCTATTATGGTTTTTAAGGAATTTCTTATAATTAATGATAAATGATAATGATAATATTATAAATAAAGTCTCCTCACAAATTCAATAAACTTTGTCTAAGAATGTGAGACTATCTTTCAAAACTAAAATAATTTTATCAATATTAGGCCTTAACTTTGGATCTGGCTATAAACCTATTATGTTTATATGATTTTTTTACATTGAATACCCAATCTTAGTAAGTATTTCATTATATATTATGGCCCTAGCGTTTTATCAACATCTTCGTTCTATCTAACAGAATAAATCTGCTTTTGTAATTTCTCCTCAAAGTATTTAAAATTCTATTTCCTGAAGTCCTAGAAAATTATAATATATCTTACTGTTGGGTATCGATCAAATATAAGTTCAAAAAAGAGTACACCAAATGAGTATATGTCATAAGCAGGAGTAAACTAATTATTCTCTAACTTTTGTTAAATTTCAGGTGCACAAAATGGCATTGTCTTCCCTGGCTTTTCGCTATCAGAGATATTCTATGTATTGATAGCCTCTCCAAAATCCGTTATTTTTGCCATATATGTCTTTGATATCAAAATGTTTGCTGGCTTTATATCCATATGAATGATGTTGTAATTGTGAATGTACCTCAAACCCATAGCGATATTGTGAGCAATGAAAATTCTAGTGGACAAACTTAAGACTTCCTATTTCTTGGATTTAAAGTAGTCCAATGAAGAGTGATAGTATCTTTCCATCAATAGAAGATCGGGCCTTTCACATACTAAATAGAACTAAGCAATATATGGACAACATCCTGTAAACTAAAAGTAATTTAGAGAATAGGAAGGCTAATTTCAAAATATTAAATACTAAAACTTATTGCTCATCTTATACGTTCTGGACCTTCCTGCTTAATACTTTGATAATTTCAACTTCGTTTTTGACTTTATCGGCACCCTAACTCTTATTCAATTTAATAACGAGAGTTCTTTTTTGGCTTTGCTATTAAATCTGACCGGCCCTTTTGATTGCAAAAACGATCTCTTTTGAATAGATATTACAAAAGCCTCCTTCATTTATCTGAAACCTTTCATCTACTTCCAATTCCCTGTCATTTTTTGGGACAATTTCAATCAAACATGAATTATCTGCCTGCAATGATTTAGAGATGATTGGCCCATATTTTAAATACTCCTATTAATTAAATTGTAAATGCATCTGACTTTTTAAATATTTAAATCATAGTTACTTTTTCACGACTGTCTTAAGCCTCTACAACAATTGTTCAGTCTCCTTTGGGAATTTTCTCCAATTAATTGAATTATTGTGGTTGTACCTGACCTTTTCGAAATATTATTCGTATAATTTAAATTGCTTTAAGTTAATCTTGTTGATCATGAATAAAATCCTTAAATAGTGATACCTGATTGAATGTACTGCAGTAACGATTAAGCTATCCATATAGTTGATTAAGTCATCATAATATGGATTAGATAAATCAAAAAACTCACTATTTTTATTATTAATACAGGCCAAATTCAATCCCAGGTCGCCATAAACTGGATTCAAAAAAAAGCTTCCTACGCGAAGACTGCCATTGAGTCGCAAGGCATATCTGGAAACCTAAAGTCTTAGCAGCTAAAATTTAAAGTATAGAATTACTTTTTAATTCACAATCATTCTTCCATTATTGTCTAAAAAGTAAACATTGAAGTCAAATTATTAATCTTAAAATTCAATTTTTAGTTCAAAGAGAAATTTAATAATTCCACCATGAGTCTCCAAAGGAAAATTCATATTAAAACTCCCTTTATTAATGTCCTCAGAAACATTAATAAATGTTTGAGGGTATTTTTCTACCAATTTCTACCGCAATTCTTCAACTCTAATTTTGGCTTGCTGTTACTCAATGGATGTGTCTTGAATATGTTTTAAATTACTTAAATCGCCATTTATTATTTGGAAGACACCTCCCTCTACATCCATTAAAAATTTTTATAATATATAAATTATTATCTTGATAGAATAACATAAGATATATATGAATAAAATAGCATTATTTTCGAAATAATGTTTCATTCCATAGGAGAAAGATAAAGTACTACATATTTGATTGAGTTTCATTCAACTGAAATGACAATTTAAATAGACTGTTTTTAATTCCTTGTATTAAGAAGGATTAGCATTTTATTTTCACACAAAAGATCGAGATGATTGACTTCTCGGAATGAATAATTAACTAACAAGGATTACAAAAAAAAGCAATTAATTTATCTTACAATAAATTGTAGCCTATATTTATCCATGATATTTAGAATTACTAAACTTTACTTGGTTTGCACTTCCAAATTTGCATAAGAGGAGGTATTTATTTTAAATGCGATTACTTTTAAGGATGTTTTGTCAAAAAATACAATTATCATTTAATCTAATTTTATTGTTTCAGATCTTAATCAAATTTATAATTTAGAAACCATGAAGAAGTTGAAAGAGTGTTATGATAGGTTGATCAAACTTGGAGTGGAAAGGCTACATCTAGATGCAAAAGCTGGAAATTATGTTCCCCACCTGCTATTATCAAATGTTTATCCTACAGATTGTTAAAATTGGGCCTTCATTGATTTACATTGTATGATATAGGAACCTAGCAAATTTATAAAGGATCTTTCCAATGAAGGTTGCCATTAGATGACTATTTATTTTGAATAAGAAATTGCCAAAATTTATGAATTATCATAAATGATTAATGATGCAACCAGTAGGCCAGCCTTAGAAATGAAACCTAAAGCACTCATTGATCACTCATTAATAGAAATTTTCGATAAATAATTATTTGACCTGATCTTAATTATGATAGTAACTATAAAAAAATCACCTAATCAAAGAAACTAAATTCGTCGACAAAATTTGATGGATGATATCATATCTAAATTAATTCAACTTAGAAAAAGACAACCTAAAATTGATATCCAAATTGATGGTGATGCGAATTGAAAAAATGTTTTAGTTGCTATTAAGCAAGAGCTTATAATAGTGTCTGGTAGTTGAAGGATATTCTATGAATATTTACATAGTTGATAATGAGATCCATCATGCTCTATTATAGGAAAGATTGTGGATAGTAAGATTTCAAATTTTAAGTTAATATTGTATATTAATCCTAATTATTAAATCCCTTTTTTAATAATAGCAAAAATATTCTTTTGTTCCCACTTTATTTCCTCAAAGTATTATTAGATATCTTAGGAGTAGCATCGAATTCAAATAATAATATATATAAAGTTCTCCTGTCTGCTATTTAAATTAACTCTAATTTTTATTGGGGATAATAATTAATTGATAGAATTAATTCTTAATATAAAAATATCAATATCAATCTGCGCAAACATATTCTTTTGCTCAAAAACTAAATGCTATACTCAAAACTATTGATGACCTAAATTATTCTTTCCAAAACCTAAAAAATTTTATCTAAAGTAATTGGGCTCTCATCTGGTTAGATTCGCCATTATACATCTCTTTATATGTGATTCTATTATATCATTAATCAATTCTAAACATCATTCGTTCTAATTCTCTTAAATCAGTACGGGAATTTAGATTTTCAATAGTATTAAACTAAAATTAATAAGAACATTTATTTATAATTTATGATTATGTACACATTCATTTTGTAATTGCATATATTCCTGCGCCAATAGCCAAAATCAAAAGAATAAAAAATATTAAATTTGTGCTTGTTCCACTTCCGCTCACATTTGGTTTTACTCCTTCCATATACTTAAGTATGTATACCTGTTATCACACCCACTTATAATTTTTCTAATTATTTGTAAGCACTCTGAGAATGGTTTGCATCATGGAATACAGAAGTGGCATCATCGCCAGCTTTTCCCAGCAATATTGCAGGACCACCTGGATGTTCATCCTGAAAATCTGTAACATCGTACACTTTCCCTTCTATAGCAATCCATAGGTCTTCCTTTTTATTATGTAGTGCTAATTCTTCCCATGAAATTTAACGATTTGGATTTACATTAGCCTAAATGTTGATCATTAGATTCCTACTTTTTGTTTCTGAGACTTCACTTGTTTTATGTAATCACTTGGTTATGGATCTGAGGTAAGGGTTCCAACTAATCTAGCATTTCTGAGGGAGCGAGCATAATTTGAATGGTTCACCTCTAGAAATTTCTAAGTCCCATCCAATCCACCATATTTAAGCAGAATATCATCACCTCCTGGATGTTCTGCCAAATATGTTGTTACATCAAACACTTATCCCTCAATCACAACCCAAAGGGATGTACGATTACAGTGATTTGATAGTTCATCCCACCCTATGATTCGCTTCTCTTCTATCATTTTATCACAAAAAATCTAATTAAATTTATCTCATTTTCTGAATAATTGTGTATCTCTTTTAATATTAATAAATTTGTTCTATATTTTAGATTTTTAAGGTCTCCAATTTTCATCTTTCCATAAAATGAATAATATTATATTGATAATTAAATTGAATTAGAAAACTAGTATCTTAATAAATCCATAATATAGAAACAATAATTAACCAATTAACCAATCAAATTACTATTAGAAACTTTTCTCTGACTCTGGCTCTGCATAAGGGACACTCCAATTTTGTCTATAGCCATTATTTCCAACAGTCCTAGCAGGCCACATGACCGCATTTCTCAGATTTACACATAGTTTTGTCTGGAGTATTTGACCAACAGATGACACATTTCAATTCCTCCACTTCAACTTGATTATCACTTTTATTCACATCCTTGGATTCAGTCTACCCAATCAATTACTCAATTGTAATCTTTTCACACTGTTATTCGACTGGAAGAGATTTCTTTTACGGGTTGTATAAGTCTCCTAACAAGGTTTTATTTAACATTATTTTCCTCTTAGACGTTTGGATTTGAACTGGCTATTTGAAGTGAAGCTTGAAGGTTTAACATTTTTTGCTCTCAACTTTTTAAGTGTCTTTTCGATTCTCATTTAAGTTCTCTGATCTTACTAAAGCTGAAACTTACTAAGGAATATCACTCATTTATTTACTTTCTTTAATTCGTTGATAACATCGGGGAAACTTAAAACATTGGGAAAGTTCTGATCCTTCCACAATAATTTCTATTGGAATTTTTCATCCAAGACGATCAAATTACAGGGACACAAGGGATCAAGTATGTGTTGTAATCTTGAGATATTTCTGATTGCATTTACCATACTAAAATATTTCCTATCATACTTTTAATGTTTGAATTTATTACATTATTTTTTAAATTCTTTAACCATTCTAATTTTAAGTTTAATTGCACTTAAGGCAATGATTCATGTCCATTCTCCTAATAGTACATAAATTAACTCGCCCAGGGTACTCCCAATAAAAACACTGTTATTTGAGTTTAATTTTTCAGCGTTTAAGGATGTTTGAGTTGATAATCTAATTATTTTTAGATGGCTTCCTGCAATTGATCCAAAAATAAATCGTTAAACACTGTATAAATGGAAGGCATTGTATCGCCAACTATTGTGTTGGATCTACATTTGGTTAGAAAGAGACGAATGATCTCGTAGATGCTTTTCCTCTATAAAGTATTAATAAGAAATACATTCTAATATTTGATCCATTGGAATTCTTTATTTACACCGAGGGATGAGAGTATGGAATGTTGACTCCAAATATCCTAGCATTTTTGCATAAAGGATTTAGAAGAAAATAGAGTAATGAATCCATGATCATTTATTTGATAATTGACTTATTAAAACTATTTACCGATCTCAAGTACCATAGCATCGAAATTTTATTCAGTTTTATTTAAATAGTCAATGTTGTAATTTTGGACTTTGCTGATGAGTGTTTGATTGATTTTCAATTCCTGAACTGGGATTTAAGGGTAAAATTAGAAATTGATGTTAAATTCAGTCTTATACAATTTAGCGGGATACGAGTGTTAAGTGATAATAACAATATTCTAAACGCCATTGCTTAACAACTTGTTCATACCACATAAAGGACTCAAACATAAGAGATTCAAGTTGTATGAGTTTTAAATAGCATCTATGAATAGCACTAATTTGTAATCTCTGTAATTCTGTTGTTCTGTAGCTTAGATGGATTTATCCACTGATACTTTGTCATTGGTTGAAACAAGTACTTAATTGTTGAATTGTTATTGTTAGCTTATTAATTCATGTTCATTTGAGTCTTATAATTCAAATGTTTATTTGATAAAAATGTACCATTGTTGGAATAGATGTCTTTAGGGTAGATTGAAAATGTCATCCAAGTATTACTCATAATTTGAAGAATCAATGCAAGGATATTTGGATTGTTTAAAAGTCCCAGTGGATTTAACAAAGTATTGTTATAACTAAGAAAAGAATTGTGAATCTGGGATTTTTTGGGTGCATTGCGTTACTAAGGAGGCAATCTTATTGGATTCAATTATAAATTCATCCTTTTGATTGTTGAGAGTCTAATAGTAAACAAATGGGTTACTTATGTGTATTAGACTATTCTGTTTCCGAATGCTAGGATTGGCATTAAAATGTCATATTATTATTGAGTAAGAGTACAAACTTGAAAGTTATTGTTGGGCTGAAATTATTTAGTGAGTAATTTTAGTTTGCTATTCATTTGTTAATCCCACTTTGGTGTGGTTTTTTAAGGACTAAAGAGTGCTTTGATCATTTAGGATATGGTATGAGAACTAAATGAGGCACTCATTGCCTTCTCTAATTTGAGGGGTAAGTCATGTCCGTCTTCAAAGATGAGGGTGGCATTGTTGAATTTTTGGAAGAACTACCATATCCACACACATCACTTACCAGATTATCAAATATATCCTAATGTGTTCCAACTCTAAATGTGGTTTGATGATTTCTGAAATATTTGTAGGAGCAAACTGATTCGAATTCGAGTTGTTTATGCATAGTTTCCACATCCACAAAATCGTAGATGTGAGTTAGTTGCTTGTCCTTATCACAAGTCCGTTCGCATAATTGTGTAATTATGGTCATGTCTTTTTTGAATGGACTGTGACAGAGAGACGTGAGACTCCTGGTGAGATAGAAGTAGTGCTCCAAATCATGCTTAGTTTGTTACCAGAAGGAAAAGGCGGGGAGCAACAGAGACCCACTTTCGATGATTGCATTTTCTTGCTTCTCCAAAATTTACTCGATATTCATTATATTAATAATATTAATTTAATTGTCTAAATGGATGAGAAGAGTGGAGAGTGCGAATAAATTAATCATGCAAATAATGCTATAATATATAAACATATGTTAATTAATATTAATTGTAAAATATACAAGCCGCAAAGATGAATTCGAAGTATTTGATAGCCAGTCTACACAGGAGTTTGTGTTATTTGACATATTGTTTGATACAGCTGATTATTTCGACAGTGCTGCTCGTTTATGTAGGATAATGATTGAGAACATTAGGTCATTTGGGATCGACACAAGTACCCTTCAGATTGATATATTTAGAGTTTGGAGAACCCTCTTGTTTTGATTTGCGAAGGAGTGTTGACTTTCACAATTTGCACAGACTTAACACTCAAAGTACTGATGGAAGGAAGAGTATTATAAATTAATATTTTATATTTTAATTAAAGGAATTCTTCACAACAGCCTGGAATGTGTTAGACTTTTGTGCATTTTTGTCAATCATCTTGTGTATAAGATTGCAATATGAAGTGTATTACGATGAGATTTTTGGAATTTCCCTAATTTCTATGCGTTACTTGTCACTAACAGTCAGAATGGTAGTTCTTCTCAAATAGTATATCTTTGTTCTCCATTTACTAGGTCTTATTTTGTATAGATGATGCAACAACAGCGAGATATTTTAATTTTTAAAAGATCCAAAAATTAAGATCTCAGTATCTTGGATATGAGTTCAGAGATATTAAATGATTCCCAATTTGTTGAAACTATGAAACTTGTTAGTGAATGATATTATAAATAATCAATTTTATTTCATTTTTAAATAAGATATTTAAAACAAATTTCCTTTTCTTCATTTGAAACATTAAAAAAAATTAAATTAAATCTCTAATTCACAAGCCACTCAACATGCATCCCCATGCTTTTCCTTATAAATTCGCATAATACCCTTACCAACACCCTGTGTACCTCTACCAATAATATTTACCACAACCAAATTACAATTACTATAATTTTCAACATTACAAACCCCCCATATATCATTAGACACAAATGCCCACTCAATAACCCAAAATTATCATCATCTCAGACGACGAAGAATGTGTGTCTGCACCAAAAATCGACAAGCCACTCCCCGCCAAGACCGTCAATACAACTCAGACCTAAAAATAAATAGCCAAATTGCTGGACCTTGATACACTCGAAGCTCAAGGGAAATTGTACGACTATGAAAGTTCCCAATCCCCTCCATTACCAAAAAGAATTATCAAAAAACCCCAAAAACCACTTTATAGACCCTAGAAGAGAAAAGTGATCAAGACTCGCAGAGAACCCATTCGACACTCCTATTAGAAGATCAAACAGGTGCTGATTGGAGCCGAACGACAATTGTTGCACTATCCTCAATCCAATGTGAAGGCCAAATTCATCAGAGTGTATGAAAAACAAGAAGATAAATGTATGTATCATTGGCTACATCGACCTAGTTTCTAAATTGTTTGATTCATTAAAAGCCAATTTTTCAGAAGCCAATGACGAAGACATTGCAATCATTCTCAATATGGTTGGCAAAGATTACCAAAAGGCTGAAACATTCATCAATGAAAACGGACTGTTCCTCCAATCTTACCTTCAAAGTAATAAAATCATTTCAATTCTAGACTATAAGGATTTATCGGAAGATGACTCTACTATCAAAAAATGAAAAACACAAAACAACAATGATATTAAATATAACATATAATAATTAATTTCATGAATTTCAAATGCGTTGTTGCCATTAAAACTAAAACTAATTGCAAATGCAATATTAAAATTAATGAAATCTCCAAACCATTAGAGTTACCCTCTCAAGAAGCCCAATTTTTTGACATTTCGTAATTATACCATCATAACTTAAACCAAGTCAAATTCCTGATCACATTCTACTCGACTTCGAAAACATAGCTGTGCTTACCATTCCAGTACCCAAAGAATAGAACGACGAAATTGAACTGACCGACACCTTCCAATTAAAAGACTTGAAAGGCAAATATTACATCCTGTTTCTACTCTCCAAAGACATCAAATTCGAAGCAAACCAATCCCATCAGAGTCCCCTGAGACATTACCTAAAGTCCTACAAGACCAGAACCAAGGAGAGACAGCAAAAGGCCAAGACTCAATAATTAATCAATTAATAGCCTAATTCCACAAAATAACAGAACTAAAATGAACTCCTTAAACAACAATACGAAACCGTCAAAGAAGAGAACAAACTCCTGAAAATGAGAGAACGAAACGACTACTTGAATGAATTAGAAATAAGTCAAGCCAAAAGAAAACAATTGCAATAATTTATCTCCTAATTGTCCGAAGATCTAACAAATTAGAATGAATCACTGCAAGAAAAGCATATCCGATTATCCAATGAATTGATTGAGTTGCAGTAGAGGTTCGATGATCTCCAATCACTTTCCATAGAACAACAATTGAAAATCGAATAAATGCATGAAATCATCCAAGACAAATAGTCCTCGGTATCCCATCTGCAATCCTAGATTGAAAATCAAGATCAAAATAAATAGATGCTCCAACTCTATGCCAAATAGAAGAAGGATCTCGAATAAGTCTTACAGTAGGTTTCCAGTTAATATGAGAAGGATTTGTTGGACAAACAATAGCAAATTCAGAGATTGAAAAATGATGAAGTAGTTATTTCATTATAAAAATAGGTCAATCTCCTGAAAGAGAAGGAGCAGAAATTAGAATTAGAGAATGAACTCTTAAAATAGAAAATTTAATCATAAGATGAATAATTAGAGGGATTGAACAATTACATCAATCAATAAAAAGTCAAATTGAGTTTGGTGGAGTAGAAAAACTGTTAGAACTAAATATTCGAGTAATTGAATAATCAATTAGAAAAAGAAATAATTAACAAGGATAAATAGATTTATAAATTATAAGATGATATTTCACTTCTGTAAAGACAGATAGGTTTCTAGCAATTCCATTAGAATGATGAATACGAAAAAGAAATCAGGTAATTGAAAGAATCAATCGCAAAATAGCTATTACAAATCAATTCTTTGGAAAGCGAAAATACTAAATTAAAAACTGACAACCTAAAAATTGCTGTGCTTCACCAAAATTTATAATCTCTTAAGATTTAATATTCAATCCCTGATTTTCCTGACTTAAAACCAATTAATTCAAAAGTATCCTAATTTCAATCCCAAATAGAAAACCAAATTAAAGAGGTACGTTTGCTTTATGTTATAAATTAGTTAAATAATTTAAGATAAACCATTTTTGACCTCAGTAAGAGACATGATGAAAAGGAGCTGCACAATTCACAATTGAAGACTATGATGACTCAAATTGTTGAATCCAATTAAGCCTATATGCCAGCAAAGGGAGATGACTTGGATTAGCAAATAGCTAATTTTATAAACAATAGAGTGGATAAAGAGAAATACATCCCCTTACTAAAAAGACAATCTGACGGAGTCTATTTATATGGACACAAAAGAATATTTATCAAATAGGAGTAGGGCAAGATTTTGATAAGAAGTGGAGGAGGTTATTTAACTATTGAAGAGTTCCTTGGGCTAAATGAGAGTAAGATGAAAGATCTAACCACTGATGTTATTAAGAGACAAGCAATACAAAAAAAGACTGAAAGAATGAAAACGATTACTTGAATTAAGGCAATTATTGTATGTATATATATATATATAAATTATAATTCGTAATTAAAATTCATTAATCAGCCTGAGATAATATAATCAATTTATTAAAAAATGTGAGCAATCTTAATGAATTAAATTATTTATGATACTCAATAAATTAAAGAATCAGCCTAAGTGGTATTTAAAAAAGGATTGGAGAATTAAAACCCAAATACTTGTTGCTTATCTGATCGTTTATTTAATTATCTTTACTATTCTAACAACTGCGGTAATGATCTCCTAAAATTACTTGCATGAGATGCTCACTTTATTTTCACACCAAGTATTTTTGAAATAAACAAAACATTCTTTATAGTACCAGTGGGTATACAAAAGAGGTTTAGAAGAAACTTTAATGCAAACTGCATAATAGATTTCATTTGTCAGGGATTTCAATTAGCTTTTCGACTCTCTCCTTACTAATCAAACTTTCAAAACAAAAGAACACCCGATGATGTGTTTAAATGACCCGAGACAAAATGACTCATATTGTTACACTAGCTCTGTGTCTTGTGGTATCTTTGGAAAACCTATAAGTAATTTGAAAAATTTGGGAGTTGAGGACATCTTGCAAACTACTTCAGTTTTAACTTCATTTAGATATCTACTAGATGGCAAATCGCCTATCTATTATTTTAATAACAACAATATCACTTAATTATATTGTATTACTCTTGGATTACAGTTTCCAAAAATCTTTAATCCCATCAAAAGATAATACTACCTCGATCATTTAAAGGCTTCTGCCAACGCTACCGATCCCAAAGCCATTTACATAGTTAATCCATACACAATAATCACTAATGCAATAAACTTTCCTATGACTACCAATTTACTTGATAAAAACAATGGTATTCTCGGTATCATCGTAAAAGGCATTGAATTAGACTATGCAACCTTATCTAAATTTAATGGTAATAACACACAAATTTTAATAATTGATAAGAATGGCAAAGTGCTTTTATCAGAGCTTTATAAAATTAAAAGCCAACCCATATATTATTTAAATGAACCTTAGTTCTCTGGTTTTGATAATACCGACCTTTAACAGATATTTTTCCATCATTATTAAAAAGAGTTTGTAAGTAATTGCAATAATGTTATTTCCACTAATATATTGTGTAGATATAACTCTCTAGATAAAGATAATCTCATAATTGAGAGCAAGAACATTTCGAATTCTCCATTTATAATGGTAATGCTCTAAAAAACAAATTTTATTGTAAAATAAGAAGCTGAATTTTTGGAGATATTAGCCGAAGTATTTAGAGAGGATATTCGCATGACTATAATATTGGCTTTGGTTATTCCTCTAATCATATTATTTTGCTCATAATTCCTTATTAACATTATTTTAAAATAATTGAATGGAATCATTTATGATGTTAAAGCCTTCCTATTTAGCAACAAGAAAGAGTACATGTCAAAACAATTATTTAAAAAAAAAAGTATCATTATATCAGAAACCATCATTGACTTCTAAGCAGCAATAATAAATTTATTCTAGAACCAAGCAACGTTTAGAAAATCTGACGAATGTATTTCTGTAGAAACTATTTAATTTCCAGTTAATACTAGGCTTTACAAGTTTTTAGTGAGACAACTCTAATTTATTATATAATAGAAAAGATTGAGGAATAATTGTATACCAGATAGTTTGAAATTATTTGAATTAAAAAAAATACTGTTCAAATGATAACTTTTTCTATAATATATTACATATTTCATATCTCAACTTTGAACTCCTTAATATCTCTCGACGTCTACTAAATGATTCAGCCTAAATTTAAAATTTTGATACATTCTTATAATTTCATTCTAAGTTTTTAATTCATACTATTAAAGTTCTAGTTGTACCATATATTTTATAAAACCACCAAATAATCTTTCTATTCATCTTCATCTCATCATATTTGAGTGTGTAAAGTAGAAATTACAATCAAATATTTCTGATTTTATCTCACTTTATTGTATTTTCTTTCTTGCTCTTTTCATTCAAATTTTGCTTTCATTCAAATTTTTGCTTTCATTCATCGAATCATAAGACTTTTTGTAAAGTGAAACAGACTGATAGATGTTTTATAGATATTAAGTTTAAGGTAGATATAAATTAAGACTAAAACAGTTAAAATTTATCTTAAGTTTTTGTAAAAATGGTCGTTAGAATAAAATATCTAATGATTTGATCTGGAAGGATGATGAAGAATGTCACAGAAATCATAAATATGTAACTAAAAAATTAGTGAATCAAATTTTGAACTAAATTTAGTTAACAAGTTAGTTCAAATATTAATAAATCGAATTTCAGTCCAATGTTGTTTATAAGCTGAGAATATAGTTGAATAGAAAATAATAAAATCATTAATGTTTTCTAGTGCTTTAAGCTAGATGTTGGAGATAAAGAATAAGGAATATGATGTCAAGCTCATAAAGTAGAGCATGAATAAATTAAACTAAATTGAAATGATGGCTCTATTGGAGATGATACACCATTATAATCAATGTTAACAAAAGGACCAATAAAAAGATGAACTGTTCAATGAATTACACTGCATTCTTTAAAGTTAATTGACAACCGATCGTAGAGCTGTGACCAATACCAATAACTTTTTAGAATACAAAACTAAATGCAATGCCACAAATACCGGCGTTATGATTCTCAATCATCAGGGATAATTTGGTATACTTATCCATTAATGCTAGTTCTGTCTGATCATATATCTAGAAACATTTTAGAAATAAACTCAAAAGAAGAACTCGAACAAAAGAACTTCTTCTCACTTATCAGCAAAGCCTCGGAACAAAAGCTCAGATAGATCCTCAAAAATAATTGTTTCTTGTAAAGTGAACAAACTAAGGGTTGTTTTGATATTGCCATCTATTCAGACAGAAATCGAAAGAAAAGTCTTAAGTACTTAAATCAAATGGCACAAGTACCTTTGAAAAAGAAGATTAAAAAAAATATGACTGAAAGTAATAATGCCTATTAATTGTTTATTAGATGTGAAATAATTGTAGAAGGAACAAATGTTAATGGCGAAGTATTTAAAACCAATTAAGGTCACTATGTTGAAAGTCAGTGTTCAAATTCATCAAGACTTTATTGAATCGTTCGCAGATTCAAATGATATAATTTTAAGTAATTTGGATGTTTTGGCTTAAAACAATGCAAATTAGTTGGTCATTTGTGAAGTCAGAGAGGTAGATTCCCACCTAGGGTTGACTGTTTAAGAATTGCTCTCAGATCCTTACATATCTAAACATGAAAGTACTCAAATTATTTAAACTTAGTTAAATGGAACAGAAGAGTAAGAAAGTTTAAAGGATAGATTTCAGATGACGAGTATGAACTTTGATGTATTATTTGTGTAATTATAAACTGCCTTAATACTTAAGTATCATCATTTTGTCATATTTAATAATTCAAAAGAACATGTTAAAATGAAATTAATTCTAACAAATAATTGATCATTTTTTAAACATAAATAAAAATGAAAAAAATGGGAACAATGGGGATCGAACCCATGACATTAAGATCTTCAGTCTTACGCTCTCCCAACTGAGCTATACTCCCAAAGTTAATATAATCATGCTTAATTCATTAATGAACTAGTTGAGGATATAATTGATGAAAATATTTTGAAGTGCAATTAATACTGAAAAAGAAATTTCAGTTAAAATATAGGTAATTTATATTATTTGTTTTTTAGTGTAATTCTAAGATGACGATTTAATTAAAATCTAGTTAATTTGCTTAAATTAATAATACTATCTTTTCTGGATTAATGTGGTTATCAATTCGATTAAAATACACGAATAATCCATTATAATTAAATTAGTAATGAATCAAAAAATTTGGATTAAGATACCCAAGAATATTAACTTAAACAGCCACGAACAGATGAAGTTCACCCTAAAAAAGTAGAATCATAAGCAAAGAGTCCTATATTGTTTTAATCAATATATATTGTACGGAAAGGTGTGTATAAAATATTTTATGAAAGGTTGGATGTGTCCCCAAAAAATACCTAAAATTAGATTTCGATGCAAAGTTTGAGATACTCTACTCTTAGAAAAGTCGGAATGGGGATGAGGACTGCTTAAATTAGATAATAGGCATCTCCTTCAACTTAGATCGTGAAAATAGGATATTTAGTTAAAAGTTAGGAGGAGGGGAAATGTAAATCAAAGAGTTAAGAGATTTTTTGAGATCAAGGATAAATTAGTACAAATTTCATGACTACTTCAGAGTTTTGAAAAAAATAGGAAAAGGCAATTTTGCATCAGTATAAACGATTAATTAATAAGGTTTATTTTATAGAAAGAATTGAAGATGGGGAATAATTCGCAGTCAAAGTATTTTCAAAATAAGTGGCTTATGGTGAGGAGAATGGAAAGGAGTCAATCTTAAACGAAATCAAAATTATGAGGGAGTTAAATAGTGAGCATTTAATGAAATTGAATGAAGTGTTTGAAAGTGAAAATTTCATTTATATGGTGTTGGAATTGCTATCTGGAGGTTCATTGTTTGATTTGGTTGGACAGAAAAAGTTATTTCAATTGTAAGAAGTCTAACAGTTACTTGCAGGCCTCCTGTTGGGATTAAAGGATATGCATCAAAGAGGAATTATGCACAGAGACATAAAATTAGAAAATATTCTATTCAAATCTCAGAAGTAAATTGAAGAATTATTTTTATTAGTGAATTACCCTCAGTAGTATTAGCAGACTTTGGGTTGGCTACTCATGTTAATTAAAATAAATATTTATATTATAGATGTGGAACTCCAGGTTATGTGGCTCCAGAAGTAATTAATAACAAGGATGGAAAATTAAAATACACATCCATTTGTGATATATATAGTCTGGGTCTAGTGTTTTACATCTTGCTATCTGGAAGACCTGCTTTTCCAGCTAAAACATATAGAAGAATGATCAAGCTAAACCGAGAGGCTGTGATCGATTTTTCCATAAAATAATTTGAAAACTTACCAGATGATGCAATGGATCTGTTGAAAAAAATGTTAGAAAAGGACCCTAAATTGAGGATAGATGTTTCTGCTTGTTTAAATCATTCCTTCATCAGTGATGTTGCCAGAAAAATGGAGGATACTGAAATAAATGAAGATAGCGATAATGATTTGGGTTAAACTGATGAGAGATCAGATGTTGGAAAAAGAATCAATTAGATTAATAAAAAGTACAGTCGAAGAATATTTTAGATATTTTGTATTTGAAGCAAGTAAACATGTGAACTCTCCAAACTTATCATCAGATGATTCAAATGAAAATATCATATAGTCTGCTACAAAAAGACAAAAGGAGATTGATTCAACACTATTGCTATCTGGTCAATCACCATCATTCAATGCCAAAATTGAATCAATTGGAAGTGTTCATTCTATTGATATTTACTCTCCATAATTAAGTCATCAGTCATCTCCGGCAGTTAAATAGTCTAAATTTGGTTTGAATACATAGAAAGGTAAATAACCAGTTCTCAAACATATCACAAAAAATTGATTTTAATGTATTAGTGAATTAATTATATTATTCATTTTCTAACTTAAGTTTTGAGGATGAAATTTGACAACCTCATCAGTAACCCTTATCTACTAGAATAAGAATTCTTTTATTAAAATTGAGTTTCTTTGAAATACTCAAATATCATAGAATAAAAAATATAGTTCATGAGAGTATTAAAGAGAATAAGAAATATGGAATAAACTTATGTTGCTAAAATGACTGTACAAGACTCACCTAATGAAATTGCAGAAATTGCTTCTGGGCAATATTTTTATGTCTCGTGATCTTATTAATGAAGATGTTCCTATAATTTGAACGTATTTATACTGTTTGAGAATTCATTAGATAAATTGTGAACATTTAAAGCTCATAATGTAATCATGGGATAAGCCTTTTGTTGAATTCTTAAGCTGTTTCAATTCTGTTGGAAGTTTGCTAGATTTATGGTTGAATAACTTGAAGATGATGTATGAAAAACATCAATCTTTAGAGTAATTGGATGATGGAACTTATAGGGTTACATACATTTATCATATGAATAGGGAATAAGTGTTCAAGTATTGAAAATTCAGTTTTCTAACAATAATGGCAAGTTGGGTTTATCTTCAATAATCAATTTAAACTTCTTTTGCTATTATGGGGTTCATGGAAGGTTTTTTATAGTAGATACATACAGTAGTGAAGAAATTAAATTAAAGGAAAGTCTATCAGAGAATCTATTCATATAATTGAAAAGTTATAAAATTTAAACAGCAACGTGAAGATATAGTAGACAACAATCTTCAGATTCATTCAATTAGAGGGATATTCATAAGAATTCGGCATAGATTAGAAACAAAATTTAAGATTAAAAGTCAATTTAAATTAAGAAGTAATTGATTAAGATTCAGAAGTACTATCTAAGGATACAAATTTCAAAACTGAATGTCCTTGAATTATCTAAAAATAAGTCGATTTGATATTATTTATGATTATTTAATAATTTAATATTTATGAATTAGCAATAAGAGGATAATAGAAATACTAAATCATATTGCTTGAATTGCAAAAAAAGGGAGAATTTTTATTTTGTCAAAAGAATTACGAATAGATTAATCTCGGCAATATGCGAAGATTGTTACTAAATGTTAACTAAGGATAAGGATGAATATATAAATATGAAGGATTTTAGAAATTATCAATTAGAAGTACTATAAACTACTTAACCTTTATTATATTTTTCTTCTGAAATAAGTAGCAAAGTTTATGATAATCTTATTTTAACAGATGAGTAGAAGTCTATATTGAAGCACTTGAGTGAGAAATTTAATGAAATTGATAAAATGTTAAGAGAAGTAGAATAAGGACGTTCAGAATCTATTTCTAAGTTGTTGTTTTCGTTTCAAAATAATATATAAGAAAAATAACACAATGATTTATTAATAACCCTAAAGTTAGAAAAGTAGATGAATTTTTTGGAAAAAATTGATGTCTATAGATTTAGAAATGAATAGGATTATTATTTTGGAGGCAATTTTCAGATATATCTACAAAATTTTTTAATGAAATCTATGAACAATGAATAATAAAAAACAATTAAACAGATCATCACTAATTGCATAGATTTTCCACTTTTTTTACAAATAGTTGGTGAGAAATTCAATGATACCTCATAATAAGAGTTTATTAAGTAAAATTATTATGGATTCCTCAATCATGGAAATTAAAAAGAAGGACTTGGCTTTTGGAATTAAAAGAATTAATTATTTTATGGAATATTTTATAAGGATATTTTTCTTTGGGGGATCAAAGTAATTATTTATTCACCAAATTAATTCTCCTTATTCAAGGGTTTCTTCTCAAAATGCTCAGAAGTTGATGGAGAAAATTATTTACTAAATGGAACTGGAGAAATGAGTTCAATTGATGAGAATTGGGCATAGCATGAATATCAAGGAAGATTCACTAATGAAAAGAGACAAGGAGAAGGTACATATACTTGGAAGTCTATGGATAATAAGGAAGCGAAATACACTGGATCCTGGCTAAATGATTAATATCACGGTTAGGGTACTCTAGTGATATAAGATTAAAATATAACTATACAAGGAGAATTTAGCTTTGGAGATCCAATTTACCAAAATTGTGAAATAACAGGTAAAGATATACCACGACAAACTTTGAGTAACTATGTAGTCTAAAAAACTAAATAGACCATAAAGAACAAATTTCCTTTATAGCAACAACCTTAAATGAAAATTAATTTTACTACATTGTAAAATACACAGATGTAGCCACCATTTGCCATTAGCAAAACCCCTTCAAACTCATCAAGAATACCTCAATTTACACCTCCATAATAACCTCCAAAACTGTTAAATTAAACAATTCAAAATCCTCTTCCAATTAAGCAGAACTTAAATTAAGCAAACTAAAAATAACCATGAGTTTTATTGAATTAGAAGTTAACAGATATATTATATTACATTGATATACTCATAAATCTAAACGCTTCCCTATTTTTTCTTGAAGTTAGACTTCTGTTAATGTCTACATCTCTTCATAAAATTAGTTAAAATCCATGTTTATGTCTTTAAATTCTAAATATGGATTTAAGCAGATAACGAAAAACCACCCTAACTAAAGTAAATCTTTATAAGAAGAGTCAGTTTCTTTTGTTTGTTTGATCATAATTTTAATAGTTTCTAAACTTTCTTATACTACTTATTAGTACAATTATTAAAAGTACGTGTTTTAATCAAAATTAACATCCAAGACTTACTTAATCTTCGTAGCTCTTTTATTATCAGGTTACGCTAATTCCTTTTCAATTATTTATTTTTCCTTCTTGTAAATTTCTAAATAAAAATCTTCTGTATGTTTGATATCATTTTTGGTGACTGTCAGTATCTTCTTATATTCCTGGCTGATTAAATATCTTCCCCAAGTCTCTCTATCAAATTTTTCTGGGTTCTTGGACATTAATTAATCAGACATTCGTTTGAGATGCACATTTTAGTTTTTGGAGATACAAAATATAGTCGTATAATAGAGTTCCTAAGTCAATTTCAAAATTCCTTGATGTGACATCTTAATTACCTTTTGGATGACATAATTAAAAAAGAATGCAATATTTCTTTCAAATAAAAAGTACGTATTGTATTTCAGCATGGCCTTGCGTCTTTTTTGCTCAGTGTCGTATTGATTGATTATTTGTAATCCCTAATAATGACACACGGAATACTTTTTCATTATTAATATCATCAATTGACTATTTTCCATCATCACTCTAAGCAGTTTAAGGAGAAGAAGGTTCTTGAACGACCTATTCAGGTTAATCGAGATATCCGACAACTAAATTCATTTCCATATACAATTTGTTCAAACTCTCAGATCGAGATAATTCATCCTTTTCTTTCATCAACTGCTCTAAATTATTCTTTATTTATGCTTCTTAGATCTGAATAATCTCATGATGAAAGATTTGTTCCCATGAGAACCTATCCTATTTATAGCGAAGATTAAGTTACTTTCTCTGACACAACCAACATCTGTCTTAGCAATTGCTTTATCTTATCACTTCTAACAGGAGCATCTGGGATCAATAAGGCATTTTTCTTTATATTTTGCAATAGATTATATTGACTATCTCCATCCCATGGGGGTTTGCCATAGAGCATCTCGAACAACATAATGCCCATAGACCAAACATCACATTTCGATGAAAAGGGCTAACCTTCCAGAATTTGCGGAGCCATGTATAAAGGAGATCCAACTCTTGAGAAATAAGCAGGATCTATTATTAATAGAGATATGAATTACCATTCATTCCAGTATCAATAACTCTAGCAAAACCAAAATCTGTAATTTTAGCAACTCCTTTATGCAATAATATGTTGGCTGGCTTTATGTCTCTATGTATTATTTTAAGTTGGTAAAGTGTTCGGAATCCTTCAACAAGATGCTTCAAGAAAATTACTGCTTCAACCTGATCAAAGTAAATACAATAATACTTCGCTGAGTCTTCTCCCATATTTAGTTGACAAATACTTTTTTAAATCTCCATCATGACAATATTCCAAGAATAAATACAAATAATGGGGTGTTCGAGCAACATCATATAATTTTACAATGTGAGGATTATTAGCTGATTATAAAATTGAAATTTCTCTTTTGATATGTTCCACCATCTTAGAAGAATCCTTGATACTCTATACGACTATTCACATATTCATACTGCTATTGAAATTGCCTTCACTGCTACTTGTTTGGTTTCATCATTTTTCTTAAAACCTCTAAAGACTGTTCCAAAGGCTCCACTTCCTAATTTCTTATTGACAATAATGTATTTGTCAATTTATTTAGTAGTCCAATGTTCAGACATTTATATGTATATTTATAATATTACTGTTTTATAGTTTTCTCATTTTATATTAGATGTTCTACAAATTTCAATTAGAAACCGACAATCAAGATTTAATAAGTTAATGTGTTTATTATACTGTATAGATATTAATCTACTCAATCGTCAGATCATTCTTTTGGCTAGATCATTGATAAGATCTTCTCTGTTTCCCCAATCTCCTTGGTTGATGAATGATCTTCTCTTGGCTATGAACCCTCCTCTTGGTCCTCTCAATTTGAATGCCCTATTGTGTTGATAGCTTCATTTTCATACCACAAAAATCTGTTTGCTTCTTTGAAATGTGGTCCCACTGTTGTGATTTCATGGATAAGATCTTCAATGCCGTGAATACCTAATTTTCCAAGTTATTAATCAATTATGTTGTTGGATGTCAATGGAATTCTTTGACCATTCACTTTGGCATATCCTCTCTTGTAAATCAAATTCTTGATGACTGTCCTTGATGGATATCCATAAGTGATATATGGCTCTACTTTTCTGATCATCTCAATGGTTGCTTTATTGATTCTAACAAATGCAGCATTATGCAATTATCTCAATTTCAAAAGTCTTAGTGTTTGTCTCACCTATGGGTTCAATGTGTTGATACTAAAATTAATCCTCATTTTTCATACCCTCTAATTCTAATGACAAGCATCAACTTAGCCTCAGCTGGAACATAAAATCCTCCTTCACTCTTTGCCTTACGAATGCTATCAACTAAACCCTTTTCTGATGCCTTGTATTCTGCTTCATAAGCTTGGGCACTCTTCTCCAATTAAGCTCTTCTAACTTTGTTCTATCCCAATCTCTCTGCTCTTCTTTTGACAACGAGGTCTCTTAATTTTGAATCTCTTTATGTTTTCTTCACAATACTCTCAGGCACTTTTTATCTAAATTAGTAGAATTGCATACTCCACTTGAATTTAAGCTTTCTTTTACGACATTTTAAAGAATATTTAAAATCTTTAATTTTAAAATCAAAATCACTTTTAATTTGTGACAATTTATTTTTATAGACAGAGATCCATTTATTCGCAATATAATTAAAAAAGATAATTGATGTTCATTATGGCTATTGCTGCTTCCCAAACAAACTTTCTAAAACCCTATAAGGTCCCCTCTAGTCTATGAACAAGTTCAATTTTAAATGATTTTTATTGTACTCCCTAACATCAATCGTCCCAATCATATTCTTAAGATACTTCTCCAAGTCCAACAATTCTTTATCCTCCTTATTGTCGTAAAATGGAATGATAGGAATTCCATTATCCAACTACCAGGCATAAGAGTAAGAAGCATTGTCAATCAAAGCTACTTAACTCAGGGGTCTATTGGTGTTGTCACAGAAAATTTTCAAGTCCTTTGTATACAATGAGTTGTTTGTCAAAGTACAACTATCGCGATACAAACGATGACTTATGATATTCTACTCCGGATCCAAAAAATTACAGACCTCAGCATAAAATTTCTATTACTTTCTCTGCATAGCAATTATGAGATGCTGTGAAGATGATGATTTCAAAACTTTTCGATAAGTTCCTCAGCAATTCCTTGGCATAAGGGCGAATATTTATTCCAGCTTTTACAACCTGATTCTTTGAGACGTTTATATCCAAGATCACGTCGCAAGGCATGGATGGATTCTCATTGCAATGTACTAAGGTTTCATCCAAGTCAAAGAATAGTGTTATTTGCTCTATAATATTAAATTTAAATTTACATTAACTCTTTTTAGTCAGCTTATTTGATCTATTGTAATCATTGTTGTTTTGGGGAAAAAATCTATGATTTAATCCTTAATAGGTTTGGTGGAAATGTTCTCGATAAATTCGAGAAAAATAATCTGACCCATTGTTGTCAAATGCTTTTTACAACTTACTTAAATAATAAATTTCTATTCTTTTGTTTTGGCTTGATGATCGGGGCTTCGAAGTTGGACTTTAGATTTAGAAGGTTGAAGTTCGAGACTATGGAGTAAGGGAATATGGTTTCAGTTGAGAAGGAATTTCAATCGTTGGATTGATTGCCATCATCTTCTTTTTAAAGGGAGATTAACCAATTTTAGATTCTACTCTTGTAACCAATTTATTCAATAACACCTCCGTATCAATGGATTTTGGGATTCTCTTTTCTTTGATCTTGTTTTTGAGAGCATCATTGTTTAATAAATGGGCTTATCCGTAATCTGGGGCTTTCGATGAACTCAGAAATATTCCAGTTGGCGAATCGGAATGTTTACTGGATTGAGGAAATATTTTAGTCTTCTTCAAATCCAAAATTTGAGAATTTGTAAATCTTCCATGTCTTGACATTTTAGACCCATTTCGTGTTAAACTCATTTAATTATATAAATAATTCAGTAATTATTATTTTTATTTACTAAAACAAATGAATAATTAATCTTCAATCCCTTATTCTGTATTTTTAAATTAGATATGAACTATTCATTCACCATCTCTAAAATATCCTGAATATTATTAATGTATTAATTTATATTTTTATAATTTTAGAATTATTTTAGACTAAATATCAAATAATTATTACTTATATCTAACCATTCAATCCAAAATTAATACTGTTTTGCTCCCATTCATTTTTATGGGGGCAAAAATAAATATTAGATATCTAAGACACACTACTTTCATAGAAGGTAGATGATCGATGTTACGGTTGATTACATGATGGAGAATTATAACTTATGCGCATAGTTTTAAGGATATACATGTAAATTAAGTTTGAAATAATAAAAAGTTAAACTTTTCATTAGTTTTGTTTTTTATATTAAATTATTCAATACGATTAAAAATGGGATGTGTAACAAACAAAGAATAGGACATAAAGCAATTTAATATCAAATTACCAGACTCATGTACTTTAGGGCAATATTTAAGATAATCATACGACAATATAAACAGAAGCAGATCTGTCTGATTTTTAGGACTAATTCTTATAAATTGGGATGAATGTATGTGGTTTGGGCGAATTTCTTCCCAAAGTTTAGGAAGTGTATGATTAACTCGGGGAATTATTCTAAAATATTTAAGGCCAGTATTTGCTTATGCCAGACCAAAGCATATATTTTGGATAAGTAATCAATGGCAAACGATAAGGCGTTGGAAAATAGCATTGGCCAAAGGAAGGGAACTTGTTGGAAGGGTATTGATATAAATTTTCAATCTTTAGGACTTGGGTTGATAATTAATTGACTGGAAGAGCTCGAATGATATATCCAAATGGAGATTAGTAAATAATAAATATACATATAGTTTTGTTGGTAACTTTCTCAATAATATTGCCAATGGATTGGGAAGATTTGTAAATTCTAAAAAATAAGTGTGTGGATTTTGGTTGAATAATAAATTAACTGGAGAGGGAACTGAAATTAGGAAAAATGGAACCATTTATAAAGGATAGTTTAATGAAGGTAAAATTTAAGGTTACGGGCAATTTGATTATGCAAATAAGTGCATTTACAAAGGAAGTGTGTGCAAAGGTAAGATGCAAGGAAAAGGGGAATTAATTTTTAATGATAATACAAGATACGTAGGGGAATTCAGAGCCAATTGCATTTAAGGAAGAGGAAATTATGAAGCTGGGATTTCAATAACAGGATGGGTAACCTATTTCAACATTCTTATAGTTTCATTCCAAATTTGAAAATTAAACCCTACATATTTACTTTTTTCGATCTGAGACTCCTGTACTTATTGAGAGCCAATATTGTACTCTAATCGAAAAATAGTTAGACCAATTTTTTGATTGATTTAAATTATAACTTTCCTATTAAAGATTAGTATTAATCACCATAAATCTTAATTAAAATTAGTATAAGTAGAATGGGATTATTATAAATGTGATTGAGACGAAAAAACATATTGTAGATATCTAGAATAATTAGGTATTGATATGATGATTACCACAAAGGTGAAATATGATTGATACAAGAATATTAAAGTATTTAAGCATTTTTATAGAAATGAAAAGGAGATGTAAATAGTTTTTTGATTGTTTTGATTTTCTGTATATTAATAAGCAAATGGTATAAGGTCTAAAGCTCAATAAGATCATTTGATCGATTTTACATAAAATATATAAAGTTAAAAAAAATTAATATTTTCCAAAATTAATTTATATATATTATCTCTAATTTTAAATTTCATATAAGAAAACTATAAGATTTTATTACAATTTTGAAAAAACACAATTACCCTCTGTCAATTATGAAGGTAAATTAAATAGCCGTTAAGAATTTTATATATCAATTTTAGATTATTAACTAAATAAAATTTGATAATAATAATATAATATTTTTGAAATTATTTCTATCTAAAATATTTATATTAATTGCCTATGATTCTTATCAGAATTAAAAGAGAGAATATAATTGGAAGAGGATTTCATTATTAATAGATTGTCTTAAATAAATAACACCCTCTATTATCATATTTGTGAGCATTAGAATGATGATATTCATATAAATAAATACCTTAATCAATAGAATTATAGTAGTGGTATTTAATGAATGCTAATAATAAGAAGATAAAAGAAAAGCATTAAAGCAGCACCTAAATTAAAAAAAGATATCTTAATGATAGCGGATATGCTAATGGTGATGTTTTTCTGGTATTTAACTTGGTATAAGTTATAATATAATAAAAATGATTTAATTAGAATAGGATTTGAATGGGTAATTTTGCAAAGAGAGAAAAGTAGAAATTGTGAATATAATTTAGTGATATTTGTTAAATTTTTCAAAATGGTTTTTTTTACCATTTTTCACGATAAATTTAAATCCTTAGATTAATAATAAGTTATGTTACTGAAATCATATGTATAAATAATCATTTTGATTAGTGTCTGTTTCATTTGAACCAATCTACGGATTTTCTTCTTTCTATTCAGATGATATTATTTTGATATTAAACTAAAGTTATTCTGAATTTATGGTGTTTGACAGTTCTAATGAGCCTATTTAATTCAATAGATTGCCCCCTGTATTATCAACAATCAACTTTTGTTTTAAATTTACATTGTAATGTTTTATGTAAAACATATTCGATTCAAACTTTGAACTGACTCCCAAAATAGCAACCTAAATAGATTAAATTGTTTACATTATTTTATACTGTACAGGATACTCTATCCGAATCAGTAAAATCATGGTATTCAGAGATCCCCCCATAAGAATATACCATCCTCTTATCGACTACAGAATTATCAGGAAGTTCGAAAAATAAAAATATTTTTTTATCATTTTGTCTATATGGAATTATAGCAATTTGAGAATAGTTATCAATCCACATTCCAGGTAATGTTTAAGCATCATAATATCGACTTAATGCATAATGATAAGTGAATGATGAAAGTTTGTAATTGTAGGTGTCATAAACCAATCTAAATTTGTAATTCAAAGATTATGATGTAAATATGATATGGGCGTTTGTAGTCTGTTTTGTATAAGTTGGAACATCAGTAAAATAAAAATCATTAAATTCATTCTAAATTATTTCTCCACCTGCATTGAGAATTTCCTAATAGACATTTATACTCACTTTATGTGTCAATGCAGAGTTAAAGATTCTTAACACTCCATTAGACATCAAACCCAGTATATATGTATAACAAGTATAAGTAGAACTGGAATGATAATGTAATAAAGTTTTCACTACATATTGACCATACGATTAGACAGTATTTACCTAATGTGTATAAGTATAACTAGCTGTGTGTTTACTATCATCAAAGGAAGCATCAAATACACGAATAAAAGTATCCATACTTTTCAGATCTTTTGGATAAGCATCAACTATAACTAAGTATTAATAATAATAGCTCATCTAATAAATATAGCGGAGACTTGTTGTTAAATCTGTATATTTTATTATATTCCCACATGTTGATTCATTATCACACCAAATAGTTGCTATTTAGTAGTTTTTTGAATTACGACATGCTACCATCAAATGGTTATTATGTTTTAAGACTTTCTCACATTTATAATCAGTTGCCGTGGAAATTACTATGGACTTAAAAAATGAATTTGTGCTGTTATATATTCTAATTGCCTGCAAATTTGAAGTTGATACTAATAATATTCTAAGATTATCTGATCCACGTTCTATCTAATCAACTATGTTTAAGTCATCTCCGTATTCCTATTTAAATAAACTTAATGGTTAGATTGCATTAATATTTTTCCCTTAACCACATTATTAGCATTAGATTAAATAATCAATTATTGTTCCTACCATACTTAAAGTAATTTCATCTTTTGTCCACTTTTAATTTGTAATGTTCACATAGGTTTAGAGGAACTTGATTTAAGATTTTGTCTAATACAAAACAATAGCTTAACTAAATTGCACACTTGGGTTATTTTTTAGATTTGATACTGTTAAGTTTAATCGGAATTTATTAACCCATTGATCTGTTTAATAGTCTGGATCCACTTAATAATAATAAGTTTGGTCAATCCATTCCACATTATGGTTTTCTCCATCGTTCAAATAGAAGATAAAATGATTAAATCCTGCAGCAGCCAGTTAAGTTTCAGAGATGAAGAAATTCTGTTTTTTTGGTGTCAATACTTTTATTAAGGAATCTCTTAAAGGCTATAAAGGCTTGTATATCAAAATGACTGATTAATTATTATTGTCTGGATCATACGCTGCAATATATAATAATCCAGAATCGCTACTGCTTACCATAGTCAAAGAATCTTAAATTTAGTATCTGTATGTAGGTAGCTCTTTCATTTTGAAGATATTACAATAATTTGAAAAATCATATTCTGTTAAGTAAGTTATGGTGTTTGTATGAACTACAGAAATAAATGAATCTTCACCAATGACTACATCAATAATAGATTTTCCATAAGTTAACACAGTGACGATTGCTAGTTCTTTATGATAATCTGCAATAATAATATTATCATCATTAATTATAAAGAGGATGGTAGGATGATATTTAGAACTACCTACCACTTTTCTAATTTTCCAACTGCCATAAAATCCTAACGAGTTTACTAAGCTCTGGGTCACAGAGTAATTTGATTTAGTATCAATGTTCCAAATGTCCACTTATAGATTATTCAAGATTATATATAATCTGTTTGCAACAACACTTATCGATGTTATTGATTATGAGAATTAATTATATTTAAAGTTATATTGACTCTAAATATCTTTTTAGGAAATTGAGTACATTCCAACAGTATAAGTATTTTCAATTATAAAAACATAGAAAATCTCTTTTTTAACGTAACATTAGAAATTTAAATTACTCAATTCTATTTTTACTGAAAATTTCACATAATTAACGCAATAGAGATTTACTTTTTGATCATAATATTAGTCTGTAGAACAAATGTAAGTTAGAATATCTTTAGTTGAAGATTCTTAAAATATGATTGCTATTTTTTAGTCATCCTTATCTAAACTAATTAATTTGACAAATTTTGATGATTTTGCTTATGGAATTTAAGAGTATATTGATTCTGCATTAATTGTGCCTCCTTACTTGATTAATAATGTTGCTGAGTTTGTAGCTCCATATTAAAGACTGTTCTACTTCGAAGAATTGACTTAGACATTTGGCCCTGATACAGGCATTTAAAATGGAGTCCAGAAAGGATAATCAACATATACATTGGATATATCTAATTCTTGGACTGGGTACAATACTGAATCATATTAATTTAAGACTCTATAATTTAATAGAACTTAACATTAATAGCCAAGCTCATCAAGTGCAGTAATAGTGGTGACATCCCTTGCTGCTGTCAAATCTCCTGATTTAAATCTTAGCTTTCCACTAGATAAAGCGAATCTTCTGGCATCAATTTATGTAACATAGATAAGCTCTTCCATGTATTAATTGATTAATATCCCTTAAATGCCTTCAAGTACTTCTTTATGAATCAAATCTTTGGTTTGAGTATTAATTAAGTAAGTTTTACCTTTATTTTGAAGTATCAATAGTTCTTACGATATTTTTAATAATGTAGTGTATACAGAAGAAAAATCTAAAGAGTAAGAATTCTTAAAAATTCTATTTTCATAAACTTCAGCCTTGTTTTAGAATAAAACTCCTATAATCTCTATTAGAGACCCATCCTCGAACAAAAAATGACCAACATCAAATTCTCTTACATCGTTATAAAGCTCTATCCTATCTATTAAAGTAAAACCAAGAGCTTAATCTATTTATAAAATTATGATGCCATCAAATGCAGTTAAAATATAAAGTTTGCCATCTGAAAATACATCAAAGTCTATCAAACTAAATTTATATTTGAAAGGATCATCAACTTTCAATAGTGTTCCGATATCACGCGCTGTCAATTAATTAACTAATAATAAGGTCGAAATATTATAAATTTCAATTATTGAATTTATCTTTAAATCTGATCCAGTTGCATAGGCTGGTGTTGATCTAAACAGCAATTTGATATTATTCTTTTTGCTGTCAACAAAAGGTATTACTTTAGTTATTCTTTTTGTGATGATATTTTAGACATCATAATTTTGATTGCTGATGTTTCTGACAGCACCTGATTTATCAATGACATAAAAGTAGTTTTATATAGGATTTTTCATTGCATTATAGCAATCAGCTAAAAATGATGTTTCATTCAAGTATTCTAAATTTAAACACTAAATATCTTAGTTTTGGGAGAAAACTATTTTATAATTAAAATTGGGCGGTTTATAATCTCCTTAAGTACTAATTTATCATTGATTATGATTACCCTTAAGCATAAAAAATAGATAATGAATTTACACTTTTTTCAATAAAGGCAAATTGATTTAGCCATACTCTTTAGTTTTGTTCTGTTCTAGCCTAAATGGCAGCAATTTTTGATATACCTAATTTAACTATATTTTATACCTTCTATCAATGTTTTAGGTGTATATTCTTAATGTATAGGTTTCTTCAACGTAAAGAAGGGTTACTTTGAGCTTAAGGTGTAATTCAAATAGGATCCGGTGAATAAATCTTTTAAGTTCCACTCATATGTTTCTTAGGTAGAAAAGAAAAATGATATTTATTGTTTCTTAACTTGGCATTGCTCTTATGTATAACCCAAGTAGATTATGGGTAATAGAACCAATACTAACATATAAAATATCTTAATTAAAAAAATTATACAGAATATATTGTACTATAATGCGTCATAGACTGAATATGAATTTCTATTAAAATTTTGAGTGAAATTAATAAATAAAAAAAACTACTATTTAATTAGTTTCTGAAAGACTATTTCATAAATTTTATCAGAAATGTTGATTTTAATTTTATCAAGTATTTTAATTTAGAATATAACTATAAGAATAAAGCACTTCACCATCTTAGCACCTAAGNTTCTGGCATCAATTTATGTAACATAGATAAGCTCTTCCATGTATTAATTGATTAATATCCCTTAAATGCCTTCAAGTACTTCTTTATGAATCAAATCTTTGGTTTGAGTATTAATTAAGTAAGTTTTACCTTTATTTTGAAGTATCAATAGTTCTTACGATATTTTTAATAATGTAGTGTATACAGAAGAAAAATCTAAAGAGTAAGAATTCTTAAAAATTCTATTTTCATAAACTTCAGCCTTGTTTTAGAATAAAACTCCTATAATCTCTATTAGAGACCCATCCTCGAACAAAAAATGACCAACATCAAATTCTCTTACATCGTTATAAAGCTCTATCCTATCTATTAAAGTAAAACCAAGAGCTTAATCTATTTATAAAATTATGATGCCATCAAATGCAGTTAAAATATAAAGTTTGCCATCTGAAAATACATCAAAGTCTATCAAACTAAATTTATATTTGAAAGGATCATCAACTTTCAATAGTGTTCCGATATCACGCGCTGTCAATTAATTAACTAATAATAAGGTCGAAATATTATAAATTTCAATTATTGAATTTATCTTTAAATCTGATCCAGTTGCATAGGCTGGTGTTGATCTAAACAGCAATTTGATATTATTCTTTTTGCTGTCAACAAAAGGTATTACTTTAGTTATTCTTTTTGTGATGATATTTTAGACATCATAATTTTGATTGCTGATGTTTCTGACAGCACCTGATTTATCAATGACATAAAAGTAGTTTTATATAGGATTTTTCATTGCATTATAGCAATCAGCTAAAAATGATGTTTCATTCAAGTATTCTAAATTTAAACACTAAATATCTTAGTTTTGGGAGAAAACTATTTTATAATTAAAATTGGGCGGTTTATAATCTCCTTAAGTACTAATTTATCATTGATTATGATTACCCTTAAGCATAAAAAATAGATAATGAATTTACACTTTTTTCAATAAAGGCAAATTGATTTAGCCATACTCTTTAGTTTTGTTCTGTTCTAGCCTAAATGGCAGCAATTTTTGATATACCTAATTTAACTATATTTTATACCTTCTATCAATGTTTTAGGTGTATATTCTTAATGTATAGGTTTCTTCAACGTAAAGAAGGGTTACTTTGAGCTTAAGGTGTAATTCAAATAGGATCCGGTGAATAAATCTTTTAAGTTCCACTCATATGTTTCTTAGGTAGAAAAGAAAAATGATATTTATTGTTTCTTAACTTGGCATTGCTCTTATGTATAACCCAAGTAGATTATGGGTAATAGAACCAATACTAACATATAAAATATCTTAATTAAAAAAATTATACAGAATATATTGTACTATAATGCGTCATAGACTGAATATGAATTTCTATTAAAATTTTGAGTGAAATTAATAAATAAAAAAAACTACTATTTAATTAGTTTCTGAAAGACTATTTCATAAATTTTATCAGAAATGTTGATTTTAATTTTATCAAGTATTTTAATTTAGAATATAACTATAAGAATAAAGCACTTCACCATCTTAGCACCTAAGCATTTCAACCCTTAATAACATTAAGACTTTAAAATAACCAGAAGAGCACATGTGTTTATGAAGAATACAACTTCAACAGTTAAATAGTAACTTTTAATAATTCAAATTTATTGAAAATAAAAAACAATATATATAAATAATTGCATAACAATTCATGCCCCTTACCTTTTCTGCTTTAGTCAAAAATATTGTTTTATTTAAAATGGAAAGCTATGTAAAATAAAAGGATTTGCTTTTTCTTATTAATTCATTTATTGATAGTTTAAAACTCTCATTAGAGAGCTGAGATGGCACTTGTTTTTCGAAAATAAATGTTGGAGTTCTCATATAATAAAATACAATGCAATTTATAGATTGGACATATACGTCTTCAGATACTAGAATGTATTTATTATGGATAGGTTTGATGAAGGATACTGTTGTGAACATGTAAAATATTGAATTTTGGAGTAGGTACCTGGGAATGCATTGAGGATTCAGCAAAGATAATCACTATTCTTAATAAAGTTATCTAATTAGTGTTTTAATTTAAAAAAACCTAAACAAAGACTAAATTCAAGATTTTCTTAAGAAAAAGTCTAATGATGTTAAATCATCAGAAATGACAGGTGGATTTTGAAATTTATTCTCTAATAATATTAGTACGATGATCGCTAATTTGAAGCTTGGATAAGGAGAGACCATCAGTAAACCTGAAGATGGTAAATAAATTAAGATATTTCGATTCTAAAAACATATATTATTTTTAAAACTATTTGAGGCATGTTCACACTAGGTTGTTTGAGAAAGCAGATTTTGATAGAGTTGCATGTGGTATTTAAATTGAATTAATTTAGTAGATATATGTGAGATTTATCTACTAAAAATGAAGAAATTTTGGAATACGTTCTTGAGTTTTAGTTTTTATTTGAAAGAGAATGAAAGGTTGATCTATGATATTTTGCAACATTCAAGGCGTACATTTAATGGGAAGGAATATTTACATATTTCTTCTTAGGCAA